GCTGGTAGGGAATAGATATCCCATGATATCATGGTAGCGCCATACTGTGCTCGTTGTTTTCAAGCATGAGATATGAGTGGGTCGTTGCTTCATTCTTGATTACTTATTCTTTAGGCTTCCTGGGTTGATGGGATTCAGAGGGGTTGCTGCTTGTTCGGTGCACCTACACAGTGGGAAGAGGATCGGGTTCCTGGGAAATGCACTCTATAGATGGAGGACTATGCGTCTTGACCTATTATCGGGAGAATTTGTTAAACCGGGTCATATACTAAGACGACTATCTCACGGCAAGCGTAAGATGGGAGAAGCTGTCACTATGCCTGGGTCAAGTTGAGAGAGTTTAAAGTGATATATTATAGAATGATTAGAACATATTGAGTAGTGAACTCCGTAGCTAAGGTAGGTAGATAGCTATCGCAAGTCAGCTCAGTCAGCAAGTCACGATTCATCAATTGACACTCCGTAGATCTTGAGCCAATGCTGCTTAAATCAGGATCGGAGACTTTCCCTACGGATCAGGGACGCACATGCTTTTCGGCCCTGGGTTAAAATGTGGTGGCCATAGCTTCAGCCTCTCTTTCATTCGAATTCATTCTTTGTTTTCCCCTTGTGTTTTGGGGCTATCATGATCATTACCTTGTCTGTTCCACCTGCCCCCTCCGATCGGTTATGGACAAGGATTATGCCGAAGGAAGATTGGCGAGCAACAATAAAGTGGGTGATTTTTTATCAGGATTTACGGAAATTACATTCCTTTCGGGTACTAGGGAGGGAAAGGGACGAGTCGATCATCCTTCGCGCCGGGTATTGTATACTACATAGAGTAATCTTACCGCATGCTGCATACACTGGGCGTGTGACGACTGTCAGCTGGAGGTTTACTTGATGGGGTCGTTGAGGGGAACAATCCCCTTTCCTCTTTTCTTTATTGGGCTTATCACTATCATTGTTGATATGATGATCCTTCATCGCGAAGAAATGGTCTGGATGTAATGATGTGCGCTTACGATTCAAAACGCTTTTCATTTTTGATTTTGTCTTTCCCAAGCTAAATGTCATGTATGATCGTCCTTCCCTGGTGACAACTCAAAAATACAAGCTGGAAACAACCCAGTCCACCCTGGTCGTTTCCATTACCCGGTCGAGTAAGGTGACTCCCCCTCCCCAGCAGTCCACGGTGCTACCGAACAATGACGAACAGATCTCCGGCGTGGCATGCCGGAGCCTTACCCTGATAGGACTAGTGAGGCACCGTGGAAGACCCAGAAAACTTCTCCAGAAAAAGGCTGATGACCGAGGAAAAGAGAACCTGACTAGTCCCGAGTAGAGCTAGTGCTTTTTCTGTCGGCTTTGACTCGGCTGAAGGCCACAAAAAATGAAGACCAAGCCGTCGTCACATTCGGGGGGAGGAATACAGATGTGTGTGAGCACGCTACTTGGTGCTTCGATGAATAGATTAATCGAAGGTATAATGAACCCTGTTATTACTTTCAAGCCCTCTGTTCCCTGGACATTGACTGGCACAATACGGAGTACGACCTGTATCCCCATTTTCTAACGAATCGACGTTCTCTTCCGGTTTTGGTGGGCTGGGATGGACTAAAAGCCTCTCGAGTATTTCATCGTCTATTCTCTCATTCGTGAAGGAATCAAAGGATCGACACAGGACTTTGCGGACCAGTTTTAGCACGGTACATCATCTTCCAGCCACGTCCCCCCCCCCTCTCTACAGAGCACAACTGTGCTGCTCACTTGTGTGTGCCACTGTGTGTGGTGTCTTGCCATGTTTATCTCGAGTCAGAACCCACCCCCCAATGATGAGCCTTATGGGTTAGTTGTGGCCCCATAGCGGTCAGCCACCTCTGATAGGCCGGGAAGGACCTAGTTAGTTTTGACACTATTCCCTCCCCAAGTGCCGCGAGTGGTTATCAGCACTCCGTGTTCCTTGTGTCGTCTGGCAAGATTCGCCTCCCTTCCCGTTGTTCGCCTCTTGCATGTGCGTATACACAGTCATTCTTCAAATGGGGCTTCGCTCTACGGAGTAGAGGGAATCCTTACCGTGTTGCTTTCTTTCACAAGGACAGAGTAAAGCGAAGGACATTCGTTGAGGCAAACTGGGTTTCTTATCCTGAGGAACTATTACCACTGAAAAGCGGAGTGAGCGTCATCCTCTTTCGACCGCAGTCATTGCACAGTGGCAAAGACGCATCCTCTTCGTTGCCATCCTGCTGAATAACAACACTATGACTGGCATGACGGTACCTGTCTGGTCTTCTATTGAAACCCGTGGCATATGTGGGGGGCCGGAGACTGTTCTGCTGTAGGCTGTGGTAGAGATGGAGAGATGTTATGTGTAGCTCTATGGATGCGACGTCCGCAGGTCTCGATATGCACAGGATGCACAGTACTTCATCACAAGACGAATGTCAGATGACCGTCAGAGGCTTTGAACAGCCCTGTCTGCGGCGGCGGCGGCGGCGGCAGCAGCAGCAGAGATGGGAAAATCTCCGGCGAAGCTACTACTTACGCATAACACAAGCAGCAGAAGGGAGCTGCAGCAGTTACATTTTCCGCTTACTGTCAAGACTCACTTGCCGATGCACCACACATGTAAGTACAGTACACAGACGCAGGAGCGATGGCATTACACAGTACGTCCTCTGCGTCTTGTTCCATTCCACCTGCAGCAAGACTTTTCTCTCCGCGAACCTGTCAAGTAGACATCATAGGGATGACCTCAGGTGGTGTTTCTCCAACCGAGCGAGCCAACCACAAGCCACTATCTCCTCGCTTCTCTGCTTGACTGCAATGCAGGTTCCTCTTGATGACTCATTTTTAGTCAGGGTGGGATAAGTCAACTTTAGCCGCCCATCTTATGAGCGAGATATGTGACTGAGAGCGCATATGGGCTGTTTCAGCCTCCCTTTTTGACCGCCGATGTCTCTGTTGCTGCACGGTAGGACTCCGTCTTTCTGACATTCTTGTCCCGTAGATAACATATCTATAGTGAATGGGGCAGAGCTATCTGTTTCACTCGTTTTTGGGTCTGGTTCCTTGTTTGCACTTGCAGACGTCACGTCCATTCTGTGGGATGCAGTACGGAGACTTACACAACCTACATAGCCCGGTGCTACTGTAACTATACCACGCATATGCCATGCGTGGTGCGTGTCCGTCCGTCCGTCCGTCCGGAGCGACTACCGGTATGAATCCTGGGTGCAGTAACAACCAGCACGGCTACAATCGGCCGCGCTTCCTGCGATCCTCATTGCATGGGGGTTTGACTTTGGCTGGTCCTTGATCGACCGGGTTGCCTGCATTGGCTCAGGGTCCGTGTCGCTATCCTTCCCGATTTCCAGCCAGTTGTTTGGAGGGTGTGATTCTTCACTAATGAGCTCGTTGTAACCCTTCCTTTTTACCTTTTCTCTTGCGTGGTAGCGACCAAAAGTTAACCATGAAAGTGAATGAATGAGTGACATCGCTTCGCCAGGCAACACCGAGTAACTCCAGGAGTGGAGAGGAGCAGGATAGTGGGCGTACGCGGGCCCATGGATCGCCGCTTACTCCGTGCCATAGTGTCGGAGCATACAGATACGTATTCATTATTCCACAAAGTTGTTGTTCGACCGTTGGATTTTTTTGTCTTGGGGCTGGCTGATAAAGACTTCTCTTCCTCGTGCTACTATTGCCAGACCGGTATTTTAGTATGCTTCGCTTACCGATCGCCAGTGTTTAAAAAGGAAAAGAAGAGAGAGGGTGGAAAAGCCGTTGGTACTAAATTCGACGACTAAACCCTGATGGGATGGCCATCTGCTCGCCGCGCCTCGACCAGCCGATTCGATCGACGTTTTCGCTAATCTACTCTTCGCTTTTTGAATGAATGTGGTGTGTGAATGATCGAAAGTAGTAAATTGTTCTTCTTGTTGCTGCATCAAATTCGCCTCCCACAACCATTTCCTCCCCATGCCTCCCTTGTTAGAGATTCGAGTGGTTGGAAAGATATCCTGTACTGCTACTATCTGTAGTTTATCTATCTAGACGGACCCGACGCTGCGGGATCCTGTTGCACCAGTTCCCTGGTTGTCCGGAAAACAGGGGTCACGGTGGCGCCATACCAAAACTCCCCATTCTAGTCCAGTCCAGTCCAGTCCGGTCTATGCATGCGCTTGAACCTCCCCCCTCCACAAGTCTCTTGCAGCAAGACTATCCGACAGCAACGTCATGCAACAGATGAGAGCGGACACAGTCAAGTGAGAAAACAAGAACTGGTCCTTGTCGTGTTTAAAGTTCTCCTGGCCGGCTCTAGACACCTGCACGGTATGCGCCATCCACATCCAGGCCTATCGATCGCCGTCTCTTCTGTGATGCGATGGGATACGGTTCGCTACTGGGAATAACGCTTCTCTATTTGGCGGAGGCGGGCCGGGAGCTGTTCCGGCTGCTATATCGAGGATCATGTTAAAGAAGTGGAGATAGAGACATGTTATAGGGGTGTATTTATTGGTTGATGGGCAATCCGTCAATCAGTAAGAACTAAATCCATGCTGCCACGCAAAGCAAGCCAGCGAAAGAGGACTGCCAGGGAGCAAGGTTCGGCTTTGCATCTCTTGACTACCTCATGACTCATGTGCAGAAAAAGAGGAGAAGAACCAGTCAGTGCTCGTTGAAGCCAGAATTTATCATAGTGCCTACTAAGTTATAGCACGAATACCCTGTACCCGGTATAAGTTACTGAAAATAGTCAGGCAAAACCATCCAACATCTCCATCACATTTACTGTGTACTGTGGGTAGGGCAGTGAACGTTACTTCATACTCCCAACAGTACAGTACTCCCCAGGAAGTAGTACTCATCGGTAGCCGTTGTCCTGCAGCTACAGCATCTCCATCCCCACACATCTACTATTCACCCACCATAGCCCTATCATCATCTATATTTGCACTTCCCCCCCCTCCTTTTCCCCTCATCATCCACATTGACCTGCAGTTGGTCACTCGCAAGTGCACACTACTGCACAAACCCCCCTCAACAATCTCGGCGACACCGGATCGTCCTCCTCTTCTCCCTTGCCCGCCCCCACCCCCCAAGAATGAGGATTTGCACTGCAGACGGGTACGCGATCAGTACGCGATCATGAAATCATTTATCCATTTCTTGGATCTCAACGGGCGGGATGGATTCTAACAAGGTTCACTGCTTTCCTTTCGCTAGGAGAATTATTCGCACCAATCAAGGATTTCTCCCCGCACACCCGATCGAGGCGATGGCCGTGTCGATCCAGCTTCTTTCAACCTTCACTAGCCTCTCTGTCTCTCTTGCCAACACATAGTGTCACATACAACCCATACCCACACTATGTCACCATAGACTTTTCCAGCACGGAGCAATTCGCCTTTCGAGATGATATTCACGCCCCTTCTCCAGGCCAAACCTTCTTGCGAAAGGCTGCCTGCATGTGTGCAAATGCACTCACAATCCTCCAGCGGCTGCTGACTGGATTCGATTCGAGGGATCGTATCTCGTGCGCAGTGAGCGGTATATGCAGGCAGCTTGGTAGGTTGCTTGTGGTGGTTGCGATTAAGACGGGATGGCGGTGTTGGAATGGTCGAGATTGATACTTTACTCCGCCACTCACTATCTGTAGTTGCCTTTCTTTTTTTGTTTCTCTTCTTTGATTCCTGGCTTCCTTGGCCTCTCTCCACCTGCGCAAACTCGGTTCTTTGACGATATGTAGATGCATTGCTGCAGCAGTTGACCCAGCCAGACAAACATTCATGTTTGAAGAGAGCGTGCGTGTTACGTACAAGCATATACTGCCACTTTGCAGAATATCCAACGAAATTTAAACTGGGGAGGCTGGTTGGTTGTTTCGTCAGTTTGTTTGCTGAGTATAGTTAACTACTACGGATTGTACGTATTGTTACCTGGCACCTCCTTTCTCCTCCGTTCTTGAGTTGTTCAGAGGAATCCGTGCCTAGGGCTTTCTTGTCTCCAGACAGACGTCTGATTCATCGGAGTTTATCAAATCTCTTTCAAGAAGAGGTGCTGCTGACCTCCCTGCAATGCAAGAGAATCACGTTAGTGGAGGATATAGTATAGACATGGACAATCAATTTCGCAGCGCAAATTCCCGACAGGATGGATATCGGAAACCCAGAGGCTGGGATTTTCTCTATGTATGTTGAATTCCCTCTCGAACATGCGGAAAAGAATCATGACCGACCCCTCGAGAACGAGAAGGACAAAAGGCCGGACAAGGCAGAATAGCGACTGTCACCTTGACCCATGCGTAGGTTTCAACCAGTGTGGATGACGATGATGATGGTGATGATGATGTGTGGAGGAGAAATCAAGCGACAAAACGACCCGCGATCCGATCAGCAGTCATTATTCCCCGGATGATCATCGTTTAGCTTGCTGCCAGTGTGTTGTTCGTTCTCAATCTTGCTTGACACGCTCTTGAGAAGAAGTCAATACATTGTAACTAGCATTTGATTTATTGGGCAGACTTTGTCTATCTTCTTCTCTTAGTTGTCACCTTTTCTTGAAATTTCGTTCATAGTTCGCGCCGATATATCACTACTAGGTCCAACCGTTCGCCAACATGAATGGATATGATGACTTAGTTAAATGGTCAACTGCAATGCGGTGATTCCAAAACTCTGTTTCAATCTAGTCCAGTCCAGTCCAGTTCCATCCAGTCAGGCTGCGTTCCTTTGTCAGGCTTTCGTCAAACAGCGAAACTCTCTTTCTGAGGACATCATATACTCCGTAGGCTCTAACTGCCGCGTTCTCTCTCCGAAGGATGATGGTTTTTTCTTTTTTTCTTTCTCTTTTTTTGTTTTTTTTTTTTTTTTTTTTTTTTTTTTCTCTCTCTCTCTCTCTTTCGCCTTGTATGCAACAAAGCACGAAAACTCTAAGTCCAATGCGCCGGGAAGGGAGGCGATCTGCCTTGGGTCTCATGCAAGGTTTCCCATGGTCCGGTCTGTCATGTTGTGTCTGGTGTTCACCGGGGCGATCAACTGGGAGATCTGGAGCGAGAGGCGAAGGTGTCGTTGATTCTCAGGGTTCTGTGACTGTATCACTAGAACTATAACTTGATGTATAACGTATAAGTTACGGAGTATCAAAGACATGTAGTAAAGAGCTAGTGGCAAGAGACAACCTTGAACCTACAGCATCTGGCCTTCCCGTTTAGTCCACAAAAGCTTCCTACTACTACCTAGTAGTCAGAGAGGAGCACTATGTCATCCTTTACGAGCTATGCATACTGCGGCATATTCCGTACATACTAACTACTCCGGAGTACGTGCTGAATAGCTACGAGGCGGTGACTTACCAGGTACCACTCTACAGTGACTTGCCAAATCGACCAGGGACACATCCCAGCCCCAGAAAACCAGGCCGGCTCACTCGCTGTCGACATGCTTGGAATCTATTTCCAAATCTCTACTTCTTTTCTGTGATTCGCAAGGGGGTTTATTGTTTCTTTGTTGTTGAGAAAGTCTAATGGAGGCCTCAATCTCGTTTCTGAACCATCCATTTCTTTGCTTGAGATGAGTGAGACTCTATCCTAGCCAGAACCGATTAGCTTGATATGTGGTGGTAGACCACCGACCACCGATCCAGGTGAAGTATGTATACACTAAGCCATAATGTATATACTACAAAGATTCATGATGAGATTTCGACTCGAGATCCTCAATACATCCCCATCCCACAAGCATTGACCCTTTCCCCCCAAACTCAATAAGACTGTAGACCCAACCAGGCAACCACAGAATAGACCGTGGACCCACCAGCCGCCTCCTCCTCCTCCTCCTCCTTCTTCTCGGCGGCGGCGGCTCGGGACGCAACTCCGTCACATCTCCTATCTCAGACAATTTGACCTACGTGGTTTGCCCATTTTAATTTGGGTGGTCTTACAGTAGGTACTATAAAATGTCCAGACCTTTGGAATGTCTCTCGCGCGGGGCTTGACGTCTCTATCTTGCCCTGATGCACAAGGAGCTCTGTGAGTGCTCAAGACAATGGGAATACGTGTGTCTCTTCTTTCCCCTTCATTGTATCGATTCTAGCTAATCTATCTACTCTTGTATAGAAGTTGATATCAACTCTTACGGTGCCCAAAAAGAGATATTTCCGTCGCAGTCCGTTCCATGTATATAAGTAGACACTGTACCGATCCCATGTGTTGCGTGTGTGTGTGTATATATATATATATGTCGTAGTCATCAATCATCATTTTGTACGCTCGCAGAAGGTCACGGCCGGAGAGCAGGGCCGTAACCAGGTTTTCAACATCTCAAGCATCTAAGTTGAGGGTCTCCAAGATTCTATCCAGCTTGTCCATGAGGATCTGGTAGTTGAGCGCGTCCTGGTCAAATTCGTCGACGACAACCTCTCCGTCCAGCGTCCGGATGACAGGTTGCTGGGGATCTGTGGATTCGCCGTTCATGGAAATTGGGCGTAGTGGCTGTTCGTCCTTGGTACTGGAGAGGTCCAAGGATTGCACGCCCTCAGCCACCTTGTCCACGGCGGCGTCAACGCCGTTCTGCTCATCACCCTGGCCCTCCGCGACGGGAGCCTGGGCCTGCTGCGCGGCGGATTCCTGCTTTGCTTCTTCCTCCATCATCTCGTCGATGCCGGCATCGTCGAAGCGCAAGCGGAAGCGCTCGCCAAGATAGAACCGGATGTCGTCCAGCAACTCGATGGAGTCAGTCTCCTGGCGGCCTTGGATGCGGGCGGCGGACTCCTGGATCAACTCCGAGAACTCGGGGGAGTCGATGTGGGCTTCCAGCCGGTAGGCGAGGTAGCGGGCGGCGAATTCTTCGAGGCGCTGCACGCGCGTCAGCCAGGCGGCACGGATGATAGCGTAGATGTCGAGGTCATCTTCTTCCTTGGTGCCGCGCGTGCGGGCCGCTTCAGCCTGCGACATGTTGCCGCTGCCCAGAGTGCTGATCACGACGGCGGCCTTGGTCTTTAGCTTTTCAATGAAGAGCATGTCCGCGGCGAAGAGGACGTCGACAGCGATGTCGAGCGGGAAGTCCGCGCGCTCTGTGTAGAGGAAGGTAAGCACGATCTCAAGGACGTCCGGAGAGCAGTCAAGTGGGATGATATTGAGGTGATCCTTCATGTGCGCCTCGCGGAAGGGAGAGGTAAACATCGTTTGAAAGAACTCGGATCGCAGAAGCATGGCCCGGTGGCAGGGGAAGAGAATGCTCTTTTGGACACGCGGAGTGACGGAATCACCGTTGGTGGCCTTGTGATCGCTGAGCTCGTCCACATCGTCGAGATCCTCATCTGCTCGAAGTAACACGTCCGCGAAGATTGGGTTATCTCTATCCCACCTCACCTCATCCGCTCGCGATGTTTCCAAAGTCACTTTGTGCTGGAGCACATTCGCTCGGAACCATTGCTCCAACTGATCTCGCCCTTTGGCCACCTCGAGCGTCCGTCTTTGTCTAGCAAGCCTTCTATCCCCGCTATCAAGAATACTATCCAACAGTGTGTTGATTTCTAAATGTTTGGCGATCTTATCGATGTTCGAGAAGACCTCAGACTCGGTGAATCCGGTCCCCGGGCCACTGCGGATGTCACGCGGGGCTTCGCCGAAATAGAGATATTTGATTGCCGTCCCAAATGCCTCAGGTGGAATTGTGCTGGGAAGCCTCCAAATGGAGGTATCGGGGGCGGTGGCCAACTTGTTGCGGAAGTAGGGAGACCGTGCGGCCAAGATGAACTTGTGCAGATGAAGAGACTCATCGCCGGCTGCCACAACAATGTCCGATGTCACAGGGCTTTCGCGCGTGAGAAGTGACGTGACGTGAGCCGCAAGAGGCTGTAGAGGGTCTGTCGATTTCGAATAATCGTATTCCAGAAGCAGATTCCGTATACGATCATTGAGGGCGTTGTACAAACATCTGTCATAGATCAAATCGTGAGCTGACTCATGCCGAATGACGCCAAATTTCGAATGTGACAAGATGCATACCTCTCGCCCTGAAAAGTATCTCGTTCGCATAAAGCCCCGGACTCGAGCAGCAGCTGAACAACCTCGTAATGACCACAGAGACTTGCCTGGCGCACGACTGCTGGTTACTATTGTACGGCAACGCCGACTCGCCACGCCGAATTTGGACAGATGGGCATAGAAACGATGGACGGTAGACTTACCAGGATCAAAGGGGTGTAATCGTATGGATCGCGAGCATTGATGTTGACTCCTTCTGTGATCTTTTCCTGACAAACCTTGAGATCCCCCTTACGACACGCATTGCAGAGCTCCCGAAAGGGCTCGCTCAGGTCAAGAGGGTTGTCATCCTTGATAGTTCCCTCCTTGATCAGCTTTTTCTCATTGTGCAAGCTGATTTCGAGCTGATCCTTGCGGAGGACCTTTGGTTCATCCATTGTGCCAGAATCACGGAGTTTGGCACAGTAGGTGCGATACAGCAATTCCCCAAGGAATTCCAAGTGAATGTTGCGGAGGGCGGGGGAAAGCCCGAACGGTTCTTCTTATCGATAAGATATAGTCATGTGACTGCAGAATTGCCACAGGCGGGTCAGTCGAGCTCTTCGGAGTAAGTTCTCCCTGCCCAAACCAAAGGGCAAAGGGGTCAAGGGGAGAAGATAATGCTGTTCGTGCTTCCTTGCATTATCCTGTCTTTCTTGATTTTGCCCACCCTGCAACTGCAACCCGCACTCATCATTCCAATGTTTATCTTGTCCCATGCAGCAACTGTGCACCGCATCCGATTTTCCCGAACCGTTGACGGAACCATGATGACGATTCATGACCCGCTTCACCGCCTACTGAAGGCAGGCAAGAGTCGTGGCCGGCGACCGTTGCTCAGCAACAGGCTGCACCTAAACATTCAGCTCTTCCGACCCCGTTGCATACCTACTTCTTTAAATCTACAACGCAACCACATGTTCCCACCCGACATCGATCCATACTAACCCAGCAGGTTTCAGTCGCACAGTATCGACCCATAAATGCCATAGGCTACTGCATCTCATCCTCTCGCCACTAATTCCCGTCATTCGCCTTATACCTCGCCTTCTTGCCTGCGGTCTTTCCTCCCAGCAGCCACAATGGCAATTGCATTAGCGGAGGCAGACAAGTATGAGGTGCTTGAGAAGATTGGTATGAAAATTAAAGCCCACAGTGGCATACAACTAGGCTCCGGACGTCGATAAGCTGACCTCAATGTTCAGGTTGCGGTTCCTTCGGGATCATTCGCAAAGTTCGACGAAAGGCAGACGGCTTTGTAAGGATGAATCATTCACGGAAGCACTGGCCAATTTGTACTTACAAGCATGCTGTTGCAGATCCTTTGTCGCAAGGAGATTAATTACATCAAGATGTCGCAGAAGGAACGCGAACAGCTAACCGCCGAGTTCAACATTCTAAGCTCTCTTCGACACCCGAATATTGTCGCCTATTACCACCGCGAACACCTCAAAGCCAGTCAAGATCTGTACCTCTACATGGAATATTGCGGTGGCGGAGATCTCAGCATGATTATCAAGAACTTGAAGAAGACGAATAAATTCGCAGAGGAAGAATTCGTGTGGCGCATCCTTTCCCAACTTGCGACGGCGTTGTATCGCTGTCACTACGGTTCCGATCCTGTCGAGGCTGGAAACATCTTGGGCCCCGCCCCTAAGCAGTCGGGTCTCAAAGGAAAGCAAGCTCAAATGACGATCCTTCATCGCGACCTCAAGCCGGAGAATATTTTCCTTGGCAGCGACAACACTGTCAAACTCGGGGACTTTGGCCTATCCAAGTTGATGAATTCTCAAGATTTCGCCTCTACCTATGTCGGAACTCCATTTTACATGTCGCCCGAGATTTGCGCAGCTGAACCTTACACGTTGCGTTCTGATATCTGGGCTGTCGGCTGCATCATGTATGAATTGTGCCAAAAAGAGCCCCCTTTCAACGCCAGAACCCACATTCAGCTCATACAGAGGATTCGTGAAGGAAAATTTGCTCCGTTGCCCGACTTTTATTCTCCCGAGCTGAAGAACGTTATTGCAAGCTGTTTGCGTGTCAACCCGGATCACCGTCCCGATACTGCAGCTCTGATCAATCTTCCTATTATTCGTCTGATGCGCAGAGAGAAGGAGGTTTCCGATCTCGAAAAGACCCTGCGAAAGCGCGAAGAGGCTGCTGCTCAAAAAGCCAGAGAGGTGGAACAAGCATACACTAAAATGGAAAGAGAAAAACAGCAGATGAAGGCTGAGTTGGAAAACACCGTCAGACGGGAATGGGAAGTCAAAGCTCGACTGGAAATCGACCGCCAGGTGCAGAATGAACTCGAAAAACTCCGAAAGCGATTCGACTTCGAAGTTCAGGAAAGAGTTGCGCTAGAGGTTGAGAAGCAAAAGAAGAGCGGCGCCGTGAAGGAGGATAGCATTTCCCGGTCAAACAGCCAACAATCCCAAACTTCTACCAGCAGCGAAAATACCAGCAACCCATCGAGCACTGATATCAGCCAGCTGTCTCTGGAGTCTCCCGCTCCCAGCAAGGCTCCACGTAAAGAGACGCGTACTCCATTGACACGTTCCAAGACCGTGGTTGACTCACCAATGGACGTCCAAATGGCTGAGCCTTCACCTATTTCGATTGCATCGCTTTCCTTGTCTCCTCGTCGCACATCTGGAACGTATACTGGCAAGAACATTTTTGCTGAAGCCGAAAGGCGGGCGAGATGGGAACCCACTGTGGCATATTCCGATGACGAGGACGATATCCCCGATCTACCTTCTCCCACTCGCCCCAAGGTGAAGCCGGATCCTTTTAAAGCTCCTTCGCGACCGCTTTTACGACAGAACACGGCTGCATTCATGCAGAAACTGAGCACCCAGCCGCCAATCTTCCCAACCAACGCCTCCAGATTACCACAGGTGTCAGCCGGCCTTTCTGACATGCTTCCTAGAGAGACCAAGCCACGATCACCTCATCGTCGATTGTCGAAAATCCCTTCATCTGCAAACCTAGCTGCAGATGCTGGCTCGCCGACTCGCAAGACTGGCGTAAAACAGCTGACCTCCAAATCCAACGGCGCCAGCGATGACATGTACAAGGCCATGATGCAGCGAAATATGGGTGGGAGGACGTTGGTCGAACTGGCGCAAGCACGCGCGGGTGGCCGTCCTGTTGATGAAATCAAGCGATGTGCCAGTGACTCCCGAGGCCTGAAATCCAGTGCGCGAGACCCCCCGGCTGTTTGGGATCCTGAAAAAGACGAGATGCCCAGCCCTTTCCTGGTTCGGGGAAGGAAGATCATCCGTAACCTGCGGTAGCCATCCTCTCCCAACGAAATCAGCGTGCCTTCGACATGACCCATACACATCTCGACTACGTCTTTCAGTTTCGCCGGTTGACCCGCAAACTCTGAGAGATTCAACTTCTTTTTGGGCATTTATCGTCGACGTCTCGTCGTCAATACACCATTTAATAATTCAAGACATACTTCGGAGTTAGGCGGCTTGAGTGGATTGGATTTTTCTGAACCCAGCGTGTTTGACCGTGCGAGACATGGGAAAACTCTGATGATGCATTTGCGTCTCTTTGATGTGCTGCATCTTGACTTCGGACAGCATTTACCGTCGTCCTATAGAGTCTCAAAACCCTCTACTTTCCTTTGTTTATCTAATGCCGTGACGAAGTCCCGATTACCTCAAAACTCCCCCCTTTGCCCCCCTTCCCCAATTTCATCTCACCATATCTGTCTCTTTGCCCTCGTCCATGGTGCAAACTGTACAGATCAGCCCTGTCTGTTTGTTTCTTGGTTACACCGATCCACCAGCCATGGATAAGTCAAATTCCCCTTCCCGGCTTCTCTGCGATGCATATTTCGAAGCCAGTACACTCATTTGAACACCCTGTACATTTCCTATATATTCCCTTTTTGCATTTGTGGTGCTATCTGGTTTGGTGTTGATCTGGTGATCCTTGGGTTTTGTGGTTCTTTCGGAAATTCTTTCTCAAAGGAGTTGTACATATATACACAGTCCTGTTCTTCGTTCACAGGTTCCTGCGCTAGATTGGCAGTTCAATACACCTGTGATTCACGATTCCACGATTCAGTTTTCTCCAACTTAGAAAGCTTTTTAGACCGGCTCCGGATAGAGACACAGAGGGAAAAGTAGGTACGGATAGGTAGATAAGGCGCTAACCGATCGACGACCAGCTTCCCTCCCTCTGTACAGATTATGCTGGGGTCAAGGAACAAAGGACGTGGAAATAAGCATTGATGCTGAAATATCTATGCCTCCTCGTCCTCGACTTCTTCGATTTGAACCGAACGAAGCTCCTGGTTGAACCTCCTTTCCTCTTCTTCTAACATTCGCTTCTGGGCATCATCGTCGTCTGTCGTTTCTGGGTGATTTGCAGTTTCATCTGTGCCAGCCTGGGCCGAGTCCGCCTTATAGCCTGCCTTCTCCAGCCGGTCCATTTCCTCCGGCTCCAAGAGCTTACCCTGCCCTCGTATAGCGTCCTGCTTGGCTCTGACGGCGGCAGGGATAAATTTGTTGATAGCTTCCTGTCGCAAGTCACGAATCTGCGGCTTGGCCTCGTAGACCGTTTTTGCTTCCACCATGGGTGGTTTCACAGAAAGAGCATGTGGTCCTCGTGCACCCTCGGCCTGGTCGCCGCCTGGCCTCCTCTGGAACTGGCGCGGAATTGGTGGAGGCGTATCCCGAGGCATGGGTATCCTTCGCACCTCCTCATCCGTCTCGTCGCTACTCTCACTGTCCCGATTATGCCGTCCAAAACGCCCCCCGCCGCCACCACCACCATCCCTCCTGCGCTTTCCCAGAACCCCGCCGTCATCCCCGTCGTTGTCCCCTCCGCTTCTAGGCCCGAACGTCGCGAATTTAGGAGCCTTATCTCCTAGTGCCTCTCGAGCCTTGAGCACCGCGCGATGATCTCGTTGGAGCGCTTCAAGTAATTGTTGATCGCGTGGTCGTAGCTTTTGTCCTGATGCCTCTATTGCTTTGATCTCGTCGATTTGGCGCTGAATGCGCTCCGGATTGCGACGGGCGAGTTTCTCATTCCGACGAGCTAACGCCTCAGCCTTGCCCTTCTTAAGGCTCTTCTGCTTATCCAACTTCCGCTGCGCCGCGGCAGGGTTCAGAGTGCGCTCTTTGTCTTTCGGCATTGTTGTGGACTAATGTGACGATATGGTATGAGCGGCGGAGAACAATTTCGTTGGGTGTTTGCAAGGTATTGCCTTGACTTGTAGTCAAATCTTCAAGGTACTGAGCCTGTATAACCGGCAGGATGCGGGCTATGATATGTACTGTACTTCAAATCTCAAGAGGTTGCTGAAACGAGTTCGTAATCAATTAGTCAAGATACCATATCTACACAACTGCTCCACGACCGTGTTCCTTGTGTCCTTTGCCTGCTGACAGAGGGGGAGGCGCGGGCTGGACCGCGAGGGGCAAAGAGTATGGATGCATGTCTTATGTGTATGACGGAATGTGCGTGGCCAGAAGATCGGAGTGAGAGCTTCCTGCTGCAGCCTAGAACGGCTTAGAAGAGGGGGTGAGGTCTAGAGATTACTCACAGGCTGATGGCAAAGGAGGAAAAAGCTGCATGAGCAAGCCCAACCACGGGAGTAGCGGGTTCGCGAAGCCGCAGGTGTAGCTGCGGAATCTTGGCTAAGACCAATGAACGTCGCGCGGGCGCACTGCTCTAGCCAGCCTCACAGGTTGGGCAGCGTGCGGTGACTGTGGGATCTAGATTTGAGCAAGCGAATGGGTTGAGAGGGCAGGAAGATAGCGAGCTCGATGGCGGCTGGAGAAGCGCAGGGTGCGGCAATTCGGGCGCGTTGGTTGGCGAGGAATAGGATGGGGTGGTGACTGATGTGTGATTGGACGGCAGGTAAGGGTTGGTATGTGAAGGGATCAAAGATTCTTGACGGTCCCAGATAAAAGAAAGGAGATGGGAGACAATTCAATGAGTTGGTGAAGAGGAGGAAGTGAGTTAAAGGATAACTTCAGAGGGTAGGTTGAACCAAACGGCTGGAGATTGCGGGCGGGCAAGATGACGGTTGCCCAATTGGGAAGTCCCCGGAGCGGCTTCCAGCTCGAAACGAGAGAACCTCGCGATCGCGTTGATGTTCGCTATTTGGATTAAATAACCCTGCATTCAGTCGGAGAACATGATTATAACAGCAGTAATTATCAGTCGCTATCATCGCTGTTCGTGTCGTTGCGCCCCCTTTCTCTACTGGGTCTCTCCAGAAACAGCTTTGTCCGTTCCATATATATACTCCTCTTAGGCGAATATATCACCCAGCCGGATCGCATTCTTTTTTCAGCCTTGATCACACGGTCCTCTTTCGAAGGACGGCGCCCGAATGAAGGCAAGGAGGGCTATTTGATCAAAGCTCCTTGAATCAGCCAGTTCAGTTCGGTTTTGTCCTCCGTCTTTTACGCATTGATTGCAACATCTTGCGTTCACGTTGGTTGCTCTCCGTTTTGTCTCGCGCTCCCCTCCCCCTCCTTGCTCTGCCTCGACTCCAACGACCACATCTACCGACACTCTTTATCATTCATCTCTTTCCCCATCGCCTTACCTGTATCGACCATTGGAGTCTACTGATCGCCGTTGTTGAAGAAACGTGCGTTAGGCTTTTAATCGTGGAAACCGGACTCAGCTCCCCGTCGGCCTCCTCCCAGTGTAACCCCCCCCCCCCCGACCGACTCACGAGGGCCGCTATCCTTCGTTCTTTTTTCTTTGCCGCCTATAAATTAATAGGCTGATCTCTTCCCCTAGCGAGCTTCCTCCAGTGGCCTCCAATGACACCGTAGGACGCTCAAGGAACAATTAGGCCGCCCTGGGGCAGAGGCAGACTACACCATTGACCTACTCTCGGACAAACTACTTCAACCCAGCAGGTGATTTCCCTCCTCTACCCACTACCTCGTCTCGCAGCCGCACCGTCCTCTAAGCTTCAGCCACTACGCCCCTTCGCGGTCTTTTTCTCACTTATTTCGGTTCTCACCATGAACTGCGGTCCGTTCTACACTCGAATCCTAAGATCAGCCGGCGCTTCCTAGAACTCTGTCGCGGTAGGAGCATGTCTCTGCCGGGACCAAATGTCCGTATCAGCATCGATCCCCGACACTTCGCTTGGCCTTACCTCCTCCGAGATCCAGATCCTACGACAACAACAACAAATTGCACTTCAGGGCAGCCATGGGACCAATGGTATTTCCAGAGGCAGAGGGACCGGACGAACGAGCAATTCCAGTTCCCGCGCCGCCAGTGCCGCCAGCAGTCATGGCCGGTTACTGCTGGATCCTATGAGTTTACGAGCACTTTCGCAGCAGTTGGATGGATTGCAGCAACAAATGCGGAGTCGCATTGATTATGTATGTTTGATACCCTTGACATTGTGCAATCATGCATGTTTGAGCGTCTCCGCCTACCTTTGAGTGATTAGTCTCATTTGTGCCCCTGTCGCCTATAGGCAATTTGTCCCCTTAAAAAAGATATTACGTACTTCACACACACGCGCGCAAGAATTTTGACACCCTCCCAAGCCTTGAATGCTAATCGCTGGTAGCTCGAGGAACAAATGCAGCTGTCGATTCAAAACAGCTACGATCGTGCCGGCAACGTTGTACGCAATGCTGACGCCGAAATCGCCCGCACCCGGTCCATTTTAGCCTCCATAGATGAGCTGGAAAACGAGCTCGCCAAGATCGGGCACATAAGAGAAATTGTGAAAGCATACCGCGGCCGCATAGAAGGTCTTGATCAACGGCTGGACCAAGCTGCCCGTCGGAGGCATTGAACTTCACGAATCAGCCCTCTTAACATAGTACCCATTTTTCCCGATGCATGTCGGTCGTCCCAACATCACTCAATATCGCTGGCGCCCATGCACTTCAGCCTCTTCTCCACCCTATTCGCTTCACAAACATTATTGGGACCAACTGATCTCAGTATGTTTATTGCAATTTTACTCGATTGATTGTCCTTGAGATGGTTCGTTTTAGTAAGCCTCTGGACATCTTCCGCCAAAACAAAACCTTAAGACGTCAGCATTCAACGTTCTTATTACCAACATTCTAGCACCGACACGAAACTACAGAGTATAAACCAACCTCGTCCTCACGGACTCATCGCCATCATTACGCCTATGCACAACCAGCACGCAGTTCGATATGCTTTCTTTGATTTACACCATGGTTGAACCATGAGTCTTCAGGAGGGTTTATGGCTCTCATAATATTATGTACTTGGAGAGGCCTATTGACTAGAGCTTTTGATGTTCGCCACGCGGCGGTTTTGAAATGTGAACCCTATTCGACCATTGGCAGAAACAGTATGGCGTTGTTAGCGTTTGGGCCCCGTTTATTGACTTTGCTACTACTGGACCTTGTCTCCATATTTACGACTCATGTCCCCCATATCCACGAACCTCACGATCTGGCTATCTGTTCAATCATGAAGCAATTTCCCAGTGCGCCTTTTTTAAGAAGCTGACTTGACATTTTTGGTCTGCATATATTCACCTTCGCTCCAATACCCACTATGTGTTGGTACCACATCAGTGAGCCTTCTACTGCTACCCAGCAACTCAGTCGGCCCTCAGCATAAGATCACCGTACCCCAGTCTAAAGAAACTGGTGAAACATCACTTGTATGGATCATGAGACTTGATAGGATGTGTGCCCATGACGGAGTGGTAGCTAGGTGGTGGTGGCGTTTGCGAAAACGTCCATGTATATCGAGGTATAGCAGGGTAAAGTTAATCAATCCCCCAGCTCGGGATATGTGACTCGATCGGTGTATGCCCATCATCTTAACACAAGTAGGCATGACTGCGCGCGCGCAGAGCCACATCGGGAAGAGGCGCTCGAACCTAATCATCATGAATTGGCTGCGAGACTGGTCAATCTTGCCCATGATTCGGGATGGGTAATGCTGCAAGGCGCGTCGGCAGCCTTTCGCGGGTTGGAAGACAGATTTGGATTCCGCAGCGCGAGCATATATTCAGGAGCCTGTGCTGGTCTTATTTTCTTGCTTCTCGTGCGCTTTTTCTTGCCGACGAGCAATTAACTTCTTGCCGCGCTTGTCTGTTTGAGGGAACCGCTTCTCTGTGCCGCAGGTAGAGCAACGAATGACCAACAGATCAGCCCATGGCTTTCTGCGGCCGCGGCTAGGGTTCCTCAGTTCTTTTGTACAAGTCGACCCAGGAATTAGAAGCGTGTCGCATCGCTTGCAGAAAGATCTCTTCATATCAACGGGAAGGCGAAGCTGTGTTTTCAGAGATACGCCGCGCATCTGCGACACATAATTCCGAGATAGTTGAGGTAGCTCGCCGGTTGCAGTCTGCTCCTGCGAAAACTGGCTTTGACCCACAGCATCGGTAGAGCCAGCAGTGAGTGGCACTATATGCGTTGGTACAGGTGGTTCCTGGTCATTTGACTCATTGGTGGTAACGCCAGTATGACAAGCGCCGGACTGGGCTTGCAGGAAAGTAGCCGCTTTGTATAGATAATCTATACGCGCCCGTATATGGCTGTTGACACCCCCTGCGGAGTCCTTTTTTCCTTTGGACTTTCCTTTGACCATTGCGACGAAAGTGTGGGTCTAGATGCTTGCGGATGATAGTGTTGCAGTCCAAGTGATTGATGCGGGGAGATCGAAGAGGAATTGAAGCTTCGCTATAAAAGCGAACCAAAAGCGGTCGATGGGGCCCGGGCCATGGTGACTAATTGACTTTGACACGTGACTGAGCTGTCTGGGGCTCAGCCGCTCCATCCCTTCGCGCGGCGACTGTCCTTCTCTCCATCTCCATCCTCTTCCTTCCGCGCAACAACCTGTCATCACCCTCATTCTATCTAACGACATCGACGAGGGCATTATACGTACTACTGAGAACATAGATCGACTTTCTCACCAGCTTCAACCCCTTTCCTTCCCACAATATCAGACACAGGCTTCTCTGCCTTGGTAAAAGCGACGCGCTTCGACAGACAGAGTTTTTCCATCTAGACAACCTTTTATCTCACCACAAACCACCATCATGTCTCACGAGGAGGATCTCATTGACTACTCCGACGAGGAGCTTCCCACCACCGACGCGGCCGCGACCACCGCTGCTCCCGCCGCCAATGGAGAGGCCAAGAAGGGCGACTTGACTGTTTCTGGCGGCCGTTCCGACAAGAAGGGCAGCTATGTTGGCATTCACTCTACCGGTTTCCGTGATTTCCTGCTCAAGGAAGAACTCCTGCGTGCTATTACCGACTGCGGTTTCGAACATCCATCGGAGGGTTAGTCCATCATACGTATTCTTTCCCAAATCAAAACCTCCCTCCATTGCTCCAAGTTTCAACGTCCGTCCGTCCATCTCCGCGAGGGAAAACAAGTTTCATGGTCGCTTCCGGACATATATCTGCGTTCGAGCTCGTGGGCGGCATGAGGATGCGTGTTCGGGTCATCAAAAGACGAGCCACTCTGCTTGCAAAAGTAGAGCATATAGGCTTCTGCTTGTTGCCTTCCTTTGCTTCGGCAAACCACGGCAAGACCGTGCTCAGCAAGATCCTCAGGGAATTTTTTCGCCTGCGACCACTCAATGTGGCTACTGAGTGGGTGTTTCGAACGAAGTAGGATTGCTCCTGCTATTGTCTCTACATGATACTTGTCCTCTTGCCGCCCGCAGAGAGCTCTTGGTATAGGAGTCTGTACTGTTGGCGATTGCATTGTCGATTTAGTGCTCTTTGTGAGCTCTTTTATTGTTATTGTTCCGTGCTGGAGACATCAGATTAGCGCGTTATCCTTCAGCTCGGAGCCTCGGGGGGATGGACGGACTTGCGACACGGATTGCTTCATTTCATTAAGTCTCATGCATCGAGTACAAGTCTAACATACGGTTTCGCCTACCACAGTCCAGCAAGTTTGCATTCCTACCGCCATTTTGAACGTGGATGTTCTGTGCCAGGCCAAGTCTGGTCTCGGAAAGACTGCAGTTTTCGTCCTCACCACATTGCACCAGCTGGAGCCCGTTCCAGGAGAGTGCTCGATCCTCGTCATGTGCCACACTCGTGAGTTGGCCTACCAGATCAAGAACGAATATGCTCGTTTCAGCAAGTACCTTCCCGACGTCCGGACCGCCGTCTTCTACGGAGGTACTCCCATTCAGAAGGATCTTGAGGTCCTGGCCAACAAGGAGTCTTACCCCAACATTGTCGTCGGTACTCCTGGTCGGTTGAACGCTTTGGTTCGCGACAAGAAGCTGTCTTTGCGAAATGTCAAGGCTTTCGTTCTTGACGAGTGCGACAAGATGCTCGACCAGATTGGTGAGTTATTGTGTATTGGGGCGGCCAGTCTGGATGCTAACCATAATCGATAGACATGCGCCGCGATGTCCAGGAGATCTTCCGTGCTACTCCCGCCGATAAGCAGGTCATGATGTTCTCTGCCACCCTGTCCCAGGAGATCCGTCCCGTCTGCAAGAAGTTCATGCGCAACCCTCTCGAAGTTTACGTCGACGACGACACTAAGCTCACCCTCCACGGTCTGCAGCAGTACTACATCAAACTCAGCGAGACAGAGAAGAACCGTAAGCTTAACGAGCTTCTGGACAGCTTGGAGTTCAACCAGGTCATTATTTTCGTCAAGAGCACGCTCCGTGCTCAAGAGCTCGACAGGCTGTTGCGGGAATGTAACTTCCCCAGTATTGCAGTTCACTCCGGAGTGAGCCAGGAGGAGCGGTGAGTTTGTTTTACCGTTTGATTGTGGTGGGCGGCTACTAATTCCTTGCAGTATTAAACGTTACAAAGAGTTCAAGGAGTTCAACAAGCGTATTTGTGTCGCTACTGACGTTTTCGGACGTGGTATCGATATCGAGCGTATCAACCTCGCTATCAACTATGATTTGCCGGGTGATGCCGACTCCTATCTCCACCGTGTTGGTCGTGCTGGTCGTTTCGGTACGAAGGGTCTGTCCATTTCCTTCGTCAGCACCGAGGACGACGAGAAGGTTCTTAAGGACATTGAGAAGCGCTTCGAGGTTGCCCTTCCGTAAGTAGTCTAAGCCTCTCGTTCTTGCAGCCCATGCTAACAATGCTTTTTAGCGAATACCCCGAGGGCGGTGTCGATTCCAGCACTTACATGGCTTAAGTGCGTGTGATCTACGTCGGGAGCTGTTCCATACGATAAATCTTTTTTCCCTATCTCGGTTCTACTGTTTATTATTTCCTTTTGGCGTGATGGTTCGGTTACATTTTCCTCACTCTGAGGCAAGGCACTGGTTGGATTAGGCCGGAAAAGACCAGAGACATGTAGGCAGAAAAGCATACTCAGAAGCGAATTCGATACCAGTGCCTCCTGCACTACAGCTGTATTATAAATGTATGTTTGAGGGGGGCAATGAGGACATAAGCGTAGTCGGGAATTTTGTGGTTGAAAGGTAACCTTCTATCGCCCGCCCAGATACCCAACAGCTCATAGTTCGCAGCTTCAGCATGACGGTATGGAGCAGAAGCTGCTCCCGTTGTAAGCAATGTCGCCAGACAGGAATAAGAGGAACGCTGAGACACTCAGCATTAACCAACTGCCCGAGCCGAGTTATCGATAAAGCCCACCGCAACTGTCGATATCACCGTTATCTACGCAGTACGTCGGAAAGACGTCAAGTCATGAAGCTGTGATGAGCGAGTGAGCGAGTTGCTCCGACAGGAAGAATCCCGACTAAAATAGGAATCCTCAGATGTTGTCCGTAACAACCATAGTAAGGGAAGAAGCGGGCGGGCCAGCGAAGGAGGTTGATAACGATTTGAAGTTACTCCGTAGTTATTCACGGAATCAATGACGCAACACTTGGAGCTCTTTCTTCCTCTCCACTCCACTCCAATCAAGAAACACGAGAGGGTATATTTGATTTGGGTTTAGGTTTATATTCAACTCAGTTCCCTCTCCATTATTATCCTCTCTCTATAAATCAATTAACTCAATAATCTTCTCCCCCCTCCCTTTTCTCTCTCTCTCTTACCATAACCTGTACAGAAACCCCTTCCTTCCACCTCATCAATAGAACTGATAAACAATGAGCCCGCGCTGCTTCATCGTCCGCCACGGCGAAACCGAATGGTCCCTCAACGGCCGACACACGGGCACCACCGACCTGCCCCTCACGGAGAACGGGGAGAAGCGCATCAAGGCCACCGGCAAAGCCCTGGTAGGGAATGACCGGTTGATTGCCCCGAAGAAGTTGGTTCATGTGTATGTGCTTGTTGTCCTCTCCCGCATTTTCTGGGTTTTCAGTGGTATCTACGTTTGGTTTGTGTTGTTGGATGATATCCCGGATATCCCGGGTCTCACGAGTTTGGGACTTGTCTTTTGCCCCATCCCCCGCCATAATCTTGTTTATTCTGGTTTACTGGATGAGCAAACAAAGAGGGGGTCATAAACCACCCAGCCTAGCAAAGGAATACATACGGATGCATAAATACAACAAGGCTAATCAAAGATGTGATGTGGGGGAAAAAACAGCTACGTTTCGCCCCGCGCCCGCGCGCAACACACACTCGAACTCCTTGAACTTGGCTGCAAAGAACGTTTACCCTGGACGGAGGAGCGCAAGTCCGAGGCGGAGGAGCCGATCCGCACCGAGGCACGGGTCGAGGTTACCGAGGCGGTGCGCGAGTGGGATTATGGGGATTACGAGGGGTTGACCAGCAAGCAGATCCGGGAGCTGCGCGAGAAGAATGGGGAAGGGCCTTGGGATATTTGGCGCGATGGGTGTCCTGGGGGAGAGTAAGTCTTTGTCCCTTTTTTCTGGTGTCTTAATAATAGGGAGGGAGGGGGCTGTTTCATCTTCCTTGGCTTTCTTATGCGGAGGAAAGGAGAAAGAAGTCACTGGCTGGATTGCAATGCTTGGATTGTTGGTGATATGCGTTTGTGTGGTCATTAATCCTAACTGAACGGCAAAACAACTAGATCCCCCGAAGACGTCATCAAGCGCCTCGACGCCCTCATTGCCGAAATTCGAGCCAAGTACCACAATCCCTGCTTTGAGTCGGACAGCGGCAAGGGTGATGTCCTGATCGTAGCGCACGGACATATCCTGCGAGCGTTTGCGATGCGCTGGACAGGGAAGCCGTTGACGGAGACGGCATTGATTTTGGAGGCGGGTGGTGTGGGCACGTTGAGGTGAGTTTGTTTTCTTGGCTGCGGCGCGCGCGCGCTCGACGATCCTTCTCTGTCGGCCCGATTCTTCCCTCTTTGCTCTGTGAGTATCTGCAATATCCATGCTGACTTTCATGCCACACAGTTACGAGCACCACAACATCGACGAGCCAGCAATCATCCTCGGCGGAGGTTTCGTTGTCGACTCTTGAGGTGATCTTCTTCGTGGTCTCTCGATACGATGGAGACAAGGACAAACAGCAGTGTGTGCATGTTACTGTGTCCCCGCCGAACAACACGAGACTAGACCGGGCCAGCGGGGGAGAAGGGAAAGGAGGTTTATATCGACCGACGGTGACGTTTGATCAAAGTATCACCCTCCTAGACGAACTCGAGTCATAGGATCTGCAAACATCACAACAATCAGTCCTAGGCACTTGAGAAACCCAATAGAACAGCTTCCTTAGAATCCCCAAGCAATACTTACCCATTTAGCCAAAAGGCCCCATCAACTCAGCAGGAGACACATAAATAGTACATGGCATGCAATTCTCCGGGCGCCAACCTCGAACATTTATCTGTCCTTGACAGAGCCTCTCCCCCACAACTTACTCATTCTCACTCTCACTCTCATTCTTCCCACCAGCGCCCGTGCCCGCTGCACCAGCTGCTGCGCCACCACTACTCTCATTCTTAAGAATCCCCTCCTCTCCCAGAACCTTAGCCGACCCCATGAATAAAGCCCCGACGTAGCCGCCCAGAAACCGCATATCCTCCGCCTGCACGGCTGTCATGCGCACCAGGTTCTCTGTATCGCGGAGGTGGCTGTTCAGCTGGCCGAGCTGCGCGTAGAGGTTGGCGTACTGTCGGGTTTTGGCCATGGACATGCTCGTGCTGCTGCCGCCGCCGCCGCCCCCATAGCCCATGGAAGCCGAGGCAGGGAGGATGGAATGACGGGGTAGGCGCTGGGATTGGCTGTGGGTGTATTGATGCGAGGGAGGCATGATGGTGATCTTGTTTTCGCGGCTAGAAGATGGATTTCAGGTGGCCGCGAATGGGTTAGGAAGTTGAATGAAACTAGGTTGACGTCCTGAATTCCGGTTGTTGACAATCTACGGTTTGGATCACGTGAGACCGTCGCCGCGGCGACTCTGCTGCTCCAGCGGCCGGAGCTGGTACCGTCCGTGGACACTCTGCCATTACTTTCCAATCAAGAGTTACTTTGATGGTTGCAGCAAACATGGTTCTTCTAATCAACTGGATAGTTACCCTGCCCACACAATGGCCTGGTTGCTTTCACTATTACTCTGCTTGGACATGAACCGAGCCAAATCAAATCAATCAATCACCCGGATAAATGATGGACCCCCTGCTCTTTTTATGCGCCAGAAAGCAGACCACGATGAAAAAGAAAACGGCAGGGCCGCAGAGGCACATCGGATAAACAACAATATAGGAAATGCAAAGGAGAGCATGCATGTCAGACTGACTTGGAAAAGGTAAGGAAATGAATCAGGCAGCAGAGAATAATAAGGTCAAGTAGAGGACGGAACCACATGTATGAACTCAACAAAATCATGCGCCGACTCGCATAGTGTACAACAATTTGTCATGCAGAAGCACAATGTATGATCAGTACTGGAGAATGAACGTCCGTGGTATAGCTGCGAAAAGTCAAAAAAGGTATTTATCGCTCGAGCAGAGGCCCGTCAGCATGGGAATCAAGAATTGCCGCTGAGGTGATTTGGAAACAGGTGAGAAGGGCAAATGTAGGAGAATCACCCCACGGGCAACCCGTGCGCAATAGCGCCGCTCAACCAAATGAGAAATCAGGGAAAATCCTTAAGTCCGTTGCATATATGTGAACAATTGAAAACAACCCGAGGATGAAACGGAGGAGTGCGGTTCGATCCTCTTTTTTTCCTGTTGCTGAGCATCTCATTAAAATATATTCTTTATAAGAGGCAAAAAGCAACTTGGGAGGAGAATTCCCCCTTCGTGCTGAGAAAGAGGAAGTATAGAGATCACGGCAGGAATGCGCACAGTCGGAGGAACAAACGTGCTCAGCTGCCGTAGGGAGAGGGCTAGAGGGGAAACGGGTTTTTGGGCTTTGACATTCAACGAACAGGCGCCGCAGCTTGCTGCGCGCCGAGGCTGATCTGGCTGCTGTGGGCTGAATTCTCGGAATCGAGGTTCGCACTAGCGCCGCTGTCACCACTCCCCGCGCTGGCGCTCGCACTTCCAGTCAGACTTCTTTCCTTTGGAGTGCCCTTAGTGGGATACGAATTGCTCACCCCAATGTGTTGCTCAACTTGTTGCGGGCCTACCGCATTACCATGTCCTGGGGGATACTTGGGAACAGGTGCCCGCATGTGTCCCGGAGGAGATGGGTGACCGCCATTCGGAGGCCCGGGGGGAGGACCGAAGTGTTGATCCTGAGCAGTGGCCGGACGGCCCATACGAGGACCCGGTGGGCCACCGTAAGGAGTTGCGGGAGAATGGCTGTTTCTCCGACTTTGTGGGTAGGGGTGCGGAGGATAGTCGCCCATTCGACTCGTGGTCATGGAATTGGTACGTGAACCTGCAGCCATCTGGTTTCTATCCACAGAGCCATACCGATTCGATGAGTAAGCCATCATGGGGTTGTCCAGCAGGGAATCGTGAAGCCCGGGGATCTCCTGCATGATGCGATCGCTGGCACGCTTCCTTCCTCCGCCAAAGTAGCGGCTGAACGTAGACGAACGGCCGCCGCCGCCGCCGCCATTGGAAAGAATCTCGGGGTTCTTCCGTATTTGGCTGGCGCTCGGGTATTTCTTAGCTCTTCGAGATGTGATACTCATCATATCCACATTGTCGGGGTCGATGTTTGGGACCAGGCTGGTATCCATAGGATCGAAGTAATCATCCTCATCTTCTTCGTCGAAAGTGGCTCTGGAGGGAGCAGCCCTGCGGGGTGGACCCCGTCTCATGCTCATTTCGTGTTCTCGAAGCTGCAACTCACGCTGCCGCAACGCCAGCTCTCGTTCTCTCAAGGACAAGTCAGCAGTCGACTGCGAGTGGCCAGGGCCAGGAGGACCATCTGGGTAACCGTTGGGATTTCTCGGGGGAGGTCCAGCTTCGCCAGCATCATCATAAACGACCAGGTGGCTGAATTCCTCCAGACCCTCTAGAGACGGCTCACGGGGCATCCTGGCAGCAGCTGGTAGAGGTTGTGTGCTGCTGGGTCGCGGCATTCCAGGCATCGGCGGTCCGCGTCGAGAAGGTGGCATCATCATTGCGGAACTCGACCTGCCGGGGGGTGGACGCATGGGAGGGCCATTCCGTGGTGGGGGAGCCGAAGACATCCGGGTGGGTTGTGAAGGCGGGGGGGCTTGGATGGACGGGGTGGGGGATTCACGAGGTTTGCTCAAATTAGTGGTATTAACGTGGTGTAAAATAGCATAGATGGTTTCGATACGAGGAAGTCGAATGCTGAGTTCGGTTGCCAGCTTGATCGGTGACCCGAGGTATGTCTCGATCTCCATGGGACGACGAGCTTGGAAATCCTGGTACATTGCGTTAGGTGATTGAGACGCGGCCATCGCATCCATTGTCTTCTGCGAAAAGTCACTGGGGAAAGAGCATCCATGTGCTTTAGCCAGTGTGATGAGCTCATCAATCACGTCGGTCACCAATTGCCGTACGCCGACCTTCTGCAGGAGTTCCGTGACGTTCCCACTGTCAAACATGACACTTGTCGGGTAAAACGCGATGGGACTGGAGGTTGACTAGATTAGCATTGTGTGCTGCAAGACCCAAAGTTCGTGATTATTTACCCTATAATACGCTCAAATTGCTCTTGTCTGATGTTGTTTGAAACTTTGCAGTCCACTTGACCGGAGTTCAAGGTCATTGCCAAGGCGGAGGCCATGTCGGTTTGCATTGACGAAGGGATGTTCGAATTCTTGTTGGTAGCACCAACCCAGATATTTGACGAGTTCAAGTGCTCGAACTCGCTGGGTCCAATCTGTGAAATCTCCACGCCAGAAACGAGCGAGAGGACAACATTCGTAGGGAACCGTTGCTCGAGGTGTGATTCGACGCCAAGGGTGTTGGTGGTATTGAGCAAAATACAGGTATGTTGAGGGGTAACCACGGATTCAATCACTGCGGCCAGGTCGTATACATCGGGCAATGCCTTCACGCAAAGAATTACATAGTCATAGGCATTTTCTCGCGATGCCGCCTCTTCCGGTGAGCGTACCACTGTAGAGTGACTCTTGTCAGCTGACCATTACAGCCGCTTGCGGTAATTCGACAAAGACGAGAGAAAACATACCGTGACGAGGCTTGAATCTTTCATTGCCGAAGGCTTTCGACCTATTGACTGATTGTTAGAAGCCGTTTGATGCGCAGTAGCCAGAGAGACAAACTTGAAAGACACTCCGTATTGCGAAACCGCTTCAAATCCCGACTTCCAGACTAGTGTTACATCGCAGGAGGTTGACGCCTGGAGCCTCCAGGACAGAAAAGCTGAGATAGCGTTGCTGCCGACTAAACAGACCCGTGTTAGAAGACGACCCATGCTGTAAGAGATTGACGATCAAGGCAGAGGAGGCCGGGGGGGGGGGGGGGGAAATTGTGGATTCATGAGAGGGGGCAGCGTGAGGCTCATCCGGATAACAAAAAAGCAGCGATCCGTTCGGACTGGGTGAATCTAGTGCCGGCGAAGACTGAGACTAACCTGACAAAACGCGCAGGCGCGGTGGAGGAGCCATGACGAGTGATCAAAGTTGGAAAGAAGCGTTTCGTCGAGCCGGTAAGATGGTCACTGAAAAAGCCGAACCCGAAATCGCCAGAGATCACGGCTGGGATGCGCGATTGACGTAGGCTGCCACCGAACGAGAAAACGCAGTGCGATCGCCGAAACTAGGATTATCGATTCACTTCGGATGCTGGACAATACGCGACAAGCGCCAAGGGTAAGAGAGTGAAAGTAAGGGGAATCACAGAAGAGAAATTCTCCAAACAGTGAACGAAAATGAATAGGGAGAGAAAAAAAAAAAAGAGGAGTTCCAACCAGGACGAACGAAAGGAGGTGGTGACGATCGTAGCGAGGGAGGGCGAGAGAGGGATTGTGAGGGAGAGTAAAAGACAAGTCCGTGAAACGAAAGGAAGAGAGAAAGAGAGGGGGAGAGGGGGGAGAGAGGGAGGGTGGGTGAAGAGAAAGAAGGATGATTAGTGAAAGGGGAGGAAGAGGATAGCAACAGTCGAAGTTGTCGGAGAAGAGGAAGAGAGAGAGAGAGAGTGAGTGAGTGAGAGAGAGTGAGAGAGAGTGAAATCAGGATGGGATGAGATTGGGATTATTGGGGATGGGAAATAAGGTGTGGATGGTTTGGCTTGCTTGTGTTTCGCAGTAGTAGCAGTAGCAGCACCAGCAGCACCATTACCAGCACCAACCAACAGCAATTCAGTCAGCTCTGGGCGTATGGGCAGCCCAAATGGGGGAGCTGATGGAGCCGTACGTATCTCTCTTTTTTTTTTTCTCCTCTGTAATAATAATTTTTTTAAACTTTTTTTGGTTTACTTTTGTTTTCTCTTACCTGGTTTGCTTGTTCACCCATAAACCTCTAACGGTTGTCGTGGATCCCCCGCCAGGGCTCAATCCGGAAACGGAGGCAGGAAAGGAACAAGACAACAATTGACTGTTGACGGAGGGAGTAGGGAGGGGACGGAGAAGATTGACGGAGAGAAACTCTGCAAGCGACAATCGAATGGCGAAAGTGTGAGTGACTGAGTAAGAAAGAATGTCTGCCTCCGGAGACAGGCAGGACGAGGAGGCGCGATGAGACACGCCGATGAATGACAATGATGGGCTGAAAATTGGCCGCAGGCTAAGAATACCTCCTAGTAACTTAGTGGACAAGGTAGTGCTGGCTGCCTATGTTGCTGAGGTACTCCGTACTGACACTAGTTATGTTCATATGCTACGCCTTCTATGATAACTAACCAGTTACCTGCAGGCTTGGGATAAACAAGCCATGATCTTCTCTTCTTCTTTATATGGTCACCACAGCCTTCAATGAAGGATACAATCCTCAGGGAATGGTGAGACTACTCAGTCCTTGTTTTGCCATGAAGTTGATCCTGATATCCCAACACAATGATACACTCATGCTAGGAATTAGAAGATTCACTCAGCAGCAGCTGAGATGGTGATATTCTTCCAGACAGGTTGTTTGTGCAGACTAACCCATTCAGAGTATCGTCCACGCTACTCACTTCCGTCCTAACGTTCACAATCAACAAACCGGTTTTTCACTTTCGGATCGGTTGTTCAGTCCCTCTGGCACTCTTTGGCTTGATTATTATGAACTGCCGTCCGTTTAAATTAGTCTGATAAGTTGTGACATAACTAACTCTTCTATTGTCTGAGGGTATGCAATTGCCAGGCAATAAATGCGCTCGATAGCCTGAATACTACGGAGAGTATATTCCTCCCCAAAGTAGAACAGCCCCCATGATAGGTATCTCTGATGATAAGCCCCAGCCATCCATCCATTTCATCTCGAATCTCGATATCATAAATTCTCTCTGTTACCCCTGAATGAAAACCAGGGACGAGTCAAGTCCCCCACTAGGCGTTCAATCCATGGAATTCCCATTAGTGTCAACCGCTACGACCAACCGATCCACGTATGACCGCCGCCGCCGACGCCAGCGACGACGAGGACGATGACGACGGATGAGGGGGGGGTCCGCGGTTTTACTTTCCATGGTGAGGTAACGAGGGCAAAGGAGGTAGTTATCATGATTATTTTGGTTGCTTTAAATTGCTTTACATGTTTACTGTTTAATGAAATAGTTCATCTATTCAATTCTTTCCGTGGAGCATCTCAATTAAAATCATGATTACCAATATTTTATCTTCTTTCTATAAGACACGACAACCTCAATTATCCACATTTACTTGGAACATGGCTGGACTTGGGGCCAACCATGATGCGACCGAGCGGTCATCGAACCAAGTGCAGAACCGCAGCAGCAGCAAACAGTGCAGGCTTGCAGCACATCCTCCCGTCACCTCATAATCCACCCTGGAACCCACACTGTCGTCGTCGGTGGTTCGAGGTCCAAGGCCCGGGATTCGTCCGCTACCATCGGCGGGCGGGAGTTTGGCCAGTCTAAGTGTACTAGATTCAGCGGTAGGCTGGCTTCGGATGCGGGCCCTTCTAACGAAACAGCCAAAGTGCGCTACAAGCCACAAATGGGAGACGCGGATGCCTCCGTCGCGGTCGCAGGTTGTGGGCGGTTCCGAATTTTTTATTTTCAGTCTCTGGAATCACGCCTTGCTCGTTCGGGTAACAAGCTAGAAACAAGGTAAAACCGGGTGAGAGAAATGGGGATCAATATATACCCAGCTGGTTCCTCAAACGTTTCTATCATGGTTCTTAGACTTTCTTTGTTGAACACGATTGAACACGATTCGCGAAAGGGGACACCATCATCACAATGCATACAAGCAGACACTTGTACTTCATATTATGTGTGTATCATTAATACTGCTAAGGGTCCTCACGAAGGTCTAGCCAAGCAGGTCTGTCTACTACGGAGGTCCTGTACCAACTACTCCGTACCTTGCAAAACCAGTCAATGCTCAAGCAGAAGCACCTGTACGGAGGGAGATCGTCAACTCTCCCAAAATAGGTGACGGTGCTTCTGGACCACCAGACCCTGGGGTGCTACTACTCCAGCTAGTATACGGAGTAGACCTAAGCTCAATGTAAGAGAGGGGGTGGTGGTACTCACCAATGGATCCTCCACGCTAAAGATCGCTCGATGGGAAGCTTCGATATTCTTGTTTTGTCCAGCAGACTTTACCTCCCAGCGAAGTGATCATCTCTCTGGCAATATCATACATGACGGACCATCACTCTGGCGATACCCTGCTATTTTGCCGAATACTTTTTTGTCTCCTACCCAGTTCCACTACGTAGATAAAGTATGTGTACCTCATAACACAGGGGAATTCTTCGCCGCTGCAACAACCGGGCAGGGGGCGGCGGTGTTTGTCGAACCCGGGCATGCCATAGATTCCTACCCGCAGTAGGGATCGACACCAATTGCTCATACCGAGCCGGATTGGAACCTTTGTGTTGCTGACCTGTTTGCAGTTTAATCTAAAAGAAAAAAAAAACAATTAAGAGAAAATTACTCAGTAATTGGGGATGCGATCGCGCGGCTGTCTCCGCGACCAGCAATTTCTGTTGCTGCTGTTGCACCTGCTTATGTAAAGTCAGTCTAATGGAAAGGATTTCGCCACTATTATGTTTCATTGATTGACAACAAATTGTTCCTGTACTGTGAAGCGTGAAGGGAGCATTGGCACTGATAGAGTTTGGTCTCAGATTGACTTTCCACAGTCTGAAGTTCTTCTAGCCTTTGAATTCACCGGCTAACTCCGCCCGCATTCATAAGAAGCACAATCTTGATGCGCATAACATAACGAACGTGACAGTGATTTGCCGTGGTTTGTTCAACTTCAGACGCGACACAGTTAGTGGGGGGGATGTACGAGGAGGAAACGAAAATAAGAACAAAAAAAAGGAATGCAATAAATCCAGATTATTCTCTGCAGTACATCTTTTCGACACGCCTCATGGCAACAGCACATCAGTCGAGAATTATTGCTATAATAGATGGAACCCCCTCCCCCTCCCCCCGCAATAGCTTACTTTGGGGGGGAGAATTGGGGGGTGCATTTTGGTGGGTGTGTCGCTGTGGTTGTGGTTGAGGATGTCCCCCGTCAAACTTATGGCAAGACGATGAAGCGGCGAGGACCAGGAATTCGCAGTCACCACCACCAAAACTCATGAAGCACGTCGTAGACTAAAAGTAACGAGTGGATGTGGAACCGGCAGCCTTCGGATGGAAACCAAGGCATCTTCTTGAGCGGGAATCCAGTCTAACTCCTGCTAGCTTGTCTAAGCAACCTAGAACAAATCACATTGTTCGATTTGGCGTGTTTCTATCTATGGCTACTGCCTCAATTGTGGGTCTGGTACTTATCAAATCTTACTGGAACAAGGAAATCTCTTCCCCCCCTCTTCCCCGTTTCAGTCTTCAAGGTTCTTGCAAGTTGCAACCAACCTGGAGGTTTAGTGCTTTAGCAAACCTCCTGGAGTTAACTAAGAAGGGGACCGGCGTGCCTCCTTAGGTTCTAGGAGATGGTCAGATGTATGCCAACTGCCAAGGAGATCATCCCTCTCTAGTAATCTGTCCAGTCATCGCAGTGTGCCTCACGCTTCTGCTCATCAATTGTGCATCTGGCATCAGAAAGGATTCTAACCTCTGCCTTACCAACCTGAGTTTAGCCTAAGTTTAATGTCAGAATTGTCAGACGGTTGCAGGATGGATGAAGATCCCCCCCTCTCATTGGCAGGCTCTTTAGGCATGCATTCGGGTGTAGGTACCTGGTATTTACGGTACACTTTGGTGCATCTAATTCATTATCTCTGGTTCCTGAGATCGTGAATCAGTAGTTAGTGGTCGCAGGACGTGCGAACAGGAACGGACTGTGACCAATCTTTCTAGAAGGTGATATTATCCATGGCGCGCTTTGATGGGTTGCAGGATTGCAATTCCGGGAATCCAGCTCGGCAAGGAACCAAGGTAACTACGGTAGTTGTATCTTGGACTCTGCTACCAAGATACAGAGTACTCCATACCCTTCGTCAACAGCCGCTTGAACAACAAACTCAGCAGAATATAAATAATACGGAGTACTTGGCAACACGATCAGACTGCTGTACAATCGGGCCACAAGATGTGCTCAAATCTGAGAATGTTGTCTATACAGTACATGCAGGCTACGCTAGCGCATGCGCTGGATGTAGCAACTAAACCGGTAGTCCGATGGGCGCCTCGAGCCTTGTGTGCTATCTATGGTTTGGTCGGCGGTGCCCTCAGAAGTACTATACTAAGGTACGGTAGTCTACTAGCTCGTATCTTGCTCGGTTACTGCTACTACTGTATAAGTCAAGAAACTGATAAACCAGTCACAACCCCGCCAGCGACCAAGTAAATTTCATCACCACCTCTCAACATCACAAACTGTCTCCAGCGGGACCCCTTTTCATTCGGACTGGGTCACGTACAACACATGGGAAACCAGGGCCCAAAGCCCCACGGCCATCCCATTCGAAATCCAGCCGAAAACAGTCGACCACGGCGTATCCGAGACCCCTCCGCGAGGGGGAGGGGAAAAAGAGCCAAGGCCGGTCTAATGTACAATGAACGGCCCAACCAGGAGGAAGTGTGGTCTGGGCTCACTCAGAACCCGACCATAGCACCTGCAGGACTAGAGAGCTCAGGCTTATTACAGAAGACTTGACCTACGAACACGTCCATGCCAGAAATGGGGTCTATGCTAATGCGGAATCCGCGCCTGTGCCGATCGATTCTGAGCCGCAACCGCAAAGCGGTCGTTCCTCACTGAATCGCTTGATTTTGACCTTTGAAGGAGCTGCACATGCAGAATCCAGGACTGGTCTATCTATTTTGGTTTTTGAGCTTGCTAGTCTACCTGGAGGAGCTGTGTATGCCGAGTGTCAGCTGCTTTCTGCTACTGCTTTCTCTGGTATAAGCTCCGATGTCGCACATGATACGTTGTAGCCGAACAATACCTTCCCGGACGATTGGGATGTGAACTAGTAGAAGCAGTCGGGTGATGCGCTGGTGTGTAGTCCATCGGAATTGCGAGGTCCCGCTTCCCCGACCTGTCATGCTTACCTTTTGATGCCGTGGTTGGACGAGAACACGGATAACACACCGGGTGAGGATCTTGATGGTTGCCATAAACCCCGCACATCCTCTGCGGTACGAGTAGGCACTTGCCCGGCATTTGTTCAGAAGTCGCGGCTGTTTCCCGCGCCGAGTTGACACACAAAGACGGGAGAAGATAAAGCGGGTGGCCAAGCATGCGGGAAATCATGGAGTACGGAGTACTTCGAGTTGATAGGCGGAAATGGCCATCGTGGCGTGATAGGCACAGACTGGGTTTGACTGGCATCCCACCGCGTCAGGTTTCTTTAGTTTCAACTAGCTCGAACGTGCAGACGTCATGGTTGTGTCGCGACCCCGCTAGACACGAGTACATACACGAAGAATCGCCGTTTGTTTGAGCTGTGCGACGCTTCTTCACCGGGCTCGTCGACCAAAGTCTTTGCTTCGGGACCCGGGAAGGGCTTTGTACAGATTGCTGTCCGTGATGAACTCGTTCCGCCCATTGGTTTTGACTCTCTTGGCTGACCAAAGACTGTGTTTGTTTTCATCGACGCTGACGATCATGTCGGGTGCATTACGACCAGAAAAATATCATCGCAAGTCATTGAGGCCAAGATGGTTACAGCCACTGTTCTGTGTTCAGGGGACCAGATAAAACACAAGAAAGATATGGCAGATGATCTTGCCGAAAGCGTCAATAGGGGATTTCCATCAGGGCAAATGAGACATAGCAACCAACGTGACCAGAGGTTTTAGAAGAACTTAGTGACATGCTCGATCCCGGCTTCCGGGTGGAGCCCTTCGATGCAAGCGGCGGATGCTCGGCTGACTCATCGGGAAGCATGTCAACCAGGAATGCCGAGCTGATGCCTTGCATTTCTGGCGGCCAACAGATCCCGCTCTGCTGCACAACATCCCATCATAACTACAGTGCCTACATTGTGCAGTGATTCATACACACTAAGCCATCAACTCAGCCTTCAAAGCAGGAATGTGATCTGATTAAGGCGCACTAGGATGCCATTACTTCTTGTTCGTAGTAGATGCAGCTGAGAATAGTGCTGCCTAAGGATGATCAAGTGCGCTTAACTTGACGAGTTATCCCACTTCTGACTAAGCTATTGTGAATGTACACGAGGGGCAATATCTGATAGTCGATCCGAAATCGCGATATGAACAGCTCATGGCGAGTAATCCTGGCTATGCTTCAAGATACACCTACTCCCACTGAGATCAGTATGTAGAGCTAAGTTCTCGAGTGTCTGCACGAATCCACAAATGACTAATGGATGTGCTGTGGCAGAATCCTCCACGGTTGATGGAAGCCAATCAATCTTACTCATAGAAGGAGAGCACAGGAAGTCATTGCGAATTGATATCGACACCAAGTAATCGGAGAGAAACTTGAAGCTTGCACCCAGTCTCCTGCAAAGGCAGCCAGCCGCGAGCCACAATGACCAGAACCTCGCGCAAGCCCCCGCGAGACCCAGCCCAACTCTCGGGGAAACCACTGGCAGAGACCCTGGAGCCGTCGCCCGTCCTCCACAGTGAGACAGAAGACTGGACGACCTCTCAGGACCTCACCGAATACGGTCTGTCATTTGTGCCTGAAGTCATGCAGGATCTGACCCTGTACCTGCTGGCCAACCCCAACGTCAACTCCAGCCACCTGTTCCGGGCCGATATTCTCTTCGACAGCGAGGGGATATTGCGCACCCCGCGCGAAAAAGCGCAGTCCTTTGCGCTCACCGGCAATGCCAATGCGGACGTCATTGCAACTACTGGGGTCTTTGATGGCGACGAGAAGGAGGAGGACGACGAGGTTGGGCCCATCCCGGCGCGCGAAGTCCCCGGGTTCTCCCTGAGCAGGACTGTAGTCCGACGCCTGGTACCCCGGAATCCTAAGCTGGATCGAACTCTGGACCAGACATGTCACTTCTACGAAGCAGAGACTTCCCCTGCCACTGGAGGCAGGGAGCAACATATTTGCCGACGCTCCCTGGTCATCTACACCCCCCACATCACCAAAGAAGAAGAGATCCCCTACTACCACCCCGCCCTCCGCTCATTGGCCTACCTATACGACTACAATACGAGCCCTGGCTCTAACACCGACCCTTCTTCTACCCCAGGGGAGCCACCCCAGGATACTATCCCAGGACCAGGCACCTTAACCCTACACACACTCCTTTTCCCTAGCCTCCCCATCACCAACCGCCTCGAGCGCACTCTGCAAGCCCTCCTCAACACGCAAATCCGGCTTGCGCGCACCACCCGCCTTCCCACTCCCTCATCAACCTCACCATCCACCCCTCAACACCTCGGCGCCAATAAGAATCCCCTCAAAGACAACATCCTCCCGCAGCACCTCGTGCAAAACACCTACACGCGCCTCAAGGCCAAATACGCCAGCGACCTATGCCAGAACTGGGTGGAAACCACCGAGCCCTCAAAGCACGTCTTCGAGGATCTCTCCATCGCCGCCTTCCTCATCGAGCTCTGGCGGAGCATGTACGGCGTCGTCCCGGAGGACGAACGCGGAGCTGAAAATCCCCATACCCAAGACGCAGCCACCATCACAGCCACCGCCGATGCTGCGGTCACCGCCAAATTCCCCGGCTTCGTCGACGTCGCCTGCGGCAACGGCGTCCTCGTCTACATCCTCTTCAAGGAAGGGTACGAAGGCTGGGGCTTCGACGCCCGGCGCCGCAAAACGTGGGAGATCTTCCCCGCGAGGATCCAAACGCGGCTGAGGGAGGAGATCTATGTTCCTAGGCCGTTTCATGATGCGATGATGTCGAAAAAGATCGATAGCAACACAACTGCTCCCCACCACCCAAGCACGGATACTGGGGAGGCGGGTGGGGTGGATGCTGCCGTTGATGCTAATGCTGATGCTGCCACCGACACCGACAGCGATACCGACCCCTTCGGAGTCGGTATCCCCAGCCACACCGGCCAGTTCCCCAAGCATACATTCATCATCTCCAACCACGCGGACGAGCTAACCGTGTGGACCCCTCTGATGGCGGCGCTGCTGAGTCCCGACTCGCCGTCGCCGTTTGTGGCCATTCCGTGCTGTTCGCATTCGTTGTCTGGGGCGAAATATCGGTATCCGCCGCCTAAGCCTGTGGCTTCTTCTTTGTTGAGGGGCAAGGGAGAAGGAGAAGGAGTAGGTGATGGTGAAGGAGTAAGACAGGACAAGCAGCAGCAGCAGCAGCAACAGCAGCAGCCGGCGGCGGGTGATTTGAAGACCCTGCGGAAGGAGAGGCAGGATGCACAGTCGACGGAGGCAGGGTTTTTGAAGAGTATGTACGGCTCGTTGACAGCCAAGACGAAGGCGGTGGCGGAGGAGGTGGGGTTTGAGGTCGAGAAGACGCTGTTGCGGATCCCCAGTACGAGGAACATGGCTGTTGTGGGTGGCCGCAGGGTCACGACGCAGCGGTGGAAGGAGGGGTTGAAGGAGGATGAGTCTTCAGATGCTGGTGCTGGTCATATTGTGGAGAAGGTCATGGCTGTGGTGCACCGGGAGTGTCAGCGCGAGGGGGGCGTGGAAGCTGCTGCGAAGATTTGGATCGACAGAGCGAGAGGCATCAATAAAGGTCCCGGGATGGGGAAGCAGCGTGGTAGCCATTGATGAGTTCATCTAATTGTTGGTTATATCGACGGAGCATTCATGATACCCATGCAAGAGTAGAGCGGAGAAGAAAAGTCGAGTCATATGATAGAGTCACATTTCTATGAAGAGTTTCTAAAAGTCTATAGACATTGAGCCTGAGCTCAGCTTCAGAAGAAACATAAGACTGAGAAGGGAGTTCTTGTGAGATAAACAGAAGACCATAACCCGCTGATCAGAGCATCAAAATAAGATCCCCACTAAAAGAACTCCGACCATGCTTTTCTATTACATTGAGCGAAGCGGGAGCCCATTTCACCTTGTCTGCGATTCACTGACAAAGGACAGATCTAAAAAGGTCGTGAATATCACCATCACTGAATCGGTGGCGGCGGTCCATGGCGGACATAAGAGACATCAAGGTTGAATCATTGTTCAAAGCTCTAAGCCTCCTTAGGCTCAGCTGCTGCTGCCTTGGAAGGGATGTTGGTGGTCGTGGCTGATGATGCCGAGGATGCTCGCTGTGCCGCGGCGGACTTCACAGCAGCCGCCACTGAGCTGTCCCTGATGCGCTTCAGCCGATCCGAGCGGGCTTCACCAGGCAGACTACCCCATACAGGCTCGATGGTATCAGCTCGCCAATTTGGTCGATGGCCCAAACCACCCCTCGTGGGTAGTTGAACCATAGATGAGCCGCCTGCGCCATCTTCACCCCACATCCTAACACGCTGGAGCTTACGCAGCTTCGCCAATCCGTAAACGCAGACAACGAGCGTGATAGCAAAGCAAGTAACGGAGACCGCGCCAAATCCTAGATCTGACTCCTCGATGAAATTCTTCAAGTTCATCCCGTAGAGCGCGGAGAAGAGAGTTCCAGTCGCAAGTCCAAGAGTACCGATGCTGAATTTCAGGTCGAGGAGCATGAGCGAGTTGCGGTTAGCATCAAGAATCGCCTTAACACTATACACACAGTTAGCTTCACTATCATTCAAAACCCCCACCAACAAGTGATACTCACACTTCTTCCGTGTTGCGAATTCCCGTCACCAAGTTACCGCTTGCCTGGACAATTTCATCGCATACTTTATGATAAGATTCCAGGAGCATTTCGACTTCCTGGTGATCGTCCTCTTCACGCTCGATGTTCTTCGCACGCTCGGTAAGGTACATCGCAGCCAAATCGTCATCCGCTTCCAGCAGATCATCGATAGCATCACGCACCAACCGAGCCTTCTGCTCAAAAGTACCCAGCTTTTTCGAATAGATCAACAGATGCCGCAATTTCTCTCTGTCAATATCCTCTTCCAAAGCCCTCAGAACGCGCACAACGGGCTCCCGGACGCCGTTGAACTCCTCCTCCAAGCCACTTGTGACACTGATCAAGACAGCTTCGAGCGCCCGGAATTCGTAAGGCAAAGCGCCCGCGCTTTGTGCCTGTCTCTGTCGCAGCTTGCCCTCCAGATCATAGACGAACAAGGATTGCATATAGGAATCGGTTGAGCCGTAAGCATCAAACACAAGCACCCGATCGGCCTTGATTAGGACGCGGAGGTGAAGAAGGTTGATAAGGATTGCGCTAGGCCGGACCAAAATATGAGGCAGAGTTGACGAATCGATCTTACGGAGATCCCGAGGAAGAAGACCGTACTGCGCAGCAGCTGTTAACGCGACTTTCCCCACTCGCCACAAAAATGTGCGGTCGTTCTCACCTTGGCAATCAGCTCACTCTTTTTGAACTCTCCGTTCACAAGAGTCACATTTCCATTGCTATCAAACTCCGTACATCGCAGTCGCGGCTCGTTCGTGATCTTGGCAGCCAATCCGCGTCCGAGCGTGAAGCCTGGCTCCGTGCCGTCTCCAATCAATGACGGCGGGCTGCACACATAATTACTACTTTCCGCAGCCTTGTTCCGTCGCCAGTCTAGGAGCCTGCGGTAGATCGACCGGTCTCTGGTGGACACTGTGCGCGACGGTTGCGCATTAGGCACGGGAGATGCCGGTGCGGAGATAGGTTGGGTGAAAGAAGCTCGGCATCGTGCACCACTACGAGTTCTCGCTGAGAAATTCGGTAGAGGTAGCAGACTAGCTTGAAGGGGTTCCTGTGATAGTGAGGATTCGACTCGATTGCAGTTGTTGGTGAAATCCCTGAGCGCAGACAACCGAGGCGGTGGGCGAGGGTTGCCGCGAGGTGTTGGATTGGCTGTGAAGAAAAGCGATTCGGACTGGGAACGCAGAAACCGTAGAAGAGACGCCGACGGGGCTGAGGATTTCAGACACGACGGGGACGGCATTTCCGTTGCGCGTGCGACGACTTCATCAAGAACCAGAATAGACGGCCGCCACCCACTCGTCCAAGTTTCTAACCGGCGGAGATGGATTCAACGCTCTTTTTTCCCGCGCCGCAAATCGTTGCGCGCCGACCCGGTCCGATAATGATCCGGTCTCTTATCCGCTGCCTTGAACTGAGATAAACGAGCAGATCAACACTAACTACGGAATACAACACTCACTCACTACTGTGGCCTGAGTTAAGTGAACTGAAAGACTCATTGCGATCCAACTTCTATGCATTGACAACTTCCCATTTTCACCTCACAATCACTCAAGTCAATCTCCTGGTCAGTGCCACCGGGATAACCTACAATATTTGCCTAGCATTCAATTACCCTAGGAGTTAATCTTTAAATGGGAGGCTCAAAGTCTGATTTATCGTGCAGGGACACACCCCCATGATATCTCACAGACTGTATCTGTACCATGTAAAAGTGTATAATTTGAGAGCCTTTTCATTGCATGCCTAGGTAGTATGATAGTCCACACAGAGTACATGTCACTACATTCATCTACATCTATGAACGGAAGTCTTAGGCTCCATCCGATTGGATGGTATGGCCGTTGCATGACGTCACCATAAATAGTTACAGGAAATGTTCCTGACTAACCTTGAAGGAAGAATCACAAGGAATTTACTAAATAGTAATTTATCGACAAGGGCTGGCATGAATACAAGACTCCATGAGTTCGTTCAATATGGCAAGACGCCGATTTTCCAATTTCTCGTCTATAAATAGGATAGTGCAACACGCTCGAGAGGCCACATTTTCCCCAATCAGGAGTTAAACAGCATCGCCGCGCAGAACAGGCTCGCGGAGACCACCCGATTGCTAACCGCGCAGTGAGTTCAGAGCAGGAAGGAAGAGAACAACACAGGGCGAAGGTATCCGACGCGAACGAATATGCTTAATGCACTGCAACGCCAGAGATCAATGCTCAGAAGGTATAGACTACACAGCAATCACCAATCATCGTCGTCCTCCTTTTCGTCATCTGCCGAGAAAGATCAGCTATGATTCTACCGCACAGAGCATGAAACATGATGTAATGAAACTTACCGCTGCCACTGACTTTCTGCTTTCTCTTGGCCAGGGCGTCTTGCAGAGCTCCAGCCAAACCTCCTGCAGGCGCGGCTCCAGTACTTGGGGTGGCTGCTGTCGCTTCGCTAGAGCCAGGAACAAAGGCACCGCTGCGGTCTTTCTTGTCTGAGTCCTTGACTTTCCGCAATCCAATGCCACCTTTTCCTCCAGAAGCTCGGATGGCAGCCATGAGGTCATTCCGACCCGCGTCAGGAGCAGGCAGCGGTGGTGCAGCACCTGGTGGAGGTGGGGGCGGAGGAGCACCAGCGCCGGGAGGTGGTGGAGGCGGAGGGGGCACGCCAGCCCCTGGAGGTGGTGGAGGCGGAGGGGGCACGCCAGCCCCTGGAGGTGGTGGTGGAGGGGGAGGAGGAGCAGAGCCACCTGGTGCAGGTGGGGGGGGCGGAGGGGGAGGGGGTCCAGTGCTGAACGGAGGCGGAGGAGGCGGTGGAGGTATCGAAGGTGCTGCGCTTGCTGCAGGACGAGCGGGGGGCGGCGGTGGCGGCGGCGGAGGCGCATTTGCCGATGGTGGCGCAGGAGGAGGCGGTGGAATCGAAGGAATCGCAGGTGGAGGTGGAATAGGCCGGGAGCTGGAAGGTACAGGCGGAGGTGGTGGGGGTACTGAAGCCGGACTTCTTGGGGGAGGAGGTGGAGGACCTGAAGCTGCAGCATTGGGAATCTTGGGTGGAAGTTGCGGGGGCCCCGCAGGGCTCATTGTGCGCGGAGGCGGCGGCGGTGCGGAAGGCATGGGGCTACGGCTAGGTGGTGCCGGCGGAGCGGACACCTTTCGCACTCCGTCGAATGGAGGTGGAACGCCAAAACGAGAGTGATTGTCTTCCACTGGCGTCTTGGGAGGTCGCGGGGGAGGCGGAGGGCCTGGATTTGTACTGGACATTGCTCGTTGGCGACCAGGGGCTGCAGATCCCGCTAGATGGGCAAATTTACCGGCATCTGCAATTGGAGGAGGGGCACGGAAACGGTTTCTTGGGGGCGAAGGCTCGCGGTTCGATGCAGGCGTTGACGGTTCATCGTCGACATCGGCTCGTGTCCTGCGCGATGGAGGAGGGGGCGGAGGCGCTCCTCGTCTACTACCGCCGCTGTTTCCAGTGTTCTGCGGGCTCAAGGCTGCCACCTTGGGAGCGGGCGGTGCCGAGGGGGGAGGGGGAGGAGGAGCCTTTCCTCGCCTCTGATCTTCAGCAAAAGATGAACTAGAGTCTGACCCAGCAGCGCCTTGTTTCTGCTCGATATAGGCCTTGATGAAGTCGGAGTTCTCTGCTATCTGGTCCTCTGTAATACCCATTTGCAGAAGTTCATCCAACAGGCCCTTCCATGCCGGGTCGCTAGTGTCAAAAGGCAACTCCTTGCGTGGCGGGCTAGCGGGAGGCGGCGGGGGAGCGACCTGGATTGAAGGTGCAGGTGGTAGTTCTGCAGGCGTGATCGTTTGCGCGTGAGAGCCAGACGACGAACGATGCCCAAGCAAGCTGCCAAACAACGATCGACCAACCCCGTGCTTGCCGTTAATCACCGGAGCAGGGCCCTGGCCTCGAGTCGACGCAAACGGCGTCAGCCGTGTCTCCTTAGTCGCGTGCTTCTCCCGCTCGTGAACCTTTTTGATAAAAGTCTTAGCCTCTTTTTCGTCTGCGAAAGAGAACCCGGCGGGGCAATCTTCGAGCTCAAAGGTGTGGAAAAATGTGCGGTCCTGGTTATACGCGAAGTTATCGTAGATTTCTTGATCCCATATGACCCCTCTCCCGGCAGGCTGCATCGCAAATAGTTGCATTGGTGAGTGAGAGCATTTCTAAATAAGAGATCGAGGATGCGCTTACCGATACATCTACCAACTTAAGCCAAAAAGTGCGGCCAACCGTGTCATTTGCCAACACTGCAGCTCCTTGTAAGCCGGTGTAGGTCCATCTTTGGGGGTCTGGATATGCGACGTAGAGACGCGCAACAGCAACAGCAAGAATCTTGTTCGCAGGCTTGGGAACAGTTCTCCTGACAGTTTCCTTGTCGGCGTCGGTGAGTATAGAAGGCATGACGTTGGCCCCGGGAGTGAAACAATGAAGTAGGGAATGTACAGAATGAGGAGCAGCGATCAGAGCGATTATGAAATGTCTCGCGGACGCATCGCAGGTGGGTTGAAGCGAGTTCGGAGGCCCAATGGATCAGGAGGGTGTTGATCCTCAGGCACGGGTGCTGGTTGATGCGGCGCGGCAATAACGGATGTCAATGGAAGTAGGGGGGAGCTTGGCTGGACTGGAAGTAAGCATGAGAAAGTGCGAGAGAAGGGGAGGTTAATTCCAATTCAAGTTCATGAGAGAGCGCACCTCAGGGACTGACAGCTGCTATGAGGGTCTGCCTTGAAGGTTGAATGATGGGGAGCGAAGAGGTCAAGTAGCAAGAAGAGGGGGATTCTGGCGGAATGAGAGGGAGAGAGAGACTAAGGCGGGCGACACTAAAGAGGTGCGCAGTGGGGATTCCTTCTGGCTGGGTCTACTCCGTACGGAGTTCAAACATGCACCGTACAACTACTATTCCACATCAGTGACACGATAGTCTCTCTTTGCTTCTCCTTACGCATCTGGACCTCCAGAAAGTTATCCCATGGAATACTCCCGTGAATTCTTCCATACAAAAATAAAATTGTTTCATTCTTTGAAATAGACTGTCGCCGCATTCGCTCACGACCTTTTTAGGCAGAAATGGTAGAGAGAAGTACGGAGTAGTTATTCGATAACGGCTCAAACAGATTGAGTTTTGCCTCTAGGCAACTTTCTTATTCCTGATCTCATTGCAAACCCTGTCTGCATGGATCATGTGGCTGCGAGGGTGCTTACATGGTAAATTTATCGCGACGAATTACAAAAATCCAACCGACGTCATCGCAGGGCCTGCAACTATAGAAAAGCCCGCCTCTCCTCACACACTTTTGATTATATTTCTAAAGAATAAACAATTTCAAAGGACCCCCGTACTGTTCTCCACACCTATCATATCTCTAATTACCCACCACTGACTCGGACCAAACACTTCACCTGTCACTATGCCCGTCATTCCATCCGAGCCTGCTAGCTTCCCTGCTGCCCACGGCAGTAACAACGAGAACCCCTCCAACTCTTCGGAGCAAAGAGATGCTGGTCAGGATACAAAGAAAGCCTCCATGCTCGATCATCTCTCAAAGGGCCCTCAGATTCCTGACAGTGAGTCTAATATTCTCCTCACCGCTGTATGGCCTTCTTGTTGATCTTGTTATCATAGGCATGCCACCCACAGCATCAAAGGAGGAGATTGAGGCACGCAAGAAGGAACTGAACCAGTGAATATGCAGGATGTGATCAACCGTCTTATTTATGCTCCTCTATTAATGATCGGATGAGATTACGTATGTCATGTTATTCGGCGATTGGATTATCACGTTACCTTTGCGAGGATATATTTACGTAGCATAACAGCCATGCAGTACCGGCATATTGAAGCGCTTTCCTACCATAAAAGTTCCGTAACACTCATATGTAGATATCATATCTCAATCGACTGATTCAACGCTATGTTACCGTAGAATCGAATGAAAACCGTGTACGCCGTACTCCATGTGCCATTGCTGGATTGTCCCGGAAAGGAATCATTATTACATCATGTTGCACGTGATCCCGCGTTCGCTTTGCTCCTCACTGCGCGATGCGATGCTGTCTCTTGTCGCGTCAAGAGCGTCCTCATGCCTCCTGAACGAGCCAATGTCCCGGTGAAGCTGTCCCTGCCTCTAGTAAGTGTGCTGAAACCTTGAATCTTTGGTCGAAATTACAGCAGACACACTAACGAGATAAAATCAGCAATACCAGCAGGACATCTTCACCGAACTGCGCGCGGAGGATGAATTGGTGGTTCTTGCACGAGGCCTCGGCCTTCTCCGGCTCGTAACCAATTTGTTGCACTTTTATGATGCTGCAGGGAACAATCTTGTACTGGTCGTTGGTGCTGACGACCGAGAGAATGAGTGGATCGGAGAGGGTATGCGTCCCTGACGGCAATCAAATGCTCGGGAAGTGGCTGATCACAGCTTGCAGCGCTTGCGGAACACTGTGCCATCAGTAAGACGCCTCTTGCTAGGGGCCTCAAGATGATCAATACCGACAGAGCCACGGTTCCAATGAGGTTGGTCGCGATCGGGACCCCGCTAATAGTATTTTCGTGCTGATCGTCGCAAAGAGAGAAGTTCTATGCCGCTGGCGGTATCCTGAGTGTGACATCCAGAATACTGGTGGTGGACTTCTTGTCTAGTAAGCGAAGCAGCTTGCATGCTCGCAAGATTGCTGATTGCTGATAGCATTTAACCGACAGAGCTCCTTGATCCTGCAAAAGTCACGGGGATGGTTGTGCTCCACGCCGACAAGTATGCCGCTGAATACTAGAATCCATGCAGACACTAATCATGTGTAGGATCCTGGCAACGTCTCTCGAAGCTTTTATCATTCGCGTATATAGAGAAGCCAACAAGACCGGGTTTCTCAAGGCTTTCTCAGATTCACCCGAGCCGTTTACAACAGGCTTTGCTCCGCTGGCTACCTCCATGCGCAATCTTTTCCTACGTAAAGCATCGCTCTGGCCGCGCTTTCACGTTACCGTTGCAGAATCACTGGAAGGTCACAGAAAAGCTGAAGTGATCGAACTCGAGGTTCCGATGAGTGATAAGATGCGGGACATTCAGAATGCTGTCCTTGAGTGTGTGGAAATCTGCATCGGAGAGCTCAAGAAAGCAAACACTGGGCTTGACATCGCGGACTGGACCCTTGACAGTGCTTTGCATCGAAGCTTTGACATCTCAATCAGGCGCCAGCTCGACCCTATGTGGCATCGGGTGAGCTTCAGAACCAGGCAGATTGTCAGTGATTTGTCGGATCTCCGTGCTATTCTTCAGTACGTCTTCTTATATCTTCTCATCGGCTCGAGCATGAACGCGCCCTTCATTCCGCCTCAACTGATCGAGATTTAGTGCCTTGCTTACCTATGATGCCGTATCGTTTCTCAAATTTCTTGATCTCATTGTAACCGCTCACACTCCGCCTCCTGGCTCTACAAGGCACAATTACTCCCCTTGGCTCTTCCTTGACGCCGCTGATGTGCTGTTCCAAACGGCCAAGGCGAGAGTTTATCAAGGCAAGATAAGTAATGAGGTGGCGCGCTCATCGTTGACTTCATTTCCTACCACTCTGCAACCAGTCCTAGAGGAACAGCCAAAATGGGAGGTTCTTGCAGAAGTACTTGAGGAGATTGAGACTGACGCATATGTCAACCCTTCACATGTGGACGAATCGAACAGTACCGTGTTAATCATGTGCAGCGATCAGCGAACGTGCCGTCAACTTCGCGAATACCTTGCAACCATGCATGCTCAAGTTGTAGACAGGAAGCTGGAGAGTTTCGACCCTGGTGATGCTACTGCTGAGAAGAAAGGCTCAGCCGAAGTGATGTTGCGCCGAAGGCTCCGAGAATATCTAGATTGGAAGGCCTCTCTATCAAATGTCAGCAAAAATCTCTCATCCAGACCACCCAACCAAGACTCCACTAGCGCAGCAAGCACGTCTACTCCAGGATCTGTGAATTCTAGGGCACCCGCAAACAAACGGCGCCGCGTCAGAGGTGGTGGTACTGCGACCGGTCCAGGACGGGCGCCCAATGCCGGCATACAGGTGGAGATGGAACCTGCAGGCCAAGTAACGGCGCTCTTAGACGAAATCAAGCCTACGGAGGTCGAGGAAACTCAGAAGGAAGAGATAATCGTGGAGGATCTGGAGGATATGGACGACTATTACGAATTATACGATATGAACGATTTGATTATGATACACCCGTATGACGGCGATATGGACGAGCACATTCTTGAAGAGGTTCGTCCGCGATACATTATCATGTACGAGCCAGATTCTGCATTCATCCGACGAGTCGAGGTCTACCGTAGCTCTCATGTGGGCAGGAATGTGCGTGTATACTTTGTTTACTACGGAGGCTCAGTGGAAGAGCAGCGGTATCTCAGTGCTGTGCGACGTGAGAAGGACTCGTTCACGAAGTTGATTAAGGAGAAAGGTGTACGTACTCCTATCACCCTCCCTCTGTATCCTTTTCCCTCTCCTCACTCGCACACGCATGCACACTCGCACATATGCGCACAATTAACCAAACATGATAATAGAATATGGCCGTCACAATTGTCCATGACAAGAGCCTAGAGGACCCGCAGGAGCAATTCCTCCGAACCGTTAACACGCGCATCGCAGGAGGCGGACGACTCGCCGCGACAGCCTCACCTCCACGAGTAGTGGTCGATGTGCGGGAATTCCGCAGCGCGCTGCCGTCGCTCCTCCACGGGAATAACGTGATCGTGATCCCCTGCCAGCTCACGGTAGGCGACTACATCCTGACGCCCGACATCTGCGTCGAGCGCAAGTCCGTCCGCGATCTGATCACATCCCTGCGCAACGGCCGCCTCTACAACCAAGCGGAGACCATGCTCCAGCACTATAAAAACCCCTTCCTTCTGATCGAGTTCGACCAGAACAAGTCCTTCACCTTCGACGCCTTCGCGTCCGCAACCACACCGGGAACCACCTTCCTGACCGACTTCGGCTTCTCATCCTCCGGGACAAGCACGCTGTCGGCGAATAGCTCCCTGGTCAACCCCTCGAGTCCGAAGTCGGCACAGCACCTGCTCGTCCTCCTCACCCTGACGTTTCCCAAACTCAGAATTATCTGGTCCTCGTCCCCGTACCAGACGGCCGAGATTTTCTCCGAGCTAAAGAAGAATAATCCGGAGCCGGACCCGATCCGTGCCGTGCAAATCGGCCTTGATATGGATATCGCTGCGTCGTCCCACCCGGGTGATATCATGGCTGCAGCGGGCATCGAGCATCGCACCTTCAACCTCCTGCCTCAGGACATGCTCCGAGCCGTACCCGGGGTGACCCCCAATGTCCTCGAGCGGCTGATCACGGAGACGGACAACATTCACGAGATCGCCAACATGAGCGTGGAGCAGCTTGACCCTATCGTAGGCATCGAAGCTGCACGTAAGATAGTCGGTTTCTTCCGAAAGAGCGTGTTTGAGGACTAGTCGTGATATACAAGATGTGGATAAATTCCGCGTAGGGAACGGGACCAGATATAGGCTAGAACTACGCATTAGTTAGGTGGAACTTGATTGAATAGTAGATCTTAGTATTCGTGACCCTTTCATAACTCTATCATCCAGGTTTTCAAGAAAAAGAAAAGCAAAGGAACGAATTTTGAAACGGCAAACTCAGGGAACAGAAAAAGTAAAATCGTCAACACAAAGTCAGGCCGCACGCAGCCTGTCTTCCTTTTCAGTAGGTATTGCGACCTATTCCTCCGTAGACATCCAAGAGCAGCTCTCAAGCTGGATCGTATTCCGATGAAACCAAGAAGACCCGACCGATAACAGCCTTGAATATATCCCTGCCGATGATTCATACCCTGAATTGCGAGCCACACGGGAAATTTGAGGCGAGCGCGTGATGCGAAGCGGGTAAAAGATGCGCCGCTGCTGCCTTCACCCATCCTCCAGAGACCTTGCCGGGGAAGATATGAATGGCGTAGGCAAGTAAGGCCCACGCCAACCGCCTAGGTTTCACAGAACCCCTGGTGCAAGCGCATATTGCTTCCACAGGATCTGAGAACTGGGGCGGATTTCTTCCCGAAAAAGGACGTTTGACGTGTCGAGAGGAAATGCATGAAGGACGTATGGCGAGAAGGGACAGAGAGAGACATACGATCCCATGGGGGGAGCTCTCCTCGCGCAAGGGTATGAATGCATCGGAGACGAGAGGAGAAAAGGGAATTTAGAGCTCGTCGACATCAATCTCCTTCTCGTCTTCGCTCTCGCGGTCCTCGTCGAACTCGACGTTGTCCTCGAAGCCCTCGTGACCGTAGGTGTCGGTCTCGTTGATCTTGGCGTGCTCGGGCAACTCGCCGTAAGCCTTGAGACTTCTGGCCTCGTCGGCAGTGTACTTCATGATGACGTCGCCCTTCTCGTCCTGGTAGTCACGGAGCGAGAGAAGGATGATATCGCCCTGGTTGATCCAGACCTTCTTGCGGAGCTTGCCACGGATGTGTGCCAGGCGCTTCTCGCCGTCGAAGCACAGGGCCTCCAGGCGGCCGTTACCGAGCATCTTCACGACCTGCGCGTACTCCTGGCCCTCCTCCTTGAAAACAAGCTCACGCTTCTCGTTGTCGTTCTCGTTCTTTCCACGACGACGGTTCTTACCGCCCTGTTGGTAGTGAGATCATGCATTAGCACTCCAAGGTCCTCAAAAGGCTGTGATAAGGTTGTTTGCTAAGTTGTGTAGTGACCAACGCCAAAGTTCACCACGCAAATAGCCGCGGACTCAGACTATGCACTCTGGCGCAGAGATATCTGACGGTAAAAGTCGGGGCGAGAGTCGGGGCGACCAGCAAGCCCGAGGCGAAAATCTGTGAAGCGGGGTTCATGGGGGACAAAGTGCTCACCTTTCCCTTGTTCTTGGGCATGGTGCAATCTCGCTAACCGCGATAGTTTTCCACTCGATGCGATAGCCGATGATCGGACACAAAAAAGGGGGTGTTGAGATAAATGTCCCTACGGACCAGCAGAGGGTTGAAAGTGGGGGTGGAAGACTGAAAGAGACAACGATGATTTCGACGCTTTTCAGGCTCTGCCGCATCTTAGGTAAGCACCGGTGGGGGAGAGCCAGTCGAGTGGCGGCCTGATTGCTGCCTCAGAACGTGCAGTAGGTCCGCCAATTGGAGCTGCGGGTGTCTGACCGCTCCGTGGCAGAATGCAGAGATGCTTTATCGATAGAAGAAACATTTGAGTTACTGCCAGGAGATTCGCAATAGTACCTTCAGTCACTAAATACCCCATTCGTCGTCCTACATGCATATGATTCTTGCCACCATCGCTTCAGTTATAGCGGGACTAATTTGAAATTGACTTGAGCAAGCTATCAGGTGTTACTAGGATTCCACATTTCTTCGTCTCCGATTTCGCATCAACTCCATCTGCATCTCCTGCGAACTGCTTTCCTATTACTGGGTCTGATTGAGCCAGCCCAGCTCGAGCAATACATTACCTGGTGCTGATATCCCTCTGATTGGAAGAATCCATTTCATAGGCTGTCATCTCTGGCTGCCGGCGACGTTCTCGACAGAGGGCATCTGCCTCGATCACAATGAGCAAATTCAATAGGAGGCTGCGCCTCCAAGGGGCGCTCTATACTCTAGACTATCAAGTCGAACACAAAATGCCTTTCATTGCAACTCAACAACTCGCTATGAACAACAACCCCGTGAGACTCAAAATCGCCCATATGTACAAGACTCGGCCTCGCGATACGCTATGGTACTCAATGAGTCACCGTCTGCTTTTATCCCGCAAAAGTGTGGTCCGGACATGGGCATTAGGACGGTCGAGAGTGGCTTTTCGCAAAGCATTGGAAGAGCGTGGATACGATAGGGACGGTCGAGCGATACCCTCAGTTCCGAGGGCAAAAGAGGAGGAGAAACGTTTAACCAGTCTCCGAGGAACGGCTGATTTTACCGTTCGTGAAGAGGTCATTAAGGCGAAATTCTCAGACATTGAGAAGGATATGCGACACATTGTGGACAGGATGATCAAGACGAGTCTCGCTGCGCCGGTAGCGGATAAAGACAAAGTTTCGCCTGTGCAGCAGCGTGTACTTTATACCAAGCCGCGTAAAGCTGCATAATTCTTACGATATCTGCTGTAAATGATAGAAAATGAAAATAATAACTCTATCAATCTTGTTTGGCATAGTAGATCCTGTTGATCGGCTGGTGGGAGGTCCTTGGCAAGTTATGCTTTGTTCCTGACCGGCCGATCTTGGAGGAGACCAAAACAACATCTCCGACTCCTCAACTTACGTACTCCTCCCTCCTCTTCCTCGCCTTTCCCGTTATCGCGCTGGCAGGACCGCCTGGACACAAACCTCCTGTTCTTCATTTTTCTCTTCTCTTGTTTGGCCATAGATAAGGGTCAGCGCGCGCTATTCCTAGCTGCTCACTCAGTACCCTTAACAGCTTGCGCTCCACCTGTCCGCTATGTTGGTGTCGTTGACTGTCGGGAAAGTCGACGCTGGAGTCGCCGTTCTCTTGACTCAGGACAACAGATTGGTAAGAGTAACTCTTCTACTGTCTCTCAAACTGTGACAAGTTGCATCATGGCAGACTCCTTGCATTTTTTCAATTGCCATTAACCACTTACTGAGCCCTTGCTAACTCTCTGATCACATCCGACTAGATCGAATTCCCCTCAGTTCTTCTGCCTAACAACATCACATCTGGTAGCATTGTCGATATTACCGTCGCGCGCAATCACGCCGCCGAAACTGCCAGCGCAACCGCCTTTCAGACTTTGCAAAAACGCATCCTTAACACCTATGGTATCAAGACGCCCACCCCGCCGATCCTCCGCCTCCGCAACGCAACCCAGACCTCCCTTGTCCTCGAATGGGACCCCATCGACCTAGCCACCGCGTCGCTGAAATCCCTTTCCCTCTATCGCAATGGCTCTAAGGCCGGCTCTATCCCCCGGCCGCTCGAGACACGTAGCACCAAGATCAGCGGCCTGGCCATCCACACAGAGTATACCTTCCACCTGGTCCTGCGCACCACCGCGGGCACCTATCAGTCCGAGAAACTTGTCTGCCGCACGCACAAGATGACCGACTTGTCCGGCATCACGGTCACGGCCGGGGTGCTGCACCCGCAGCAGAAGGATGCGCTCGCGGCCGCGCTGGATCGCATCGGCGGAAAACTGATCGATACCGTACGCATCGACACCACGCATTTCGTCTGCACAGAGGGCCGCGGTCCCCTCTGGGAGAAGGCGGTTGAAATGAACATCCCCGTGGTCGTGCCCGAGTGGGTCGATGCCTGCGAGGCTGAAGGCACCATCGTCAGCGTCCGCGGCTATTATCTGAATGCGGATCCCAAGGCCCGTCAGTTGGGCCCGATCCATGGCTCTACACAGCATCAGCGCACGACCTCGACCGCTACATCACTCCTGACTGCCGCAACAGGCCAGCCACACACTAGTCAGAACCCCAACCCGAACCCTGAACCACCCCAGAACCCGAGCCCGAACCCGGATCAGTCGCTGTCCCCCTCACCATCGAATTTGGCTCCCTCGGGGTCCCTGCAGGCCTCACAGCAGCAGCTTGAGGATCCACCGCTTACCCCGTTCCCCGGTGCTGACATGACGGGCCAGCCAACGGCAGAAGAGAGGGAGCTCTCGTCTGACGAGGGCCGTCTGTCCCCGCCACCGCCTGTACCTCCCAAGGACAATGCCCAAGAGGAGGAGGATAAGGAGGACGAGCCATCCGTTCAGGACAATCACGACACAGCAGAGAAAGTGACCTCGGCAGAAGCCAATGCCAATGGAAGCGATCAGGAACACACCAATACAGCACACTATCAACCTGATCACACGGAGGATGACCAGGGTGAACCATCAGAAGACGATGAGAGTAAAGAGCGCCACTCCAAGGACGGCGAGGGCGACTTTAATGAAGTTCCACTGTAGTCTTGCGCCGCCGCCACGCATTTTATGGTCTTTGTGTCTGTCTGCTGTTTTCTCTCTACTATTTCCTTTTCCCATTTTACCCTTCACTGCGACGAGATTCAGATGGACTTTTATAGCGTATAAGAATGTATAGTCAATAGAGAAGAAGCGAAATCAATCAGCTTTTTTCTTCCAATTCAGCCCACCTCCAACCGAAACCGCTCCTTGTACTGGGCATAATTCCCACTGGCTGAGGGTGCGTTTGTTGTTTGCCCTATTGGGCTTACTATATGTTTGATAAGTTGTCCTTTTCCCGCGTTGGCGCCGTTTCCGCTAAGTGGAGGAAATCTTCAACTCGTGCAGGACGGGGCGGTCTGAGACACAGCACGTTTTTTCACTTGAATTAAGTTTGATAGCCATTAGTCTTTATTCTTCAATAGGCCGTTTGCATCGTCGTTGGGATTGACGTAATTAGCGTAAGTAGGTAGTCCACGTGCAAGGTCAAACTCGAGGGGTAGATCTATCATATAAGCTAAGTACCGTACGGTAGTGGTTTTTCTCTTATTGTCAATGCGCAACAATATATTTATGTAGTGTATATGTAGTTCTCAGCCCAGCCGGCTCCGCCCCTCAGAGGTTTATCCACTATCTACAGTTGCCCCAATTCTCCCAACGTCTTCTTCTTCTGCACATCATCTCATAAATTTAGTTAACCGTACGAACAATATCGTCAATAGCCTGTGCTACGTAGGCCACGTTCCCTTGGCTCACTGCGAGAATCATTAGTCAGGGGGCGATACAGCACAAGAGGATAAGTTCAACGTACAGCCACTAATGGAGGCTCTTCCGGACTTGAGGAGGTAGATGTGGTACTTCTCCTTGAGGGCCTCGACCTGGGTCGGGGTGAGACCGGTGTAGGAGAACATGCCGTTCTGGAGAAGAATGTCGGGGTTAGACTGGGCTGGATTTTGGTGTGGTTCAGGTGCGTGCGCAATTGAGGAATGGGGACTTACCTGCTCGACAATGTGCTTCCATGTGCCGGGGGTCTCGAGTCTTACGAGCTCAGAGTACAGCGCCTCGCGCATAGCCTTGATGCGCGAGCTCATAACCTTCAGGTCGTCGTGCCACTGGGCGGCCAGCTCGTCGTTGGTGAGGACCTTCTTGACGATGGTGCAGCCGCCGACGGGGCCCATGGAGAACTCGCCGCGGATCAGGTGGCAAAGGTTGTTGACGACGAGATCGCGGAGGTTCTGTTGGCCGTCGGCGAGCACATAGTGGAAGGCGCCGACGCGCTGGCCGTACAGGCCGAAATTCTTGGAGAAGCTCTGGGCGACGCACATCTCGAGGTGGGGCTTCTGGGTCAGGAAGTAGCGGACGGCCCAGGCGTCCTCGTCGGCGGAGCCGGAGGCGAAACCCTGGTAGGCGGAGTCGAAGAAGGGGAAGATCTGCTTGCGCTCGCACAGGTCGGCGATGGCCTTCCACTGCTCCTGGTTGGGGTCCAGGCCCGTGGGGTTGTGGGCGCAGGCGTGCAGCAGGATGACGTCGCCGGCCTGGGCGTTGGCCTCGAGCGTCGACATCATCCCCTCGAAGTCGAAGGAGCGCGTGTCCGCCTTGTAGTACGGGTAGGTACGCCGCGGCACCCCGGCCAGCTCCCAGATCGTGAGGTGGTTGGCCCAGGACGGGTCCGACAGCCACACCGTCCGCGGCTTCATCTTATGCGCCAGGAACAGCGCCCCCAGGTGGTTGGCCCCCGTGCCAGCGACGGCCTGCACCGACCCGATCCGCGCCTGCTGTGCCTTCTGCTGCTCCGTCGGCTGCTTCGCGTCAAATCCAAACATCAGGTCCCGAGCCAGCTCTAGGAAGGGGATGTCGCCCTCAATCGCCGTGTACTCGTGGCGGAACAGGTTGTCTTCCGCAAGGAGCTGCTGCTCCGCCTGCCGCACCACGGGCAGCGGCCACGGCTTGCCGTCGTCGGTGCGGTACACGCCAACGCCCAGGCTGACCTTTTGCGGGAAAGTGTCATTGTTGTACGCGCGGTTCAGGGCGAAGATCTCGTCCGCCGGTAGCGGGTGCAAGTCGAGGACAGTCATGATGAATCAGGAATTGAGGTTTGCAGGGGAGGTAGGGGAGTATCAAGGAGTATCTTTTCAATGTCAGCAACGTAGGCCCGTTGATGTGTTTTCAGGCCCCGGGGGTTTAGTTCTTCAGCACCTACCTTAAGGCTAAGAGGGAGCGGTTCCCCAGGGGCAGTGAATTAGATTTTAAGGATTGCCGGTGGGTGGAGCACTCGGGGGGTTTTTTTTTAGCTGGATCGGGATGGAGAAACGGATGACGAACAAGCAGGGCTAACTAACAGCACGGTGTGAACAAAAGACTTATGCGATCTGTTGGCATGCGTTATAGGATACCGGAGAGGGAGAGAGTAGCACACGAGTTCCTCAATGTAGCAAAAGAAAGTCGGTGGACCTCCTGCATGAGTCAAGATTCAGTGGTCAATGGCATGCAGGATTGGCCGATATCGCCCTCGTGGGACCCCGGCCGTATATCCGCGGAGTTGGTTCCTCTGGGCATGGCTATTTTCCCTTTCTTTTTTTCTTCGCCGCTGACGACAGTAATCCATCAACGGGAAAACCCGCTTAGTGAAGGGAGTTTTTGAAACCGTTGGTACTAAGGGAATCTGGAAAGAAGCGATTGTACTCCTCTGACTTGAATAGACTGTGCCATTGATATCACTACTCCTCGCTGTCCAGTCGATGATTGGTTGCTTGGCGATGACGAGAGCAGGAATGGATGATGAATCATGTGGCTGGCGACATCTGCAACTACATCTGTAAGTAAGTAGCAATGTCGGAATGGTACAGTTGTCTGGCGTATGATCGCCGGGTGAGGATTGGGATATTGACATATCTCCGATTGTAGACCTGATCTGGATATGTTGGATCGAGCTCATGGAGAGAGGTTCAAATCGGATAATGGCGGACCTGCGCGGACCTCCCGATGGTAGCCGCGCAACGACTCTATAGTCTACTAGTATGTCATCTATATTACCGGTATACACTCTTCACTTGTGGGATTCATGACGCCTGGTATGGAGATACTCGGAGGAGCCTTATCTTGCTGATGAACCAAACGACTGATATGAACCTCAATTGTTATGGGGTGCGGTGCAAGATGCTTCTCGATATCGCTTGATGAGGGGTGGTGCAGGGAAGTCTCCAATTCTGAGCAACCTTTGCCGTTCACAAACGCGCCATGACATCTCGTCTTACTTTCAGCCCTCAGATGCTGATGGAACCATCTTGTCATCCCCGAATCTGACTGATTGTTCTCATTCGACTATCGACATGGCTTCACTGAATGACGAACAGCACCTACACGAGATTTCGTCCGAAGGTGCTGACCCAACCACTCCACAACAGCATCCCTTCGCAATTGCTCTCTCGATTTGACCCAGTCTACGTAGAGTACTACAAAAAATACAACGCGGGTCGGCTTCATACTCATGAGGTCCCTATCGAGGACTTCCGACGCAATCCAGCCAAGTACACCATCAGCTATGGTCGCACAATGGACCGGACGTCTATCGCATCTCCGAGCAGAAATGCCCCGTCCAGGGCGGAGAGATAAGAGTACGCATCTTTGAACCGGCGGCCATGAGTGACGAAGATGGCACCGTCCAGAAGAGGGCCGCTTATATCAACTTTCACGGCGGTGGCTGGGTTTTTGGGGACCTATCAAATGATCATGACTTTTGCAAGAGAGTTGTCGAAGAGCTGCAAGGACAGCTGGTGGCTTTTGATGTCGAGTACAGACTAGCCCGTGAACATAGATACCCAGTACCGGTGGATGATTGCTGGACAGCATTGAACTGGGTCAGCTTACTCTCTTTTCAGCAATTGATGACCAAGAACTGACTACGAAGGCAGGTTCGGTCACACAGAGCTGAAGATTTCAGCGTCGACCCTGATCGGTTGGCTGTCGGCGGCATGTCTGCGAGTGGGCATTTGGCGGCCGTCATGGCTCATCTCTGCCGTGACGCCGGCATCCCGTTGCGGCTTCAGGTGCTGAATGTTCCAGTCTGCGATCTGCACAGTCCATTCAAGCCAGATGGCACATTCTATCGCAATGGCTACCGGTATGAGTCGTACAGAGAGATGGAGTCCACGGTGGCCCTGCCAGTCGCGCGGATGACTTACTTCCACAGGCATTTATTAGGGATCCCAAGACCAGCGATGTCCGAGCAGGTGAGCTACGCCAAGCATGTCGAGCCAAGACATTCCGTATACATTATGCACGGCGCTGACCTGATTCTCAGAGTTGGAGGATCTCCCCAATCTTAGCTCCCAATTTCGGTGGGCTGGCCCCTGCACTGATCTTCACTGCTGAAATGGATCCTCTGCGGGATGAAGGTGAAGCTTACGCAGCCAAGCTAAAAGATGCAGGATGTTCGGTCGAGTTGATGCAGATGAAGGGCGTGCCCCATACTTTCGCTTTATTGGATGGAATCCTGGAGTCGGGTCGAGTGTACAACGAGAGAGTGATTGAAGAACTCATAAGAGCCATTGCAATGTGATGGACAGTTATCCGGTAGAATGGATGACAGGCATCCCAACCATTGGCGGTGTAGGAGAAATGCGGAGAGAATCAGAGGATCATGGTTTATCCGGAGGGTCCGATTTCCATACCTTACGCATTGTTTTGTCATTTCACACCGTGCAGTGGGACCAAAACAAACTGCCGCCTGTAATGATGTTACCGGGCCGGGAGAGCTCGGCAGGCGGTATCGGAAAAGAATGGCATTCATTAAGGCCTCGTTTTGCCCTTTCGCATTCATTCTTCCCCTTCTTCTTCTTCTCTGTGGCCGTCTATTCCCTTGAATTTTGGGTATTCTTGAGCGTGCGTGTATACTTAGACTTCTATCTATTGTTATCGCATTATTTCATTTTCAAGTATGAATCCTCACGCCTCAGAGCCCCCGCAGGAGCTGCCTTGCAATTGGCTCCCCCCAACCAACTCTAACTCACAAATATGACCAGCAGATCAAAAGCCGAAGCGTCATGTTGACCTCCTCCAACTTTTCCCGGGCCGCGGTGCGCTCGATGGCCAGCTTGACACGCGCTGTGTCCTCCAACTCCCCCGCAGCTGCCGCGGCTTTTGCTGCCCGCTCCCCCGCTGCGTTCAGTAGCCGACGTCTTTTGGCCTCCAATAGCCGGGTCATGCAGCAGTTCCCCCGCCTTCAGTCCTTAAACTCTACCTCTTCCAAGCGCGCCTTCGGCACCACCGTCAGAATGGTGAGTCTCCCTTGTTCGCTATCGATGAGCTACGAGAAATACGATAATAAATCACGACGACGCTTTGCTGCGCAATCCCCTACTCGTCGTTCTCGGAGCTTCTATCCCGCACAACAATTTGATTCGATGCATAGGCGTGCATGCTGACCGACCATGGCTCTTCAGTCCTCTGCCACTCGTACCGAAACCGATGCCTTCGGTGAAATCCAGGTGTGTATACCTCATCGCTACGATTCAAACGCTTTCGGTGATGATGTCTAATTGCATCTTGTTTTAGGTCCCCGCGGACAAGTATTGGGGTGCCCAGACCCAGCGGTAAGAGCTTCGTCATTATTGCTCTCATCTTCATGCGAAGTTATACGCCGTGGGAGTGGGGAACGAACAGTGACTGACAGGGGGATAGTTCTCTGGGTAACTTCGACATCAACCAGCCCCAGGATCGTATGCCCGAGGCTGTTGTCAAGGCCTTCGGTATCCTCAAGGGTGCTGCTGCCACCGTCAACATGAAGTTCGGCCTTGGTAAGCTGCCCTTACTTGGAGAGGTATCGTTACACCAGCATGACTGACATACGCAATAGACCCCAAGATTGGTGAGGCGATCAAGCAGGCTGCCGCCGAAGTTGCTGAGGGCAAGCTCAACGACCACTTCCCTCTTGTCGTCTGGCAAACTGGTTCCGGTACCCAATCTAACATGAACTCCAACGAGGTCATCTCCAACCGTGCGATCGAAATTCTGGGAGGTGAGAAGGGCAGCAAGAAGCCCGTCCACCCTAACGACCACGTCAACATGTCTGCCTCTTCCAACGACTCCTTCCCCACCGCCATGCACATCGCTGCGGTTGTCGAGCTGGAGAACAGACTGCTCCCTGCCCTGCAGAGCCTCCGTGATGCTCTCCAGGTCAAGGTCGAGAAGTTCGACAAGATCATCAAGATCGGTCGTACCCACTTGCAGGATGCCACCCCTCTTACTCTCGGTCAAGAGTTCTCTGGCTACGTGGCTCAGCTCGACCGCAACATTGAGCGTGTTAAGGCCTCCATTCCCCACCTGCGCTACCTGGCCCAGGGTGGTACCGCCGTCGGAACCGGTCTCAACACCTTCAAGGGCTTCGATGAGGCCATTGCCGCCGAGGTCACTAAGATGACCGGCACCCAGTTCTACACCGCCCCCAACAAGTTCGAGGTTCTTGCCGCCCACGATTCTATCGTTGAGGCTTCTGGCTCCTTGAACACTCTGGCTGCCTCCCTCTTCAAGATCGCCCAGGACATCCGTTACCTCGGCTCCGGTCCCCGCTGCGGTCTGGGTGAGCTGGTTCTTCCCGAGAACGAGCCCGGATCTTCCATCATGCCTGGCAAGGTCAACCCCACCCAGTGCGAGTCTCTCACCATGGTCTGCTCTCAGGTTATGGGTAACCACGTCGCTGCTACTATTGGTGGAATGAACGGTCAGTTCGAGCTTAACGTCTTCAAGCCCCTCATGATCAGCAACCTCCTCCACAGCGTGCGCATTCTTGCGGATGGTATGAAGAGCTTCGAGAAGAACCTGGTGCACGGCCTTGAGGCCAACGAGCCCAGAATCAACTCTCTCCTTCACGAGAGGTAGGTTACCACCGCGCCTACTTTCTATGTTTGTTGATCATTAACTAATGTGACACCTCCAGTCTGATGCTGGTTACCTGCCTGAACCCCGTTATTGGTTACGACATGGCCTCCAAGGTCGCCAAGAACGCTCACAAGAAGGGTCTTACCCTCAAGCAGAGTGCCATGGAGCTCAAGGCTCTCAGTGAGGAGGACTTCGACAAGTACGTCCGTCCCGAGCTGATGCTGAGCCCTAAGGAGAAGAAATAGATGTATAGACGGTGCATTGGATGACAGGAACGCGGGGATTTGGTCTCTTGGAATAAGTTGGTGGGACACAATCTAGCGAAGCCCAGTCTTTGCTTGCCTTTTTTTTTTTTTTTTTTTTTTTTACTTTTCATTTCAGATTTATGTACACCCAGGAAATTTCATTGTATTATTTTGTTTATTCTATTTACTTTGATACAAGAAACTGTATTGGAAGAATGAGGGATGTGGAGCAAGTAAATCCGATCTGGCGGTGATTCGGTCGGACCAAATCTGCCGCCAAACCGCTACTATTTTTGGAATGCGCCAGGGATGCAGGGCAAATTAAGACGAATGGCTGAATACTGTGTAGGGGTCGAACAGCTAACGAGTCATTTTCCATACCAGGGCCACATGCTGTGTTGAAAAGACAGCGTGGAAAGCGAGCAGGTACGAGTGAGTACGAGTAGTCAGGAGGCGGACAGAATCCCAATTCATCATAACCAGGTGGTCTCAGTGTTTCAGGCAGCCCCCACGGGCACTGAGGCTGGGGATGGCAGTGTCTGCGGTGGCCTTCTTTAGTAAATAACTTCTATGATCTGTCCCTTCCATCCTCTGTTCCTCTTCCACAGACCCACCAGTTCTGTACAATTGAAGTCCTCTGTCCCTCGTTAAGGCCATTCACTGTATAAATACTTCCCGCTTCTTATCCGTTGGTCCGTGATTCTTGCACATTCCGCTCACTGAGAAGATACTATCGATCGATCCTCCCCTTGTTCCTGACCGACCCCGCCATTTCTCCAAAGTAACATAATCCACCACCACCAATCCAATTCTCAGAAGCCACACAACTTCACTCGTTCAAATCTCAACAAGGACAACAACCTTTCGATCTAGTCAATCCTCTGACCCAAGCAAATCTAAACACACACAATACACAATGACGAACCTCACCAACAACTCCACCATCGAGGCCGCCCAGCAGCCCGCCGCCGTCAAGACCCCTGCTCCCACCACAACCACCACCACCACCCATGACGACCTCCTCTTCCCCACCACCCTCATCTCCCCCGAGGTCGTCGCCGCCCTGCCTGAAAACTACACCATCCGGCCTGTGCGCCGCTCCGACTACCAGCGCGGCTACCTGGACGTGCTGCGCGTGCTCACCACCGTCGGCGACATCACCGAGGAGCAGTGGAACCAGCGCTACGACTGGATTTCCTCGCGCAACGACGAGTACTACCTGCTGGTGGTCTGCGATGGCACGGATCGCATTGTTGGTACCGGCAGCCTGATCGTCGAGCGCAAGTTCATTCACTCGCTGGGCATGGTCGGGCACATCGAGGACATTGCCGTCGATAAGGATCAGCAGGGTAAACGCTTGGGGCTGCGGCTCATTCAGGCCTTGGATTTTGTTGCTGAGAAGGTGGGGTGTTATAAGGTATGTTTTTTCTTTGAGCCCCCGCTCCTGTGGAACTGGCAGGAAGGGAAAGGAACATGTTTGGGAGTATATGGCTAACCTTGCGGGGTCTTGAATGTATAGACTATTCTCGATTGCTCCGAGACTAATGAGGGATTCTACCTTAAGTGTGGGTTCAAGCGTGCGGGATTGGAGATGGCTCACTACTATTAAGAGAACAAGGGTTTGAGGTGTGATATGTTTTTTTCTCTCTTGCTGGGCGTTCGTATAGATACGGTATACTGGGGGCGGGGGCTTGGGACTTGAATTGTGCTTAAGTGGTGCATATATAATCTTAGGGGAAGGATGGGGATAGAGTGTAGATTAGCGGTTTGTGGAGTCCTGTGTTGTGGTGGATAAACGAGGGATTGATAGATGTGGGCGGTGCTGCTCTTTTGATTTTTTTCGGGGACTTATAAGAGATTTGTATACCTATAAATACAGCAGATACTCCGGGCTTGATGATATGAGGAATTACGTGTGAGATCGTTCGCGTGGTGAGGAGTTTCTGACGCATTTCGTAGGACGACGTGCCTGGTAGGACAACCACAATCATGCCTGTTTGTGCGGGTGCTGTGAGACAGGACTACTGTCAGGAAACGTTAAGTGCCTTGACACCCAATCCAATCTCGGAGGATGTGGTTGTACAAGGAACCCGTGAGGAAGAGAACTACTATCACTGCAGGAACAACCAGAATGCGCCAAAGGAAGTGACATCCACGCCTACCGGAGGAATCATTGAGGAGAGTTCCATGAAGCGTACTTCAATGAGAAACTACAAGAGCTGAAGAGCTTCAGCTTCAAGGAATGGAGAAAACACAAGACTCGGTGCCATCATATCACATCCATTATCCATTTTTATGGTCGAAGATTACCATGGCGCAACATGACAGAGAACCCCACGCGTATCTGGAAGAGCCAAAGGGGTATAATATAGACTTGCTGGACGAATCTCTCACCCGGGTCCAGACACAGTTTCTGTGTCGGAACCCGGAAGAGAGATTTCTTGTTGCGGTTCTTCTTCCCGCCGAAGAATTCATTGCGTTAATTCTTTCTTTCAATGTGTTTTTGGAATTGTTGTTGAATTGAAATGGGAAAACGTTAAATTCCAGCTCCCGGAAAAACCGCCCAAAAGCCATGATAAAATTCCTTTAGCTCATTCCAGACCCCCAAGCCAAACCGCTTAATTTTTCCCCTCTTTTGCTATACATGGAAAAAAGGGTATTCTTAACGAGACTTGGCGGCGACCTTAGGGGCGGAACCCTTAGCACCCTGCTTGCTCTGGATGCGCTGGGCGGTACCCTTGCCGGCGGCGGCGTTCTTGGCCTTCTCAGCCTTCTTCTTGGCCTCAGCGGCGGCCTTCTTCTCCTTGGCGTCCTTGATGGCCTGCTGGCGGGCGGCGGCACGGGCCTCGGGGCGCTGGGAGCGGCGCTCCTTGATCACGTCGAGGGAGGCACCGACGATGGCACGCTGGTGCTTGACGGCACGGCGGGTACGCTTCTTGGCAACTTCCTGTATTTCACGACAAGAGGGGTCCAGTCAGCAAAACTGTTCCCATCGTTGATGGTTATCAAACCATTAGGTGGGAGGCGTGTGTAAGTGTGTGTGTCCTATGTCCGTCTCATGTCTGAGAAACATGATGTCGGTTCATTCCTCCGCACATCTCAGTCGTCCGAGGCTTGTTGAGTGTTGTTCTGGCGACTTCATGAACTTCCGTGGTCGTCTTGGAAAATGCTCCGATTCCCTCCATCGTGCTTCTTCTTCGCTCTTCGAAAAGTTGCCGGAATACCCTGACCCCAATTCCCCCCAGATTCCAGACAGGAGACACACAACACAGCACAACACCTCCAACGTTCATGGTTTTGATATTCAAATCGGAAAAATGCAAGAGATGGCGGTGGTACTGACTTCAGAGATACCCTTCTTGTGCTGGCGACGGTAGAGGACAGTCCAGGCGATGCGGCGGGGGTTCTTGCGCTGAAGGAAGAGGGACTCGGACTTTCCATTCTGGAAGCGGAAGATCTTGCTGTCGCCACGGACGTACAGCTTACCCTGTTTGCAAGGAAAAAAAGAAAATGTCAACCAATTTTGTTCTTCCCCTATATCAATATCGCGCGTTCCGTCAAGTCGTTCGTGGTGGTTCTTCGTCACGCGGAATATGCCGGTTTGAACGCCAATTGTTTCGGCTGGAAAAAGGAAGCTCGAAAACGCACCTTTCCAGGGTAGATCTTCTGGCCGGAGAAAGAATCGTCGTAGGTACGCATCTTGACGTCTCCGGTCTGTTGTCGGTTGGCGTTGGGTGGTTGAGTCGAAGCGGTCTCTTGCGGCAAGGCTGTTCGGGCGAGACTGACACAATTGTGGTGGTGCGGTGCGGGAGCCTCGCTAAACCCTACCACGTGACCGAGTCTGCCCTTGGCTGCCTGTTTCCGCCCGCCGGCCCCAGCCTCAGCTTTCCCCGTTCTACGTATGCATCGAGTATGTTATCACTTCTTCTGTATTGGAGTTAGCATTTGGGGGTGTGGGCCGATCTACTTCGTAGCCTGATCGTTCATCCAACTCATGTTAAATGGTCCTCCTTTGATGCCACACATACTCAGATACAGGTGCTCAGTATAGTGAGTTCATATCCTTTTATCCTTGTCAGTATGCGAGGATGAAATATGGACATCAATGACCACTTGAGAACAGTGTCATCGTGGTACCTTGGATTGTATTCTTAAATCAAATTGAAACATGTTCTCTCCAGTCACGTACAGCGAGTTCATCTAACAGGACCGAATCGTCCAAATGATGCTTGACCACTTGTCCATCCATTCCCGTCTGTTTCCCTCCTATCCATGCGTGACCAGAACGTCCATGTGTCTTGACAGATACACAACAAGCAATATGCCAATGACAAATGAGATCACACTGTTAGCTCCATTTGATACAAACGGTGCCAAAGGTACTCCCTTCCGCCAGAGACCATTTACTACGCCTCGTGCCAATCGCATGGGCCCCAAGGGTTGGGCTTGCATTCCTAGTGCGGAAACACAGTAATTAGCATCAGTCTTACTCGGTCACTCCTCTTACCCTATCTCTGCTGACACTGCTCAAAATATGCACTCACCTTGCACTGAATATCACGACACATCGCAGTGGGACAGATGCCGCAGCAGTCAGAACAGACGTGACGTCCGCAACCACCGGGCTCGGAGCACATAGCATAGGTCGAGGTGTCCTTTGTTAGGTTGCCGTAACGCTGCAGGAGAGTCACAACCATGAAGCAGCGGCGTGACTTCAGCCAGTTTCGTTCTGCAGGAGGCTGAGACATGTACATACGGCAACCCATCAGAACGCAGCATGGCTTCTGGCAGATGGGACATGGTCCGTAGCACTCGGTGCACCAAAGGATCTTGGTATCCCAGGAACGGCCGTCCTCGGGTCGACATGGGCCTCCAGGCGGACAAGGCTTAGGCATAGTACCAGTGAAGCCACGCAACCAGAGAGTCTATTATTTGTGTCAAAGCTGCTGGAGATGACGGGATGCTTGTGCGCGTATCTTACCGGATCCTTATAAGGCTTGCGAGCCACAGCAGGAGCCGCGGGCTTTTCAGCATCACCTTCGGTTTCATCGTCACCTTTGGTTTCAACGTCACCTTTCTCTTCGTCGTTGCTCGCTGTGTCTGTGGATGCGAGAGAGGATACGAGCGAAGCGGTACCGTCATCAGCAAGACTCTGGTCAGGATGCTCGGCGGACAGAGTCTCGAAAGAATGCTGCTCGCTCGACAAGATGCTCAACGAAGCCCGGTCGGAAGAGGCAGAGGCGATGCTCAGACGTGAAACTTCGAGCTGTTCGCGGGGGAGAGTGTTCGCTGAGCTAAGGCTGAGAGACGACATGGAACCACTCAAGCGAGATGCGTCATCTTTGATGCTCAGGACGACCTCTTTCTCGATGCTTGAAACGAGCTGTTCTTCAGTCTCCTCAATGATAGTCTCGCGATCCCAGAAGTCCAAACGCATGTACACGGGAACTGGGCCATCTCCAATGTCTGCTCAAAGGTTCAATTACTCATGTGCTTTGGCATGATGCTATTTGCCATCACATCCCAGGGAAAGAGAGAGGGACTCACCTCCGGATGTATCACCGAAACTCGCAGTACTATCGCTTCCGATGCTGTTGGCCAAGCTGTCAGTGCTCTGGCTGCCAAGGGCACTGACCAAGCTCGACGAGCTTAGAGACGAGTTGCTCTCATTCTGGTCATTCATGACCTCCTTATTCTTCCTGTTGCCGCTATTCTTCTTCTTTTTCTTTTTCTTGGTGTTGGGCTTGTCGACAATTTCAGGTTCAACGGTTACTGAAGCAAGCCGTCAGAACGAGCTTACAACACTCAACTAAGGAAGGAACAGAGAACTTACCTGAATCCGCGGTTGACAGCAAAGACCAGTCAGAAACGGACGCCTGATCGTTGTCTCCCTTCAGAGGACTGCCTTCCTTTGCTAGATCCATGTTGTCAAATCGTCCAGCACGGTGGTCAGGGAATCTCTGGGGATAATGGCTGGTTTCGTTGACAGTCAAGTCAGATTCCTGAAGTGTGTTGTCGGCAGAGAGATGGCCTCGCTCTGTTTCCTGCCGAAGAGCTCGGCTGATGCGAAGGGTTTCCGCTGTCGTGGGAAACAGGTCATCTATGTCGTCGATGCCTAGCACACGCGTGGCTGCGTGCAGGTCTGAACGCAGGTCCTGGTCGCTTAAAATGCTCTGTTAGCAACCACTCACACTGAGGCCGTGTGTGCTTGCCAGTGAAGGGTTGTTTACCTGATCCCGGTCCGGGCCTTGCGATGCAGTCTCGGCATCTTGAAGACCGCGGTTCCTGAGATGAAAGGATGGAGTGCTTGCTTGAGATTGGGAAGCATCGCAGCCAATTGTGAAGTATGAGTAGGTTGTCTTGGGAGTAACATATGGAATGACAACACTCCATGTAGTGAATTTACTTGAAGATAGCGTGATCCCGTGACTTAAAATAAAGTTGTAACAGGAAATATAACAAGAAAATAATAACAGTGGATCAGTCAACTGTGTTTATTTGCTTATATGTCAAAGTGATTAGATTGTTAACCTCATCTATATATGAATTCATACAACCCGGCTACGGTGTTACAAGGGCAAGAAGTGATGTGAGATTGAAGTAATGGAGACTCTTCACAATAATAGTGCTTGCAGATATCTGTAACTGTCTTTCTGCAATATGATTCACTATTTACTGTAGATTACTCTCTCCGGTAGTACTGTAACCTTTGATCATTATTATACTGTGAACCTTTCACTCGTACAGTGTTTACCCAGCTCTCCAGCAAGGATTCTGCTTCAGAGTCTCCAATCTCTTCCTCAGAAATAGTAAGAAAGATGATGTATCCAACACTTAGGAAAAGCTGGTGCATAAGCAGGTTCCAGAAATCATATGTACATTGCTGTCTATCTATGCAAGAGCGCTCTTCCAGGGCGACGATGGCTAAGTGAGACTAACTACATTCTTGAAGAGAGCAGAGAGAACACAAGGCCGGTACCAAAGCATACCAGATATGAATGATAGCCCTTCCTGTGTACTATACGAGCAATATAAGAAACAAGGAACCCAGCGGCGTAGAAGTCGCTCATGTGCAGTGTAGGTCTATCCCTTTTCCTGCTAAACTGCAAGTAAGGTGATTGAAAGACTGATATGGAAAGGGTATGAGGGTTTTCCCTTAAGGAAAAGAACAAGCAGTGCTTTTCATCTCTGTTTTGATGAGGTCTCATGGGTCACGTCACGAACGTCCGTTGCGCTTACGGGATTCTTGTCAATGGCAACCTGAAGGGCAGGCTCCCACGGAAACTCCTTTCTCTCCCTCTGCTCCCCGTTTCCAAAACCGATCAACATGCATCTAAGTCATGGCGTGGGTTCTAGTCCATTCTTTCGCGGTTTGGATGGCGGCGGGCTCATCCTCCTTCCAGCGTTGGGCAACGTCATTGGCGAGCGGGTCATCAGGGTTCGGGGCACCCAGCAGGGCCTGGATCGAGAGAAGGATCGTGCGGATCTGTAGAGCGGGGGACCAGTTGTCTAGTATTGCAAGTTAGTTATCGCGGAACCCTTGGCCCGTCAAGCAAGAAGTGCAGTAGAGAACATACTCTTCAGCACATCCAAGCAAATCCGTCCCAGCCGGTCAATATTGGGGTGGTAAATCTTCGTCAAGAAGCGTATCTTAGGGGGAGTCATGGGGTAGTCCTCGGGCAAGAATAGTTCGAGACGGAAAATGCCACCTTCGACAGATAGTGGTTAGAAACCGCCCATACCCTCTCCTTCAGTGTTTTCAAGCCATCTCACCTTCGTATGGCGATTGTGCAGGTCCGTGGATTGAGACATCGAAGTAGCGCAAGTTGTCTTCATGCGGAACAGCGTTGATGCCGGGAACCCTGCGGTTGACGATGCGTTAACGAGGTTTGTGAGAGACGAAGAGAATGGGTACATACGGCTCCGCCATCAGGCGCTCAGTCTCCTTGATGATTCTTTTCGGCAACGCCATTCTGTACCTAGAAGATTGAATGAACTTTGGTATACACCTAGACCCTTGGTTTCCTAGCGCCTTCAAGTAGTCAAATGGCAGGTGGGGCTGACTGACGGTTCTCTGCTTTGGGCCTTTCACACGAAGTGACCGATCGAGTTCCTCTACCAGAGGGGAGGGAAGGGAATAGAGAACAGCAGTGAGGGAGTTATAGGGAGAGAAGAACAACGAAAGAAAGAAAGAGTCAACAACTTTGAGGTCTACGGGATCTATACGTGACCATCTTCCGGAAACTGATATGAATCGACGTAAAGGACTGAGGGGCACGTTGCATCCTGGGCATTTGTCACCCACCGCAATATGCACGGGGTGTCCGGGAACGCCATCCGTGCAGGAGGTGTGCCTTGACCCAAAGGGGAAAGTCCGCGTTCATCCTCCCCCGGCCCAGACTTGTGGAGTTTAGTTGCCTTCGTCAAGCTTCCCAGTCCCTTGGGGCAGATGCGCTTGCTTGAGGTGGCTCTACTTGTGAGTTCTGATACCTTCATCATCATCAATGCTATTGACTAATATCAATTCTTTTCAGCGATTTTTAGCTCATTACTGTTATCGGAACCCCGCCTGTCCTGGGCGTGCTAAGCTTCAAACGACGACCGGATCATAAATGCTCAATGCGCGCAGCTACTCCCTTCAATTGTTCATGATTTGTTCATGATTTGCACTTGACCGGCCCTTTTTCGTGAGGGAGAGTTCGATATGAGATCAAAACGTTTGAATATCCACAATCGTCTCTCCCATGTTTATAATCCCTTCTTGAACGCCACATTTGTCCAGGGTGTGGATAGCAGGCAACAAGCAACACAAAGAGGACGGAAGCTTTGATAAGAGGGCCAGAGGACGAAATCATAGCCGATATGAGCGAGCCAAGGCCGCCGGGTTCGGCCCATGAGAGTCCAACATTTGGCGAGGACAGTTCATTCCATGTGGAGCAACCTGTTGGTTCTATGTCCATATCGCCATGTGGACGCGATGTGGTGCTAGCGTCAAAGGAGGGCTTGCACGTCATTGATCTGGACTCTCCTTACTCACCACCCCGATACCTACCTCATCACACACCGTGGGAGGTTGCGGATGTTCAATGGTCGCCTTTCGCTGCTCGAGATTACTGGGTCGCCAGTACGTCGAATCAGAAAGCATTAGTCTGGAACCTGGGCATGAAGACGTCGGAAAGCTCAATAGAGCATGTACTGCATGCCCACACCCGAGCCATCACAGACATCAACTTCTCAGCGCATCATCCAGATATGTTGGCTACCTGCGCCGTCGATAGTTTTGTCCACTGCTGGGATTTGCGCATTACTTCTAGGCCCGCCATCTCATTCTCCGACTGGCTTGCCGGCGCGACACAGGTGAAATGGAACCGCCAGGATCCGAACGTGATTGCTAGTTCGCATGACAAGTTTCTACGGATTTGGGACAAAAGAAAGGGCGCATATCCCATCACATCCATCCAAGCACACGACACGAAGATCTACGGCGTTGACTGGAATCGAGTACGACCTGGGGCCCTCACGACTTGCTCCCTCGACCGAACGATAAAGTTTTGGGATTATACTGTCAATACTGAAGTTCCCGAGAAGATAATTCGGGCGCCGTTCCCCGTGTGGCGCGCACGAAATACCCCGTTCGGCTGGGGTGTCTTGGCCATGCCGCAAAGAGGCAACAGCGATCTTCACTTGTACAGTCGTAGACTCGGAGAGGGTGCCAACCCCGGCGAGGATCTTCCCCTGGTCCACAGCTTCCCAGGGCATAAAGGTCAAGTGAAGGAGTTCCTGTGGAGGGCTCGTGGGGGTACAGCTGATGGGATTGATCATAGAGAGTTCCAGCTCGTCTCGTGGGGCACCGACCGAGAACTCCGATTACACAGGGTTGACCCGGACATCTTACAGCGAGTCGGTTATGAAAAAGGAAAGTCGTTCATATCCAACTATAATCTTACTCGTAAAGGTGCGGTCTACAAATCCTTCCGGGATACGAACGCCGACCAAGATGATGAAGATACAGGGTCCCTCTCGCCCAAGACCCAACAAAGCGCCACGCCTCAGGCCTCTCGCAACAAGGGGCTGAACACGATCTCCATCCCATATGCGCGCGGCTGGACCCAAAGTGGAGGCAACCCAGACTCCAGAATTGGCATGCAGGGGCGGACTAATGTTCGAGCTGACACTAACCCTATCGCATGGATGCGTGGCGTGAAGATCTCCGGCTGGGACATTGAGACATTGGGCGATGAGATTACCCATGTGGGAGAGAAATTCACCAAGGTAGCGTTCGAATCCGTTGATGTCAGGCAAAGGAAGGCTATGATCTCTCTTCACGGACCTTGGGGTGCCGATGGTGATTCTCTATTCCTGAAAGTTGATATCAAATTTCCGAGTGATTATCCTCGGACCTCCGTTCCTACTTTCAGCGTGCAAAAGACCGCCGCCGTGACTGATGATCTTGCCGACAAGCTCGTAGCAGAAACGCGAAAGATAGCAGAAACGTATCTCTCTCACAAACGAGGCTGTCTCGAGGGAGTTCTTCGATATCTGCTTGGGGAAAGCACGCTCGAGGAGAGTATGGCATGGTTGTCTGGTGAAACAGCTGAGACAGTCAAATCCCCCATCAATAGCCAGCTTGAGGGCGAGGAGTCAAGTGACGAGGATGAAGTCGGTCTGTCCCAAAGTCAAGACTTGGGCATGAGCTCGGAACTACTTCGTCCAGTTAATGCCAATGTCATGGTCCCTGTGGCTAAGGCATGTGGTGCATTGTGGGCAAATGACGGTCGCTTGGTGTGCTTTTTCCCCTCCAAGAATGAGAAATCGGCAGATTGGATCGAAAATCTGGGCTTGAGAGAAATGTCCAGGCTTTCGAGAACCGATAAGGTTTTTGAAGGCTTCGGCCGGTTGCAAACGAGTTCACCCGGTCCGCGACCTTCCGGTACGATTGCAAGCACTGATGATGGTGCATCGGAGTACTCTGATGACTCGGATGCCGAGAGTTCAAGCTCTTCTGGGTCTTCAGGGATTCTATCCGGGCTGCAGCATCGATTCCCAACTCCCCAAACATGGAGGAGTGGGGGCAGTTTGGGGATATATAGACCACGCTCTACGGACAATTCCCAGCGCTCCACCGCTGGCGCGACGGCTACAAAAGCATCTGATCCGCCTCAGAATGTGGTATCAATCCACGATTTCAGCGATTTGCTACCCGCAAAGCGCGAACTGGCCGTCGGATATCGCATCTGTGGTAAAGTAACGGATGTATGCGCCCATAATTCTGCTGTTGCTCTCGATCACGGGTATCACGAACTGGCCCGCATTTGGGGACTCCTGAGGCTTATACTTCACAATCGAAAAACGTCAATGCTTGCCTCTAACCTAGATCTCTTGGGGAGGTCATCGCGCATTCAGCGCAAAGATAGTGCCATCGATCTCACTTTCGATGCGAAAGGCCATGATAGAGGTTCGAAGGCGCCCCATGGCCCCTCAATACGATGGGGAGATCACCCTTTCGGCAGTCATTGGCTCATTCCATCTATATTGGAACACTTTGAACGAATCGGTGATATACAGATGATAGCGATGCTGTCCTGTGTCCTTCACGAGCCCAGCAACGAGGAGATATCAGTGAAGGAGAAAGTGCAACACAGTAGGAGTGTTTCCAAGCGCATGGAGGAGCATTCTTTCTCGTTCGACTTCTACCCTCCGCATACGGTGATTCACAACAGGTCGCATACCGCGACTCCCCTTGCCACCACACCAAAGGATAGCCATACGACTCCCAAAACACATGGCTCTGGACGATCATCCTCTGAGATCTGGCGTGTAGACTCCACCCCACCTCATTCTACAGGTACAACCCCGCCTTCAAACTCTAGGGTTGCGGCTCTACCAGCGGATAGAAAAGCATGGAGTCAGAATGTATCAATAGCAGCCTCTCCGGACCAGCAGTCTCAGCCCCGCAGTGCATCGGGGCTTGGCTCTGTTCTTGCTTCATCGCTCTCCCGCTCTTTCACATTTGGGCCCTCTTCGGCGTCCCCTCCGCCGACTGCGTTATCGAAAAAGAAACAAAGCCCGAATGGTAGCCTACATACGACCGGAGGCTCTGGAATGTGGGTTACAAGTGCCCTTGCGGCAAAGCCTGCTTCTGCGATTCCAGACTATTTGACTACCTCTACCGCACTAACTTCACAAACCCATTCTGATACAGAAAGTGAAAGAGCGTTGCCTACGAAACCCCGGCCTAAGCTGCAAACGACATTCAAGAATCAGAATGCCTTCGATAGCGGTAGCTCACATAACACGTTTCTCGATCCAAAGAAGGAATGCCTATACCGGTCATATCGAGCAGCATACGCTCATCTGCTCTCCATTTGGGCACTTCCAGTACAGCGCAGCGAGGTCCTCAAGATTGGCGGAGTAGCTCATCCTCTAAGGGATCTGCATGTACCTCACCAGCGTCCTAACGGTCACCACGATTCATTTTCTTTTCCAATTTCAAAGCATCGGGAAGCGACTGCGGTACCCATCGATGTGGACCGAGGTCTGGACATTCAGCTCCATTGTAACAAGTGTGGACAAGCACTTCAGCATTCTATTTTCGCGACGAAGGCTGCCGTTGAAGCAGTGGCTTCTAGGAGTCACATGAAAGGAGCATCGAGCTCCACCGTGACGTGTCCGAATTGTACACCAAAGCATTCACTTGCTCTCAAGCTACCCTGTGTGATATGTAGTGAAGTCGTCGAGGGAATGCTTATTCCATGTCTTGGCTGCGGTCATGTCAGCTGCTTTGATTGCCACCGAGGCTGGTTCTCAATGGCATCCGCAGACGCTCATCATGAGCAAGACGCCGGTGCGCGCGAGGAATACAGATACTGTCCAAGCGGCTGCGGTTGTAAATGTTCGGACTTTATCGATCCGGATTCCACTGCGCCGTGGGACGTAACCACGGACATACCAACTCCCCAAGAGCGGGAAGGCCCCCACACTCGACATCGAAGTAAGAAATCTGATGGATCGGTCTCCATAAAGCATGCTGTTGAACCTGCGCCTGCGACCAGTTATGCCCCAAATGGGGACGACACCGATCAATCGCCGAGTGTGTCGCCTTTTGCGTCTCTTGCAAAAGGCCTGGGTGGGGGCCTGAGTAGAGGGCTGCGACTACGGGACGATAGACGCAGGTCGAAGCTGTCGGCGACTTCGTTTGTTCCCAAGAAGTCTTCGATGAATCAGGTTGAGAATCGGTGATGGTTGTCACTGTTTGTTTCTTCTTAGCTAGCGACAAGTTATATATACCCCTTTCGTTTTTTCTCTTATTATTTAGCATGGAGGCAGTTGCTGGATGTATGATACTTCACGTGTTCTATTCATAATGAATGTCAATCATGTAAGAAAAATAATGCTCTGCTTGTAACTTACCGTGTGCTCCTGCCTGATGGATCAAACGGACTTGTCAACAATCGAGACATAGTACATGCGCTACAGAAATAAGACGATATTGAAATAGGGGGCAGTGGTGTGTCTGGCCGAGCTATACTTACAGTATGCGGGCTATGATGACGAGTGGGTGCCTGATGGATCTGGCCATGAATCAACCACTTATCGGTCATCGGCGATAAACCGCAGCCGTCATTCCTTGATCATTGAGACCCACGGCATCCACACATTCTGTGAATTGCTCTGAATCTACTACCATCCGATATGAGATTTGGGACATCAGAGGATTAGGCGATTTTACCACTCACTCTCACGCATCCCTCGCCGCTGAAACACCATGAGCAACGCCAGTCTTGTCGCCTGGGGCGTTCCCCGACTGGCCGAGCTGCTTCCGCTGGACGAGGAATCGCTCACCCAAATCATCGAATACGCCGCAAGCCTCTCCAAAGAAGAAGGAGCGGACCACCTTAAGAACCTGCTCGGCGACTCGCCTGCGGCTTTCGAATTCATCTCTGCCTTCAGTTCCCGCCGATCAGCCCCGCCGCCGCCGCAGCGCTCCGCCGCATCCTCGCCAGCACCAGCACCCACGCCTCCAAGCGCAGGAGGAGCCTCCGCTTCTCCTAGAAATATCAGCACTAGCTCAGGCAGGAAAGGCAAGAAGGCAAAAGCATCGCTGCACAGCGCCGGTCCGGTGCGCCGACCAGAGAACTTTGGCGACGTGACAGGCGGATACAGGAAGGAGGATCAGAATGAGGATTACATGCCTGTCTCTTCGGGGCGGGGTCAACAGGATGGGCTTGGGTCAAAGCAATCCGGCAAAGGAGGAGGTCGAGTAGTGGGCTCCCCTTTACGAGTTCCACCCGTCACATCATCCCAGGGATCGTCCGGTACCTCGTCGCGCAACCCGTCGCCCGCTCCTCCCAGGAATATCACCACTACCACCACCAGCACCACAAGCCATCGAAACCCACCCTCAGCGGCGGGGCCGGTTATCTCAGATCTCTTACCGAATGTCAAGTCAAAAGCGGCCAAGTCCTCGTCGCGCGGTGGTGGTGGCGGCGGCGGTTCCAAGTCCTCGCCCTCGGGCAACAAGGGCGGATTGACTACAACGAACATTACAGACCTCACGGCCGCGATTGCCGCATTGGAGGTATCTACGAACCCGACGCTCGGGACTGGCGCCCGGAAATGCACCTGCTACGCCAGTATCCACCCGCTCTTCGACCCAGCACCGAACTGTCTAAATTGTGGGAAGATCATCTGCGCGCTGGAGGGGTTGCAGCCATGCTCGTTTTGCGGGACGCCGCTGTTGTCGAATGAGGAGGTGCAGAGTATGATCCGGGAGCTGCGCGCGGAACGAGGTCAGGAGAAGATGCGCGCTCACAACGAGAGCGTCCATCAACATCGGGACGGGGGCCCAGGGCTAGGTACTGGTGCGTCGCAGACGCCAGCGTATAGCAATAATAGACTGGATGCCGCCCGCGCGCATCGCGACAAGTTGCTGCAGTTCCAGGCGCAGAACGCGAAGCGCACGCGGGTGGTGGACGAGGCGGCGGATTTCGAGACCCCCAACGTCGCGTCGACGCTGTGGATGACGCCGGCGCAGCGGGCGCTGGCGTTGAAAAAGCAGCAGCGAATTATGCGGGAGATGGAGGAGAAGGCCCGGCCGGAGTGGGAGAAGAAGAAGACGATCATGAGTCTGGATATCAAGGGGGGTCGAGTGACGCGGGTGTATCAGTCTGCTGCGGAAGCCGCCGGGTCATCATCGAAAGCTGCGGACGAGGAGGTTGCGGCCGAGGCCCAGGCTGAGGAGCACCTTGAGGGTGATGGAGACCGCGGAAACAGTGGTGGCGGTCACGCGTTCAGCAACAATCCTCTCCTTGCGTCTGGCGGGCTGCTGCGGCCGGTCTGGAAGACTGCGGATGGTCAGCAGCCCGAAACGGCGCGCAAGGAGCGCCAGCCAACCTGGCGGCGAGTACAGGATGATAACGATGACAACGAGCAATGGATTCTGGACGGCGGGGTGCATGGATATACTTGATCCTGGTCGCGGAGAATAACGGAGGGTGTCACTGTGCAGTGGGCAGGCGACTGTGCATATTTCATGATCATTATGCATGCCCTTATTGTGCACCTGGAGAGTACCACAGCATAAACACACATGCACGCGCATACACATAAGTCTACCATCAAGCCAACACTGAGTCAACCCTTCAACGTATAGCTAGCTGATCGAGACAATTAGACTCCCAGTCCCGTAATCATTCTCCACCTCAATGTAGAGTAAGCTTTAGTTCCGGTCATCGTGGGGCAAGATTCGTGTTCGGGTGGGCCTGGGGTAGTAAGCTGAGCTTAACAGTCAATACACCATCATTCAATCATCTATCATCTTAGAAATTCTTCTACAGCATATTCTCCGACAACAAGATCCACTGATCCGTATTACTATAGTACAGATATACCGAATCAGCAATAGATGCAAGCACGAACACGATCTGACACAACTCCTCTAGATTCAGCTGTAAGTCACTAGAACCAGCACCCAGACCATGATGACGCCAGTCACCCCTCGCAAGGAGAACAAAAGCAAAGAAACGCAAGGGCGACAACCATGGAAACGACCGCCAATCTGTCATCCAGTTCGTAATAAGACTCTCTCCGCAAGTAACCGATAGTTCCAGTTAGCAGAGAAGCAGGGTATTATAAATGCGCCGCGCATCTTTCACCGGTAAGTCCTATCGAACGATAACCCATTTCCCCGCTCCGTTTTTGTCTCACTATCCTTGAACGGGACCACAGGTCATTAAAGTGATGTTTGCGGGGAAAGTTGCATTACTACCTTACAAATTACCGCACGGATTGTTTGGTGAAGTATAGACTCGGTTCGGCGCGGGTAGACTCGGGGATTGCAGATAACTTTGGAAGACGGAGTACAGCCCATTGCCTCAGAGGGGAGAATTATCTATAATACTATATACCAGCTATACGAGGTGCGAAACGTACAACTGCTCAGGTGCTTGGGGACTATTTTACGGACTGGTCAAAGGCTTATCACCCCCCCTCCCCTCCCCTTCCTCCCCTCTCTCCCTTTGTTCAGCTTGCACAGCAGGAGTGAAATCCTTCGCAGCTGTTCTTCACGAGTGAAAGCAATAAACAACACAAAGATGCTTAGCCAGCTTGGCTGGGATGCCGTATCCCTGGGCGGAGTCGCTTGGGGTGTGTTGGCTATCCTCTCGGGGTTGGTATGTTTCTCTCGCTTACTTACTCCTACACCTACACCCCAGCCAGCCGGCAAGATACTGAACAAAGACAACCTTAGACCCTCCTCTACACCATCTACAACCGCTACCTCCACCCCCTCCGACACCTCCCAGGCCCGCTCCTCGCCTCGCTGACCCCCTGGGTCCAGCTCTACCACGGCCTCCGCGGCGACCGCCACCTCTGGCTTCACGCCCTGCACGCCCAGTACGGCAGCCACGTGCGCGTGGCGCCCAACTTCATCAGCGTCAACACCGCTCAGGGCCTGCACGACATTTACGGCCACGGGAAGCGCCTCCGCAAGGCCGACTTCTACAACGCCTTCCCGGCCATTAAGGGCGTGTACAATACCCACAACGTCATCGACAAGACGGCGCACGGCCGCAAGCGCCGCGTGCTGAGCCAGGCCTTTGCGGACCATGCGCTCAAGAGTATGGAGGATGTGATGCTCTTGCACGTCCGGCAGCTCTGTGCGGGGCTGATGCCGCGGCAGCAGACCTCCTCAAAAGGGGGGTTGTTGCAGGAGAAGCAAGACGTGTTGTCACCGGCGGCGGCGCCGCCGGTAATAGTGCAGGATCTAGGTCGGTGGTTTAGCTATCTCACGTATGATGTGATGGGGGAGTTGTGCTTTGGGAAGAGCTTTGATATGTTGATTGAGAGTAGTCGGCGGCGGTTGGTGGAATTGGTGGATCGCGCGGCGAACCGGCATTATGTTGTGAGTTTTACCCCGGCTTGTTCTTTTCTCTCTCTTCTGGTGGCTTTGCGTCGGTGGCTTTGTTGTTCAAACCAAGAGAAGACTGACATTTTCGGGTGGGGGTTTGTTCAGTGCGGTCTTTGGATGCCTCTCGATCGATGGCACCTGGACCAGATCTTTATCCATCGGTTGACCAACGACCGCTGGAACTTCATTATGAACTCCCGCGTCGAGGCCACGAAGCGCGCCCAGGAGCGCACCCAGGCCGGCCACGACGCCAAGCGCGATTTCTTCTACTATCTGCTGAATGCGCGGGACCCGGAATCCGGACAGGGGCTGACCACGCCGGAGCTCTGGGGCGAGGCCAACGTGCTGATGATCGCGGGCAGCGACACGACGTCGACCACCCTCTCGGCCACGGTCTTCTACCTGGTGCGTAACCCGCATGCGATGGAGCGGCTGAAGAAAGAGGTCCGCGAGGCGTTCACCTCGGTGGAGGAGATCGTCTCGGGCAGCCGACTCAACGAGCTGGTCTACCTCAAGGCGTGTCTGGACGAGGCGCTGCGGCTGGCCCCCGCAGTGCCCGGGGCGCCTCCCCGCGAGGTAATGGAGGGCGGCGCCGTGGTGGACGGGGTGTTCCTCCCGGAGGGGACCGACTGCGGGACGCCGACCTTCTCCATCCATCGGCAGGCGGAATACTACCGTCAGCCGGGAGCGTATCTGCCGGAGCGCTGGATCGAGGGTGCGACGTGCCAGACGGGGCTGGAGTCCTGGAAGACGAGCAAGGATGAGGTCGAGGTTGCGCGGCGGGCGTTCTGCCCGTTCAGCATCGGCCCGCGCGGGTGCATCGGGAAAAGCATGGCGTTCATGGAGATGCGACTGACGATTGCACGATTGATCTTTCTGTTTGATTTCGAGTTGGCCGACCACCGGGGCGAAGACGCCGAGGGTCACTTGGCGTTGGTGGATCACTTTACCAGTGCCAAAGTCGGACCCAATGTGTTTGTACGGCTGCGGGGGTAGCAGCTAACTCAGCTGCTGTAAATGGATTTACATATTAAGTACATACAAACATACATACAGACATACACATATGATGTTGAGCAATCCCACCTCAAAAGGGGTACAGTAAAGTGTAGATGCTGGTTGCAGCACCGCCAGCGATAGTTGACGCTATCGGCAGGACACGTGCCGCACACGTGCCGACATCCCCAGGCAGTGAGGCAAAGTGTACTTACTGTAACTACGGAGATTGTAGGTAACGATGTTAACCCTTTCTCTTTCCCCTCCTCCCCTCGTCGTTCGCTTTCTCCCCTTGGATCATGAGAAATCGTCATTCATTTTGAGTTCTTTGAATATCTTTCGAACTTCCGACTCTCATTCAAACATTTTCTTTTTTTTTTTTCTTTTTTTTTTTTTGCGCTATTGTGTGACCAGTGTTGGCTTGAAGCCAGATCCCCACATCGCCGGAAACAATGCCCCCTTCCGCCCTGACCACGACCTTCATACAGTCGACTTTCCTTAATGCCATTGCCAATCTACTCGCCCAAGTCATAGATCAGTACCATCGCGGTGTATGTAGATCTTTTCTTCCTGTCTCATGGCTTTAAGTATAGAGAAAGAATATACACGGTGGCCTGAAACTGCATGACTAACATACCTGGGGAAACCGGGGGGCAGTTGGCCAGATTAGGGGGGCGGTGGGTGGGGGGAAGTTTTGGGGAAAAGATGGGAGTGGGAGTTTGAGTATGTGTGAGAGAGAAAGAGAGAGAGGGAGGGTCCATTTCATTTCTGCTGGTTTTGGCTGCTTTTACTCTTCCCCGCCTTTGTCCCTGCCGTGAAACCCATTCAATGGTGGAACCCTTGAAGGCTAACTTAGCTGTGCTATGATCTTCCGGATCATCCCGAGGCCTCATGTCATGCCATGGAGTATACCTCAATTGCCTATTTGGGTAACCTTTTTATCCCACCACTGCACTGCATGGGCTATCGCCATGGGCACCACCAGAGTCTACTGAACCCATTGCTTACCCCCAGCCCATTCCCAAACATATCCCCTAACCTCCTCCCCCTCAAGAAGAAAAACAAAAGGAAAAGGACTCATCCCTTCCTCCCTCTCTCTCCACAATCAATCTCATCTCAAATCCGCTTCCCCAAAAACCCAACCTCAACCCCAAATTACCCTTACACCCCCACCTCCCCCTCCTTCCCCCCGGACCCTAAACAAAAACAGAAACCCTTTCACCTGAACCCTGTCGCCCTCCTCCAATTCCTCATCTACGGCCTCCTAAGCGTCCTCCCAAACTTCATCTGGCAACGCTACCTCGAAACCCATTTCCCGGGGTTTCCGTCCTTCCACCGGTTAAAGTCGTCCTTCTTTTCCTCCTCTTCAGGGGGCACAACAGCAGCAACAACAACACCATCACCACCACCCCCCAAAGGGGAGGTATATATCTCCATCCCGCTTGACACTGACCTCAAGGAGAAGAGACCGGGACTTTCTGGAGATAAGGGTAGGGGTAACAGCAGCAGCAGCCGGTTCCTCCCTCGGAAGGTCACAACAGGCTCCATTGGAGGGAATGGAGGGAACGGGGTGCGCAACTTTCTGGCCAAGTTCTTGCTCGACCAGACAGTCGGGTCGGTGATGAATATTGTGCTGTTTGTGGTGTTGATTAATTGGTTGAAGGGGGTGAGTTTGAGTGGGTGTTGGGGGTTGGTACTTGAGGTTTGTTCTTTGCCCCCTTAGGAGGGAGAAGGAGGAGGAGAAAGGAAGGAAGGAAGAGTATTTCTGAAATGATAATGAACTATGCTAACAGAGGGGCTGGCTGGGCAGGACTTTCGACCTATCATGATGGCCCGGCTCAAGTATCGGCCGCTCGTCTCGGTGCTCATGTACACGGTTGTGCCCGCGGATCGGCGCGTGGTGTTTGGGAGTGCCTGTGGGGTCATCTGGGGGGTGTATCTGAGTTTGTATGCCGTGGTTTGAGGGATTTTCCTGAATTGTTGCTGGATTATCTTATACATACCGACTGGGGCTTTCTGCGAACTTCACCAAGATAATCATTGATCTTCACATCGCCGATAGCTATAAACAAGATATATGGATTTAGTATCTTATATCATCACGTTAATCATCCAATACACCTCGCTTGCCGTGAGCAATCACCCGGGATGAATCTACATGCAGCAATCTCGAAATGATAAACAAGAAAAGGAGAAAAATTAATACAAACTGTCATACCGCCACTCACGCTGCTGTTGTTTCAAGCTTCCGGCCCTTGACAGAGATCCAGTCGATAGGCAACGCCCCCACCAATGCTAGCGCCCCCATCGCCACAGCCACATAGAAGGTCTGCATTATGGCCGAGTTGTAGGCTACCAAAGCTTGCGGCAACATATCCTCCGGCACGACGTGGCGTAGCATGGTCGCTCCGGCTCCAATCACCTGTCGCACGTCCAGCCCCGGGATATGCCCCAGATTCTCGCGCAGCTTGTTCTGGAACACATTCTGAGCCACTGAGACGAAGATCGCCCCACCGAGCGTCTGGGTGAACACGACAATGGCTGTGGCACTGGGCACGTCCGCCGGGCTGAGTGCGGCCTGGCAAACTAGCATCGGTTGCTGAAGGCCGATACCCGCACCAATCCCGACAATAATCTGATATCCAACCCAGTGGGCCGCGCCGGAGTTGGGCTCCAGCGTTGTGAGCAGGCCTCCACCGATGGCCGCGAACACGGGGGAGGCCAGCAGGAACGGCGTGTAGTATCCGAAAATCGAGATCAAGACTCCAGCTATCATAGCAAATACAACGACACCTAGTAGCATGGGGAGATTCATGATTCCTGATTTGGTAGCTGACACGCCTTTGATTGCCTGAAACCATATAGGGAGCTGTGCAGTCATATCAGCTGGAGGCCCGCCGGAAGAAAAAGCAAACATAACGACAGCAAGAGTGGTACCCACATAGTAGACGAAGGTGAAGAAAGAGCCGCCCATACAGAAAGTGAAAAATGCCCCGCCCCAGACGTTCCGATTCTTGATCAGTCTTGGTGGGATGGTGGCCTTATCCTTTTCCCAGACTTGCGTTCCAATGAAGCACAGGATGAGTATCCCAGACAAGACGAACAACGCGATGATGCGGCCATTGTTCCAGGCATAGGCCGTACCACCCCACTGCAACGCTAGTAGCATGCAGATGATACCCGGTAGAAAGAAGCTCGTGCCTGGAAGGTCCAGCTGGGCCACTTGATCCTTGAATCCGTAAGTGCTCTTGACCGACTTCGGTGCCTTGAAGAATAGATAAATGAACACAATGGTCAGTCCACCGATGGGCAAGTTGATGTAAAAACACCACCGCCAGCTGAGATGGTCGGTAAACGCTCCGCCCATCAGCGGTCCGGCCACACTAGCTACGCCATACATCCCGGCCAGCGTCCCAGCGTAGACCGGTCTGCGTTCCAACGGTGTTGTTTGGGCGACAATCAGCATAGCTCCAGAGAACAAACCGGCCGACCCTACCCCAGCCACGGCTCGGCCAATGATCAAGGCTATTGAGTTAGGAGCTGTCGCGCAGATCAAGGAGCCCACCTCGAAGATTGCGAGAGCGATTAGATACACCCATTTGGTCGAGTAGAATGTGTACAGCTTGCCGAAGATCAAGGTGAGCGCACAGGTTGTCAGGAGATAGGCGCTGCCGTACCAACCCACGTCGTCCAAGGAGTGAAACTGATCGGTAATTTTAGGGATGGCGGTTGCCAAAATGGTATTGTCCTAGGTACACAAAGAGAGTCAGGGGCAACTAGGAGTATCCTTAAGTCCGACAAGGAGGCTTACCAATGCAATGCAGAAAAGAGAGACGGAAAGCCCGACGAGGATCAGCGCCAGCTTCCAAGACGTGGGATACTCTGGCTCCAAGCCAGAGACCTGACCATCACCCCGTGAGCTTGTTGACTTGGCTTCATTCAACGGCACATGGATTTGAGAATGCGAGGATGCTGCGCGGAACGACTGAGCAGGAGTACTGTCGCGATCGGTCGATTGCATCCTGGTCGAAGCAGCCTTTCTCATCTCTCGTCTATTGCGGGGAGGAGTCAACTCGATCGATGACGCGTGGTGGGACATGGCTCCGTTGGGAGAAAACACACCCACACACTCTCTCTCTTGCTGTGTATCTTTGGATCAGAGTCACGATATCGCCCCGATACCCGACAGGTCCTTTGATCAAAAAGCACAGTCTCAGCTGACAGACTGAGTTAGTGGTTGAGGACAACGAGTGTGGTGAAGGAGAACAGAAAACACGCTTCGTCCAGTCCAGACAAAGGCAATGTGAAAGACATGGAAAGGAAAGAGAATGGTGAATAATGGTGAATGGGGAGGGGAGATGGAAGGATGAACAGAGACCGAGAAAGGCTAAGCAGAGTAACTCCCCAATTTGGGCGTGGTTGTACCACCGGACCTTTTCTCCTTCACTCTTCCTGACACGCGTTTGTCGTCATCAAAGGGGAAAATGCCTTCTGCGGCAGCACAACTCAGGGCATGGATGACTGTAACCTTTGCTGACTGCTGCTGCTGCGTGCTGGTGTCTATGTATGGTCTCCAGACCAGGTCACCTCTGAACTGGACTGGAAAAGGCAAGGAATCGGGGCTGAACGCATGCTGTGGCAGGTGGGATTAGGACAGTCGCACAAGGCTATGGGAAGATGCCATGACGGGCTGCATGGCATGGAAATACCGTTCTTACTTATTGTGAGTCTCGCGGACATCGGGCGGATATCTACTTCCGCCGTCCAGAGGCGAGGAACATTTACTAGAAAGGAGCCAGTAAAAGTTAGCCAAGTAGTAGTTAGCGACTGAGGAAGCATACTGGGTACTAATTTGAGACTGTTGAAGAGGGCTCTCATCTCACCCACCATCAGCCGCAAGAATCAATCAACAATATTTCATGCAGCCTTGATAAAAATCTTGCCATCTGGACGGAGGGATATCTCTTCCCCAACGTACTGCAGCCTGAACCACTGAGCAAGCCAATCTGTACTGTTGACCATTTGTAGCAACAGTAAAAGTAAAGCAGAGCTGAATTTGTTATTCCCAACCAGTAAACCTAGGATATATTCACAAGTATGCCAATCAAACAGTTGTGCAACGCCGTAAAACATGATAGTGTATCCAGCACCTCCCTTCATCCCAGCCGCTCTGCCAACACCTGATCCATGCGGATTTTCAGCCATTCCGGTACAAGCCCGAGTCCTGACTCGGCGTCACAGCCTGAAATCCTAGCAAAAGGCCGCTCAATTCAACAAAAGCTGAAGCAATAGTGCAAAACCAGCAGAAACATCAGATCACTCCCCCATCAATGGCCCCGCAGGCCGCTGGTGTTGGGCTTCTTGGCATCCTCCTTGCTGGCCACTAGAGCGATCAGAGCAGCGCCGACACCACTGCCATCCTTGGAAATGCCAATGCGGATCTTCTTGTTACCAGCCTCGCCCACCTCAGGAACCTCGCGGAGCGCATCCCGCATGTGACCTTCGAAGTTGGGGTAGAACTCGACCAAGCTACCATCAACACCAATATCCACCAGATCCTCCGACTGGAGCTTGCCAGTGGAGTGAAGGACAGCCGCCAGAGGCACGGCAGCCAGGCGGGCGGCACGCTTGCCAATGGCATGTACCACGGTCTGGATGGCTTTGCAATCGTCGTTGCTGGGGTTTTCGATCCTCAGGTGGTCCTTCAGGGCCGTCTTGATCTGATCCAGGTTCTCGGTCTTATCGGCCTCAACCAAGCTCAACAAACTGGTGTCAATGCCCCACTGGCGGAAGAGGGACGACTCCTTCGGAACAGAGACGGCGCTCGACTTGAGGAAGCCCAGAGACTCGTTGCGGTGCATGTCCAGCATGACACGGCGCAGAATTTCACCCAAGAACATACCGGAGACGCGCTTCTCGAACATCTGCACGCCAGGGTTGTTGCTGTCCGCGTCCAACTGCTGGTCATAGACAGTGTTGGGAAGGACGCTCAGGTGGTTGTCAAAGCTACCCCACTCGGCGTTGATAATCATTTCACCGGTCGACTTGTCATACGACGAGTGCTCAATGGTCTGCATCTTGGTGATGCGGTCTAGCTTCTCGACATAGGCGCCGTTGGTGCCCGTGCCGAAGATGGCGCCGAGGAAAGTACCGGTGGCACCGGGGGAGGTGTAGGAACGAGCCATCAAGGTCCCCACAGTGTCGTTGACCAGGGCAGCCACCCGCACGGGGAGATCCAAATCATCAATGGCGCTCTGCAGCAGCGCGCAGACATCCTGGCCCACAGCGTCGGGGATATCGAAACCCTTGGTCCAGCGGATCAGGGTACCCTTGTTGATGCCCAGCTGACGAACAGGGAAAGAGAAGGTGAAACCGAGGTCGAAGAGGGCTTCCTCGGAGTTGTCCTTCCTCTGATTATGGCGCCGAAGGTGTGCCTCAAAGTGCTCGTTGTGGTGAATACGCAGGAACGACTCGATCTGACGTGCCAAGAAGAGGAAAAGATCCTTGGCGGTGCCGGACGACATGGTCTCCCGGGGGATCATGATCTTAGACTGGGTCAAGGAAAAGGTGGTGTCTCCATGGAGGTCAATGGAGCAAACACGGAAGTTGGTTCCGCCAAGATCAACAGCCAAATACAATCCCTGTCACGTCTTTGGGTCAGCTGTTGTGATCCGGATCCCTTCGGGTTGGGAAGAGGCGCCTGATTCTCTTACCTTTTCCGTGCCATTGGGTACAGAGGTGACAAAGGTTGGGATCTGGCTAAGGGTGGTGTGCTCCTGGGACAAGCCCTCGTCCATCTCGCGCACATACTCTGTTACACCGCGACGCACCTGGTCGGCGGGGTAGTCAAACTGGCTGGCAATCCGCGCAGCCTCTTGGAGAAGTGGAGAAGACATGATGATTGAGAGTGGTGTGATGCAAAGGGACAAGAGATGAGTAGGAAATAAGGATGACGAGGACAAAGACAGGATAGAGGAAGAGTTTATTGAGGGGGAGAAATAAGGAGGCGGGGGAGGGGCAAGTTGTAGGCCGGAAGAGGAATAACTAGTTAGAGGAGAGAAGCTGAGGTAATGGGAAGGAGATACTAGATAGACAGGGACAGATGGAGGAAGAATGAGTTTCTGGAGAAGGAGATGAGCAGAGAGAAAGAAATTGAAATAGGTGGAGAGGGCAACAGCAGGATAATAAACTGGAGACCAGACACGATGGAGGGCAAGAGAATAATACGGGAATAAAGTGATGCGTGGGTGGAATTGAGACTATCCTAGTATTCTCATGGCGGGGTCGATGAGGTCAGTTCTGGCTGTCCGTCGCGGGGCGCCCCCCGAACACCAAACAAACCATTGCCTGCCAATGCCTGGCACTGCGTGCACCACCGCCAAAAAACCAACGACAAGCCCGGGTTTGCCGATGCTGGCCATGGCCATTCATTGTCCACAGTTCCCGAGTCCCTTTCCCGATTCTTACGGTAACTGTGCAGTATTCATTATTCACACTCCCGGTAGTGAGTCAAATTGTCCAGATTCCATGACGTACAGAAACCACCAGGACTGGTGGGGGATTGGGTCGGTCTTCACCGGTGAGGGCAAAAGAGGTTTAGGAGGGAAGGAAATGGAAGGGGCCCGATGGAGAAGATGGAGAATTTGAAGCCCTTTGTGCCAAGGGAGTTTTAGGATGGTGCGGTATCACTCTAGTAATCGTCGAATCCTGAAGTAATTTTCCCCCTGATGATGGAACGAACATGCAACATGTGGCCTCCCACATCTCCAGATATGTCTCTGATCCGGGGCATATGGAGAGAACTACGGAGTAAGTGAGTAATACGCACGCGACGAAAGGATTGGGCTCCCTCTCCCTTCTTGTTGGCCGACTGTCCAGACAAGACCATCGTTCATGTCAGCTGCTCGATGATCATCAGGACCCTAGTACTATAGAGCGAGACGTAACCTTAAAAAATAACATTGATCTGGGGAACAATGCGAGGGGCATCTTAGCATCACTGCATCCCGAGGTCCGAAGGAGCAGGAGGGATACGCTATGGCAACGAGCGGGATCAGGCGACGACCAAGCCGTGAACGGATGCGGAATAGCCCCAGGACACGAGATCAGGCAGGAACTGGACACTGCACCCGGCCTAAAGATCTGAGGCACCAAGGCAGGGTCTACCCGATGTCAACACCTCAGGCATCGGGTTGGAAGACGTGAAAGGCGTCAAGGCATCAAGGCATCAAGGCATCTTGGTTAACAGCTTCCGTCACTGACTAAGATCACGTGACTATCACCGGCGGAAGTCGGCTGGTGGAAGAAGCATCAAGATGCAATCCCCTCCGCCGCAGTGGAATTGTCCCCGGATCCGTGCTTTCGACGGTCACTCATTGCTCTGCTTCCCCCACTGAAAAGTGCCATCGGCCTGCGTGTGCTGACGGATTTTGATTCTTCTAACGACCTCACCTCCACACAAACCCTTTCCAAATCATCACATCATGGGCGCCGGCAGCTCCAAGCCCGAGGCCTCGGCCGGCTCGAAGCACGTTTTCACGAGGTAGGTGCAACATCCACGAAACTGCTCACCTGCTCGATGCCTCTTATGTTATTTTCCATGCATGTCAATGCCCGAAGAATCGATGCTGGTCAATTGCGCGGCTCAATGGGTTGGAGACGAGTCCCAATTTCGTCACGGGCGGGCAATAACATCCATGTCATTGCCAGCCTACAAACCCAATTCTAATCCATATATCCCAATATATAAAAAACCGATACTACTTATTTGAATCAGGACTAACAAGGGCGAATAGCAATTCCCCCGTTCAATTCTCCTCCAACCTAGTCGACTCCCTCCAGAGCAACACCGAGGTACGTCCACAACCCACAATACTCCAAACAACGTGCCCATTCTCTCCCCCCCATCAACTCTAACACAACCAACCACAACCACCAGACCGATTCAGCCCGCGCCAAAGCCCTGGAACTCCAAATCCAAGCGCGCGTCTCGGAAGAACTCGAGCGCCTGCGCGCCCGCGAACAGCAAACCCTCGCCGAGATCGAGAAGCGTCTCGCCGAAGTCAGAGAAACCGCCGCCTCGCAAACCTCCTCCTCATCCTCCACCTCATCCTCCACGCCAAACATCGCCTACCCGCCCGGCTCCCTGAACTTGGATGCGCCCCGTATCCCCTTCGCCGGCCGCGAGGCCACCCCGGCCCCGGCCCCGGAGAACCAGAAGCCCATCAACCTGGACGTGTCGCGCGACTCGGTGAACTCGGAGATCGAGGAGCTGCGTGCCCGGCTTGAGGGTCGGCGGCGGTTGGCGCAGCTGGACGAAGAGGCGGAAAAGGCCCGCGCCGATGTGGTGGGTTGCCTGCGCTTGAATGACCGGCGGCCGTTGAATTGCTGGAAGGAGGTGGAGAGCTTCAAGCGAGAGGTGGCGAAGATGGAGGAAGCCTTTGTGGATCGGATTGTGGGTTAAGTTTTAGTGGAAGAGAACGAAAAATTTTGAAGGGCAGGGGGGGGGAGTAAAGTGGTTGATGAAAGTTGATGTTGCGCTACTAGACTCAAGGAGAGTGATCAAGAAGCATTGTTTGCAGGGTTGTGGATTATTTGTATGTTGTAAGTGTGTATGCGTGTGTGCGTATGTATGTGTTAGCTATACAGTATTGTTTCTTATGGATAGATTTGATTTTGTGCTTTGTTCTCACTTGTGTGCCTGTCCACGCTGCTTGTTCCACCAAAGCAAGCTATGGCAGGAGCATGGTCTCCAGCAGTGAGCTGCTAATCTCGACCCCTCATAAATTATCACACCAAGTATAGACACTTCACACAGACTTCCATCTACAGTTCGATTTCCTCAAGGTATTACATTAGAACCATCACCCACATCCACGTCTAATTCTTTGAATTCACTCGACAAACCGGGGTATCATGAAAAACTCAAACCCGCCCAGATACAACCTGACTATGACCACATACTTTAAGGGAACGAGACAGTGACTAGATAAGCTCCCAGTACCCCAGCCGTCCGACCAGCTCACCTGCAGATCGGACAATGCACATGTGCTTCTTGCCCTTCGCCTTATCCTTGCCGGAACCAGTATTATCCCGGACCTTGACCACCTGAATTGAGCCGATGCCCGTCCCCTTACCCTCGGCAAGATTATAATTTCCCGTCGTGATAAACCCGATCAGATCTTCCTCGGAGGGCAGCGGAAGATGTGCCTGACGAGTATCCGTATCAGCGCAGGGGGTTATGAGCGACGCAGCAAGGCGCTGTTGAGCGTCTTCTTTACGCAAGGAGTCGTCGGGCTTCGGGACACAGGGTTGTTTGTCCCCGTCAGTCTTCTTTGATGCCAGTAAGAGCCAGCGCTGTCTGAGGTCTGGATTGTTAGAGGGAAGACGGTAGATGCGGGCTCGAGGGGTTGGGGTGCCACGACTGATGAGGGAGATGCGGACTGTGGCGAGCGCGGCGGTATCGACGCTGACAGCTCGATCGCTCAGTGCCCGAGCTGCCTGCGTCGATGAAAGTTGGTGAATGTTCAAAGGTGGAGGCTGATTTGTGGCGGTTGTGGTGGTGGCGGTTTCAGCAGCAACAGCGGCATCCACCATGATAGTATCTGTTTGCTTGTCTTTCTTCTGTACCTCCTCGGTCTTGGCTGTGCTTTGGACAAGGCTCTCCCAGTCGCAGGCCCAACCTCTGCCGACCTCCCCTTTCTGGCCGGTACCTAGATCCAGACTGTCAAACTCGACTCGACGTCCCTTGGGCCGGCGCTCCCAGGCCTTCTTCGCTTCCTCACGCTCACGCAAACCCCATTCCCAACCAGCTTGGGTTCCAGGGAAGTCACCAGGGAACCAGGGTTCTCCCGACTCGAATGCCAATTGTTGCTGCTCCTTGAGACCTCCAAAGCGGGGGAGACCTCCGCTCGACAGTGGGTAGTACATCAAGCTGTACCAGAGGGGAAGGACGCACTTCCACGGAAGCAGTACTGTCCAGGTTCCCGGAGGATTGCTATCCTTCGATTGCGCGGTCGACCGACACGCTAGGACGATGACAGGAATCTGGGGATCTGTATCCTTTGCTGGAGGAGGAACTCCCGGTCCAGCTTCTGTCCGCCGCCGATTGATGGCCTTTTGACTCGGCATCTGTCGCGCAGCAGCCAGACGTGCACGACGATCGAAAAGAGCCGGGGCAGTCTGGGTGCGATCTGGAGGCCAGGTAGCGAGCAGGACAGCCAGACTCTGCATATCACTCTCGGATGTTGGAGGCTTCAGCGTCTTGGGAGGGTGACTCAAGCGGGGATCAGAGACCGAGAAAGCAAGCAGCGCGCCTTTCGGTAAAGAGGCAGCATCAGAGACTCCCAACAGGGAGCCCCAAGTAGCCTCCGGGCTGTTTACCGCAAAGGGCTTTCCGTCGGCAACGACCGGCTTCATGGCAGCGATCAACGCCTCCATAGATCCGGGGCCGGTGATATCAATACTACCAATCTCAAATCGGAGATCCTCGACCATGACCGGCGGATTCTGCTGTTTCGAGATTGCCAGCACCTCATTCCAGAGTTGCAGGAAAGCCGACGGGTGAACACGAACCCAAAGCTTCTTACGCTGCTGCTGCTGCTGCTTTTTGGACTTGTAAGTACCAGCAGGAGCATCGGCATCCATCATCTCAACATCTCCATCCTTCTCCTTTTCAGCCCCAGCCGCACACCACACCAACATAACCTCCGCAATGGGCCTCCTCTTATCCTTATTCTGCGAAGCTGCCTCAGAAACCCAAGCCCTTAAACCCCTCTTCCCCTCCCTCCACTTTCTCCCCCTTGACCCCCAAACCTCTCCCACATCATCCCCATCCACCCCCACCCCGACCCCAAGTCCCCTAAGCACCGCCTCCACCCCAGACCGCACCCCCTCCAGCTGCAACGTAGCCATATAACTCATATCCCACGCCACACATCCCCTCGTCCCCCTTGCCCGATGCGTCGGCCGGTAGCTCTTCTCCGTCGGCGACAACGGCACGGCGAACCGCCACAGCGGATTCAACGAGGTCGTCATCTTAGCCCGCTTGGCATGAAACATATGGGTCGGCAACCACGTCTTGCAGCGCTGACGTTTTCGGAAGCGGGCGTCCGGCGGCGCGGGGCGCGACAGCCGATTTTTCTTGATCTTAGGCACGCGCGGCGCGATCTCAAACGCGTGGGTGTTTAACTCAGCGAGTTGTTGCTTCTCTTCGGCCGCCCGCTGGGCACGCAATTTTGCGCGTTTCACCTGAGTCCGTCGGTTCAGCCCTTGCAGCCGGCGCGCCGTCTCGAGGCGGATCCGCATCTGTTCGGTATGTTTGCGGGTGCGCGAGCTCACGGTTGGTGTATTGTCCTCTAGCATCTGTTTTCCCCCGAAACATGGTTAATGTTCTATTCAGAAGCCGCTGAGAGAGAAAAGTGTTTGTTTTGCGTCTGAACATCGCAAGCACACATAGCCCTTTGAAGGTAGAACCCGAATCACAACCACCGAGGAGGACACTCTGGGGGGAGAAAACCAGGACGTACCTCTCTTTTCGCCCTCGCTCTCAACCGTCTCGGTACTCTCTTCACATTATGACTCGCCGTCCGCCGCCGCAACGACCGCGGCACCTTCTGGAAAGCCCGGCTCATCAACGCCGCCCGAGACCGCTGCATGCCGGCCTCCAGCGATCGGATCTCAAACTCTCGAGCCTCGACGTAGGCGGCCACGTCCAGTTCGCCGGAGACGGACAGCGCGGCCTCGGAGGACTGGACGGCTAAGGTGCGGGCATCGAAAGTTTTGGCGCGCTTGCGGGCGGCGGCGGAAGAGACGCCATTGTTGTTGTTTCTATTCCCCGCCGTCACTGGGAAGGTGCGCTTCGATGGCGGGTTGAGGGCCATGGGTGGGTGGTTTGGCCACTAAGTCTGTGTAGGCGATAAAAGAAGTTTTCGAAGGATACTGTAGGAAAATAAGGATTATGAGAAGAATAGGCGGCGCAGAGAGGAGGGCAAGTTTGAGAGGTTGAATGAAGCTTTTTTTTTTTCTCCAAGCCCGTCTGCAGCTCTCTAAATCCCTGTCTGAATCGTAATGGATAAAATGATCGAATGGAATGTAATGAATAATGAATGGCACATAGAAAGGTTTAGCGTGTCACGCTCCCGCCGCCGCCGACCAAAACAGCCACACACAAAAAGGCACCCGCCAATGACCGCCGGTGGAGGGGGCTCGTTCTTCAAACAGCTTAATTTAACTCATTCATGGGAGGTTTGAACGTGATAATCGTCGCAACTTTAGCTACCTACTTTGTTCACATGGTGTCTACCCTATTGGTAAAGGTTCATTTTTGATGTCGAGGCTGGTTTTTGGTTATCCTCCTACGTCGACCACTTTCAATGTCTAGTAGACTTTTGACATCATCAACCCAACTACTCGTGCAACAGATCAGGTCTTGATTTCATAGCATCGTAATGCGTTGAATTTCTTCAACTATCTAGTGGGAAGTCTAGCTCTTTAACATGACTTTTGTTGTGCCTTCTTTCTAGGTCATTACCCCACCAGCAAAGATCAACGCCATCTATCAAGCCCATGCAACCTCTATAGTTTCAAAATGGTGCATTTACAGGTTCTTGAGGATGGTCTCAGCGCTCGAGAACTGCGGATCACGTTAGCATATCTATTTCCAAGATCGACATGACACAGTCGGCTCGACATACCTCGAGGTGGTTCTTGGCAGGCTCGCGCTTGGCGTAGGTGACCTTGCCGTGGTCAAGGATGATGGCGTAGCGGCCAGTGCGGCCCTCCTCATCAGCCCAGCCGATGCTCTTGGAGAAGCGAGCCTCGGGGTCGGAAAGGAAGAGCTGGATCCCGGTCAGTAAAAGTTAAAAACCAGACTGGTGAAAGGATTGGGAACATACAATGTCATCACCAGTGACGTTGTTGGCCTTGCCCCAGGCGCTCATAACGTAGGCATCGTTGTAGGCAAGGACGGCAACGACATCGACACCCTTGGCGCGGAGCTCGGGAAGCTTCTCAACGTACTCGGGAACGTGGCGAGCAGAGCAGACGGGGGTGAAAGCACCGGGGAGGGCAAAGAGGACGACCTTCTTGTCGGCCCACTCCTTGGAGGCGTTGTAGTTGATGGGGATACCGCAAGCCTGGATATCACCCTTCTCCTCAGTCCAGGGGATGTAGCTAAGAGAACGAATGAGTTAGTGGAATGTTGACAGATCCGTGTGATGTAGTGGTAGTGGAAAATGGTCATGCAGATGAGAAGGATAGGGAGAATGTGGGAGGATGAACTTACGAGAAGACGACGTCGGAGGGGAAGCTGTCACCGGGGTTGAGGCCAGACATTGTGATGGAATGGATGTGTTAAGGTGGTTGAGAGGGGTAGAGTGAGAGAGTTGTTGGTGAGAGAGTTGTTGGTAGATTCAAGAAAGGTGGGATGGAGGATGGTTTAAGTACGTAAAAGAAAGAGAGAGAAGGACGGATGGGAGTGGGAGGAACCCGTGGCAGATTAATATATCGATGGTTCCTGTCGGGAGGCGCGCCTGTTAGCGGGCCAGCGAATAAACGCGGCGACGGCCCGTCCAAGGCGCCCATAAGGTGATCCGAAGCAGAAAGATACCGAATCCATTGGATTCTTACTGTGAATTGAGGGCGTGTATTATCAAGAAAGACCGCCCGAGACTGAGATTTGGTAGTGCCCCGCCAATTGCCCCTCCTCTCTCCACCGCCCATATCTCTGCTATCTAGACCGCCGTCGGTGACAAATCCACCTCCGTCCGTTTCTCCTCGTCATTGTCTAGATCGAGATGCTGATTGATAACGAACACTCGTTTTTGTGTTCAGGGGTTGCTTATGAATCCTTATGACTCAGCTGAGTATGTGTTCATGCAGCTTCTCGAGCCACATCGGGCTACATATGTTCAATGTCTAGAGCGCGTTGCACACCGGGATCATTACGGAGTAGTGCGTGCGTCTGATAGACAGGCGGAACTAATCCCCCCATGCGGATCGTCCTCGCGATATTCTAAGACTGACTTCCAAACGTAGCTACAGTGAGAAATACATTAACAATCCATACTATGCCCGTCAGATTCGTCATGATAGCCAATGGCCTCCGATGGCTCTACCATAAAAATACTCAAGCCGATCAGTTGGCCAACGGGACACGGCACATATCCATTGAATCCAATCCAGAACGAGATCCTCTGACATTCGAAAGAAGATACTAGCTTTCCAGCACCGATAGCGCCCCAAGTTCATCATCCTCCTAAGATACACAGCATGTATACAGACAGACCCCTGGCCCTGTAGCTCGTCTTGAGAAGGCCGTTGAAACGATCCCGCTACTACCGAGGAAGTAGTCTGATTGGCGGGCAGCCTCAATGGCGAGGCCTGTGGATCATCAAGGCGAATCTCAACCCAATCAAGGAGGGCCCACGGGTTTTGCTCGCAGGGATGGAATCTTCTACATCACGTCCGGGCTAGGTACGGCTCTACCCAGTCTCTCAATCTACCGCCAAGCCCCGCCAACTACGTGACCCAGCCGAAGAGAACCTTGGTGCTTGGTAGGTAGGTATTCCCCCGCCACTAATCGGAACAAAACACCCCTGGTTCCGAGAGCAGCGAGGCTTGATTTTGTTAGGAGTTTTGACTGATCCTACCACGAATGAAGAATTAGTACCATGGAAAGCAAGATCCCTCTTTTTGTCATACTGAACTCTACTTGCCACAAGAAAAATCAATGGACTTGTTGTAAGCAAGTTGATCCGCGGATCAGAGGTACTCCGATATGATAGGATTTTGCTGGTCGGCCACCACGGCAACAGTGGCCGCGGAAATCCGGTGTCTCGGGGTTTCTAGACGGTCATGGTTACGATTCAATCATTTGATCACTGACTATGAGGCTGTGGTCAAGTACTCTGAGAAACTCCAGCTTTACTTCAAAATCTGTTGTCAAGATTATCTAAGACAGAACCAAGTCCGGGGCCATGCCGTTGGCCGTCTCCACAACTATTATACAGCACCCGGGAACAAACCCGGGGACTAGAAGGAATCGAGCATCATGTCTCATGTGTTTCAACAACTGATCTACATTATCCGAGTGCATGCTTACGCAGTGTAAGATATCAATATGCGATTGCGTCTAGAGGCAGAAACCAGCGATACAGCTTGGACTGGGTTTACCGTTTTCTTTGCCAAGCCTGAATGAGATATGCTGCTACGATTGAGATATAATTGTTGCAAATAGGAAACGCCCGACAGAGTCATTTTCACTGCTAGTGAGCCAGGTAGGCAGTTGCACAAGGTCACTGTAAAGCGAAATTTCGACGACCGTAACAATGAGCGAGTAAGGTTACCCAACTTTCGGTCGTCATCCTGTGATTTTGGACGCCATGCTTACAGAAGATGGAGTCCTGGAATTCTAGTGATAGGGTCCTCGTCGTGGGCCAGCGAGCGCAGAGCGAACATTAACTTCATATCTGCGGCTGACAAGACGCGGTTTGGCTGGATTCCAGGGACATGGAAAGGCTTCTCCTCGACCTCACAAATCTTTCCGTGATTAGGGAGCTCGCCCTTCTGGAAATATTCTCGGATTGCCTTGGCTGTGCACAAAGACGGGCCACTCAGGGTACAATGCTGCAGCATGAGTTGGTTCCTGGTTAGCATATACAGTCACTGTGGGTGGGAGGTTGTAGAAACGAGCGTGGTACGGCACTTACTCCCACTGAGTCTTGCTGCAAGACTACAGACCCAGGAAACTGTCTCGACATCTTGAATGCGCTGCAGGGAACTTGTTAATATCGCATGACGCCAAACACACCGGAAGGGAAATTAACTGACTTGCGGAGAGGTGTCACTGGATCATAAGTGTTCCCAACAAATAGCAGTGGGTAGGATGTATTGCCGGCGATTAGGCCTGGGTGCAAAGTCAGCAGCCGACACAATCCAAGACATCAATTTAACCCTTACTTTCGAATCGCCATGCAGGTCGTGTCTTCCATCGGATGCAGCTGAAGCGAATCTCAGTCCAGAAATCCCCGAAGGTTTCACTCTGATCCTGTAGCGTATGCCAGTAGCTCTCGAACTTCTCCTTGGCAATCTCACCAATATCCTCTCCATCTGAGCATAAAATGCTCATCATCGCCTCATAATTCTCACCTGGAATCATACATGGCTTGGAGCCACTTGGATTACACGGCGGCGCGCGGCGCCAGTCTAGACGCTCTTGGTCTTTGTAGTCTGCAAACGCAGAGCCATTCCTGTGATCGAGATCTGTCAACAACCGAGCCACGCGTTCGAATGATTTCATGGGCGTATAGACAGCCTGCGCAACCAGCATCTTCACATCAGTGTAGGTGATGATGTCGGGCCCGCGCTTCCCCGAAGCCGGAACCGCTACAGGGTTAGATTTGAGAGTCGTCAGGAGGTTCTCGTAGCGATCGACCGTCGCCTGCAGGCCCTCTCCCGCGGCAAACGGGCACACCCCTTGCCCGACGGACGCGCAGAGCTCAAAGAAGGACAACCACGCGGCATCGGCGTCCTGCAGGTTCGTGAGCCAGCCGCCAGCGTAGTAGTCGCTGGCGTCGCACACGCCATCGATGACCGCCCGATGGATACGATGGGGCTGCATCGCGGCGAAAGTCGAGCCTAAGACCGTCCCGTACGAGAAGCCCCAGTACTGCAGCTTCTCCTGGCCAGGCACCCAGCGATTGCGCAGTCGGATTGCTTCGGCCGTGTCGATCTCGTTCAGTGAGCCCCTGCACCCACTTCGAAGAATCCGTGCCGTCTCCTGCTCCCGCCACTCGCCGTGTCTCTCAATCAGCTCGACCATATCGGCCACCACGGTCGGCGTGTTCATGAACCGTCCAATCCATTCGCCCTCCTCGCCATCCTCCTGCGCGGCACAGGTCAGCCCCAGTGACTCGTGGCGCGCCCACCGGGAATCAAAGACCCCGTCCGAGCTGCCCAGAATCCCCTCCGACGCCACCTGCAGCTTCCACGCCTGTCGCGCAGCCGAGTCGAGGAAACACGAGAACGCCGGGCTGGTATTGTTGACTCCACGCGGATCAAAACTAACAATGTCGTAATACTTCCCTCCCTCCAGCGGATGTGGTTCATCCGGTGCGTCCGCGGAATCTACCACCGTCTGAATGTTCCGTCCCATCCTTAGAACGAGGGAGACTCCCGAGCCCCCAGGACCCCCAGGATTCAGCAGAATCGGTCCCGCGTATCGTGAATCGGTGACTGGGACCTTGGCGGGGACTTTGATGACGGCGAGTGCGACTTTTGCGCCCTGACCGTCGGTGCGGTTCCAGTCCATGGGGAGGTGGAGGCGGGAGCATTCGTAGCCATCGAAGCATGGGTGGTAGACGAGCTGCTCGGTCGGGGTGATCTGGGTGAATTCTTTAGTTGTTAAGTCCCAGAGATAGGAAGTTGAAGGGTGGTGGTGATGGAATTACCTGATCCCATGTGAAAGTTGCGCTTTTGTCGAAACGCGGTGGCTCGCGTGATCCGGCAAACCTGAACCTGAGAATGTCCAGGTGGAATTGTGAGAGCACCACGGTTCCGACTAGTAGTAAGATGACAACATGGATGGTTTGCTTTGCGAGTCGCCGCGAGCGCGATGGTGATGGCGCGCTTGCGGACTTCGGGTCAAGATAGTCAACGGGTAACTTCCACGGTGGAGCAGCCATTATAAAACACTCGATTCCAATTGTATACTGTACTCAGTGAAGGAGTAGATGAGGTTCGTAGCGCTACAATGTCTGCGCGAAGTCTTGCTGACGGATTATATGTGCTGGCGGATGCACTAGTCAATAGTAGCTGCGTTTAATCAATGCAGGCAACAGTGCACGTACTGTATGGTGTAGACAGCATCTTATGTGTCCTTCCATGTCTTGTTTGATTTTTTACCTGGTGATACATGATAGTAATAAGTCTCCATCGAGATGTGCAATCCGGCATCTCGATCCCTGCTGTTGGTTATTTGAGGTTGAATTAGAATGTTCGCATGCTTGATAGGTCCACGATATATTTTTAAGGCTACTGCCAGGCAAAGACAGGCGACGAACAACAGCACGACGAACTTCAAGTCAACTTTTGTAGTTAAATAATTACGAAACTCAACTCCCACCAAAAGTACATAGAAATACGAGTCCCGTCATGTCATGTCCACTACCTTTCTTAAGTCGACTAGTGAGCCTGTTAGCTTCGAACTAAAATCTAACATCTGATGCCAGCGTAGTCACATCACGTGACCAGAATAGTATCACAATCAGCTGACAATAAGCAAGTCAAACTCCCTCGATTATATGCGATACATCGACGCATTCGACTATATTTCATCGAGACAGACCCGACGACACCCTATTGATATCCTTCGGGCTACAATGGCTGATATCAAACCACCCTTTACGGAAGAATCGGCGCGGAAGAAGGTCAAAGCGGCCCAGAACCTGTGGAATAGCCAGTATGTCCGCCCATGCTATGACTCCGCTTCATCTTCGATGCTTGTCTACTGTGTTGCAATTTCGATATATCTCACTGCGGGTCTTACCTCAAGATGCTTTGCTCCTCAAGATGCTTTGCTGGAGCAGCGTTTTTACTGGCATGAAGGAGTCAGACATCATTATGCATACACATTCGTGCCCCCTTGCTTGCAAGGATTGGCGATGGGGATCCCCCGTCCCTCTTTGCAAGTCGCCTCGTGCGCTACAGTGCACCTCCCCCCCCTTTTTTTGTCTTATCCCGGGCTAGAGGTTCTCCTTTCCCTGTCAAGTTCCCACTGAAGTGGCCCCCTTGTCTGATAAAGCACCGACGCATGAGCTCAGGGCCATGATCCCGCAATTGCATTTATGCAAGACATACGTAGTGCAGACAATGCTTTTACTCACAAACCCACCAGGGACCCCGTACGAGTTGCACAGGCGTACACTCCCACATGCATCTGGCGCAACCGCACCTCATTCTTCGCTGGAACAGATGGCATAGTCGAGTTTCTGACTGCGAAGTGGAAGCGCGAGAAGAACTACCGACTGCGGAAGGAGTTGTTTTCGTTCACGGACAATCGAATTGCCGTGCAGTTCTGGTACGAGTTCCAGGACGCCGACGACGGACTGCGCTGGAAGCGCTGCTATGGACTCGAGGATTGGACGTTCGACCGGGAGACGGGGAAGATGCGCAAGCGGATGATGAGTGGGAATGATGTCTTGATTGGACCCGATGGGAATGGTGAAGGGAGGTGGTTTGTGGATGGGCTGGATGTGGAAGATGCAGAGATTGGGGAAGAGCATTGGTGAGATGATGGGCGGTAGGCTGGAAATGAATGTTTAGTCAGTCGCTGTGAGGTCTCTCCAGGCTATGACTAGGAGCTGGTTGTTGTGAATGACGGACTTGATAGGCATGATGTTTCCGCGCCCGCGGCCAAATTGCATGTGAGGATTCTTTCTCGGTGCTGTCAATCGGACCCTCCACGGCTCAGCAGAAGTGGAACCCCTAGCGCATGTGATTGCACTTATCCAGTGCGTGCAGGAAGAGTGCAACTGAATGGGTACGGGACGGTCAACCTAGGGCGCATCACCCCTCATCTTGATGTAGCTCCAACTGTAAGCTTCATGGCGACATTATTTAGGAGGTAAGCGAAAGAAATGAGTTTCTCGTTGGTATGTATCTGATTGTTGGCGTCCAATGGCGAGTCGATACCCCTGGTTTGGGAGAACGAAGGGAGGAGGAGTCGGAATGTGTAGAGGGCCCAACAGTTCCATGCCCACAGACAGCTCTCGAGGGAACTCTCGGTTCCATTTCTCTTCTCTAAGAAGCATTCGCTGGCAAGGTTGTAAAATAGGTCGAGATGTGAGAGTTGATGTTAGCCTGACCTGTCATGACGAGACTCTTCCCCGATGGAGACTCAATGCCATACCTTGAGATGCGCCCACAGTCCTAGCAGTGCAAGACAAGACTGACCAGCAGCCAATGCTCTGTGTCTTCGGAAGGCCTTTTGGGGGTTTTCTCAGCGAAGCCTCAAAAGCAGTAATAGTGGAGAGGCTGCATTCCACCCAAGTTGGCGGTAATACCAACCAATCAAGAAGAATCCACGGCCAAACATACTCACAAACAACTCTTGTGAGCCATTCCACGGTCTTGGCCTCTTTTTGGTATGCTCCAGACCAACTGGAAGTCCTGTGTTTGTTTGGACTGTTGGTGGTTCGAGTATGTGCCCGTGGGGCATGCGTTGTGAGAGAAGTTGGCTGGCGCAGGCCAAAGAGTCGTCTTGCATGTATACTGTTGAGTGCCTGCCTTCCCCCGTCTTCCCTCCATCATCGATGGTAGCAACAGTCGTCACCTTCATTTAGTCACCCACCCACCATTATCGCCTCCTGCATCATATCGCAAGTCGCGTCGTGCTCATCCCACATGTGCTACACGAGATATCGCTAGCCACTGTCGACCGGAAAATTACTAACCAAACAAGCCTCAGGGACGCGACAATCTTCTCACTCAATCGGTCATCACGTTCACACACAGACACATACGCCTACCAGACTCTTCCTGTCAAGACCATCTTGCCTCTCTCGATACGTGACCTGACAAGTATCGCGTCATTTCGTGTCTCACCTGTCCTCGAACTTCACGCGGAACATAAGAGGATCGGCCTTTCCATGGTCAATTAGCTTGACGTTTCGGAAAATAAACTCAGGAGAACATTCAAATGTCAATCCTGAGGTTGGCCATCTCACAGTGCTGAATCGGGTAACGGGGGGAGATGGACGCGAATCAAGTCTACCTGAGTCCTCAGATGATGCGGATCCCACTGATGGACGCCACAACGAGAGTCAACAAGTATCCAACCTCAAGGGAAGAGAAGGAGGAGCAGATGAAGCAAGGCCGATACTATCAAGCCACCTCACCGATGCCGATGTCAATCGTGACCAGTCCATTAACGACAAAACCCGAGGCGGAGATGAATTACGCTTCACCCGTGGCTGACGCGCGGGCCGCAGCAAATCGACACTCAACTATTTCAACCGCATCGACCGCCTCTAATCGAGGAAAGCGCAAGACGCACGTTGGGCCATGGCAGCTAAAAAGGACCCTCGGGAGTGGCGCAAGTGGTCGGGTCAGATTGGCAAAGCACGCACTCACTGGACAGATGGCAGCAATCAAGATTGTGTCGAAAAAATCGGCAGCAATGACGCAAAGTGAGAGTATCGCGGGAATGGATCGGAAGGCAGGTCACGTTGTCGGGTCAAGTATGCGACATATCCCTTCTGGACTCGAGAGAGAGGTGGTTATCATGAAGCTCATTGAGCATCCAAACGTCATCAGTCTATATGACGTTTGGGAGAATCGCGGCGAACTGTAAGTGAGACCGGACTTCTGACCTGACCGGCCACTGACTTTCTTGATCAGGTACCTTGTTCTTGAGTATGTTGAGGGTGGAGAGCTGTTCGATCACGTCCAGAAGCATGGCCCTTTGCCAGAGGAAGAGGCAGTGCGGTTGTTTCGACAGATTATTGCAGGTCTCGGTTACTGCCACCGATTTAACATTTGTCATCGTGACCTCAAACCCGAGAACATCCTGCTAGATAGTTGGCTTAATGTGAAGATAGCTGACTTCGGAATGGCTGCTCTGCAGCCCATGAATCAATGGCTGAATACATCCTGTGGAAGTCCGCATTATGCTGCCCCGGAGATCATCTATGGCCGAAAGTACCGTGGAGATATGGCAGATATTTGGAGCTGCGGTATCATTTTATATGCGCTCTTAACAGGGTTTCTTCCATTTGATGGAGGAAATCTGCCTGATACACTGCGTCTGGTAAAAAGGGCAGAATTTGAAATACCTCCAGAAGTCAGTCTTGAGGCTGCTGATCTGATCAAGCGGATTTTACAAAAGCGGCCTGAAGAACGCATTAACATGCAAGGTATATGGGCGCACCCGCTTCTCAAGAAATATGAGAAGCTCCACCAAGCGATGGCAAACCATTACGTGGGTCCCGCTCCGCCGCTGTCGTTCGATGACTGTGGAGAACCTATCGCTCATAGATCTGACGTTGATCCCGAGTTGTTGCGAAATCTTCAAACACTATGGCACGATGTTCACCAGGAAGTTCTGATTGAGAGAATATTGTGTCCTGAGTAGGTTCAACCTTGATACTAGACTTACCAGGAAGCTTCAGACTGACGTGTCTCCCCATTACACAGACCGACGCATGAGCGGATGTTCTACAATGCATTAGTCAAATTCAGGAATGAGCAGCTGGAGAACTATCAAGGCCAGGCGCTGGAGTACTCTGCCAGCGATTACCATCATATATCCCGGGTGGAGGAGCGCAGCACCTATAAGCGGAATAGTCATGCCAAGCACCACTCCAGAAAACAATCCCAGGTCTCCGTCAAGGAGACAGGGATACGGTCCAGGAGATCGGTCAGGGAACCAATGTCCTGTGCTACAGTGGAGAGCTATGATCCGTATCGATCTCCGAAGCACAAGATTCCACTGCAGGAAGCCGAATTCGCGCAGATCACGATCTACCGAAATGGAATCGACAGCCATGAAGTATTCGAGAAACCTCCCATTCCTCCAATTCCAAAACCGGTAGCCGAGGAATCATCATGCCAGGAGCTTGATTGCCCTCCAAGCTCCCCCTTTGTAGTGGGCCGCAACAGGAAAATGAAAGTCGCTTCTATGAAGTCATTCCAGTCTAAAGCCTCACAATCATCTCGTCGAGCTCTGTATGGCACACCCGCACCGCGATCGGCCAGCTACAAGCGGAACGTGTGTTTTCGCCATGCTCGAACTCGCTCCCAAGGATCAGTATCGGTGAGAACAAAAACTCCACGAGTAAGGGCTCGGGAGATCAAAGCCAATTCAAGTGACGGCAGCTTGGAGGTATCCGAATTCGAAGACGACCCATTCATCGATGGCAACGGAAGTCCAACGCTTCCAGCTCAGCCAACCGTCGTGCGAAGTGCAGGCGTAACAGTCAAGAAATGTCCACAAATGAAGAAGGTGCGCACATGTGACTTCACATGGAAGGAAGATGCGAGGAAGGTTTCCCATGAGCTCAGTCAAATCTGCGAGGAAGCTTTCAACGGCAGTTCGCTGTCCACTGGATGCACGAATACAAGTACCTGCATTGGAACAGAGACCCCTGCCACGTCGGTTTCCATGGCTAGTCCCGAAGCTTCGGAGCGGACAATCAAGTCCAAGACATCTACTACTCGACCAAAGCCATTGCCTTCCGCCTCAGCATCCAAACCTTACACGGTTGCAGAACTTGCCGAGACTCGGCGCAGATTGATTGAACACTCCACCAAGGGTGGCAATGAGGATATACCAGGATATTTAGTCGCAGTGATAGGCCATCTCGACCGACTGATTGAGCAGGATGAGCTTCGACAACGAGATCGACCCGACTGTGCACGTCCCATCTCTACTGCTTCTTCTGACCCCTATCCTTCAAACCCAACCGCCAACCACAGCAATCGGCGTAGCATGATTCCTTCTGATGCCCAGAGAACAGCCAAATCTCGGGCAAGCCCTGAGCACCATGCCAACCGCACAAGTCGTGACGGCAAGCGGACAATACGCATGGTGCCTCACAGCTCGGTACACTCCATGGAGCCGTCCAGACACCTACCTATACAGAAGAGCCAAGCAGTACTCCCGCAGGAAACACGGCAGTCGCTTGATGGATATAAGATACCCGGTGATAGTGAACAGGGAGCCCTACCTACTAGAAGATTCGCCTCCGTAAATTCTCGTCACAGTCGCATTCCCTGTGAGCTCGATCCTATCGCAGAGAATCCGGGTTCACCTAGGCGCAATACCACCCGAACGTCGGACAACAGAAAGTGGTCATGGCTGCCCAATAAGTACAACACCTCGAATGAGAAGGGAACCAGGAACTCGGCACATGTTCGCCCAATACAGCCAAGTTCCGAGACCGTGATAAGACATGACGTTCATCCACCAACAGATTTGTTCTCAACGCAAGGAGACTCCAACTTGACTGAGAGACATTCACCTTCGAAAGCGAAGACAGGATTTTTCCGACGCCTAATCAATCGCCGGACAAGCAAAAGTACTCAGAACCGTGAATCTGGTGCGTTCGCTCACATGCTGATAAAAATAGTCGCTCAGTCTCACTTACATTCTTTAGCCATAGAACCTGAATCTACAGAAACATACCAGCTCCTGGAACAGCCTGAACAGCGCGAGCACTCTCTCGACTTGGAGGACAGCAGACCCCTACCCGACCGACCACAGAACACAGGGAGAAGCCAGAACTGGTTTGCCCGAGTCTTTCACTTCAAGCCCGCAACTCGAGTCGTGGCACTTAACACGTCAACAACAAAGGCGCGAAAGGACGTTCACAGAATACTTCGGGATTGGAAGAAATATGGCATGCAAGATGTTTACCTCGATCGTGAGCGACGTGTTGTTTACGGGACCGTGGGCGAAGCAAACTGTAAGTTGAGATTGACCAGCGTCCTAACCCTCGCGCACTAACAGTGAGATATCAATATAGTCCTTCGTCTCCGGCCAGTTCAGTTCTCTGCCGAGTTCTGTACCTACCTCGAGCAAGGCCGACAAGAGAACCTGAGTCTTGTCCGATTCCGACAAGAAAGAGGAGCCGCTTCCTCTTTCAACAAGGTTGTAGACGCACTGTACATGGTCATGAAGCAACGCAACATGCTTGTGGAAGACCCAGCGCGAGCAAAGGAGATGGTTCGCATTCTGGACGCGTTTCCAGAATCATGATTCTCTGCGCCGAGATTCTTCACCGTGCCTACCCTCCTTTACCGCTCGTCCTCAAGGCCTTGTTCCCTCGTATAGCTCTATCAACGAGTGATTCCAGCACCTCGCAAACCCAGGCGTCTTTTTCTTTTCTTTTGTTCTTCATCATCAAAGAGGCCATAGCCCACCCGTTGAATACGGGATACCAGTTGGGGCTGCCACACAGGAATAGGTGTTCAGGTTCTCCCTTTGGCTTTTCTTCACCCCCTTGAATGTTTACTATCTTAAATCCGCTATTGAGCGACTCTTGTAACTCATTTTGTGTTCTATTATGTGTCTTCTTCTATCTTCTTCTCTTGAATCTACCTTATCTCGGGCTCTAACCTTTGGGAATGCCGATACTGATCCTACTTTCTGCTTTGCAATCATAATTCTTGTTCGTCCGATCAGCCTGTATGTAGTCTTAACATTCTGATTAACTTGAAACATAATTGAATTCCGTTCAAGAGCTCTTCCTCTTCAAAGGACTGACGACCCGGTGTAAGTACTGAGTAAGGACTTGCACCTTCGATTGATCCAACTTCATCTTGAATAATGGTATTGATGAATTACGCCATGTATGGCTTTTGCTTTGGTTCTCAGAGGAAAGAGAGAGAGAGACAGGGTGACAGATCCATGCCACTTAATTTGTGATGAGTGAGCATGGCTAGACGGTCCTAGCTGAGGTAAAAGAAGTAGGTTTCATGGGACTGACAGAGAGAGGATGGGAGTGGTAGCTTGACGGAGGGTGCGAAGTCTTTCACACCCGACAGATAAGAGGAATATGGGTCGGGGTTGATGCGTCGTTGCGCAATGCGCGATGCGTTAGTAGTCATACTCTGGTTCCCCCACTTCTTGCTCTGAAACTAAACTGGGTTGATCGTTCTATCGGATTAATTGATTCAAGGTCAACGGTGGACTTTCCACTTCTATCTGTCTGCAACAGGACGCTGTAGAGAGAGAGGAGGGAGAGAAGGGTAGGATCGTGCCGTAACCGGACCTTGTCTACGGAGGATGTACGATGGCCAATTTCAAAAGGGGGCTTATTGGCTTGATGGGTAGTATACTGTACAAACATACATACACCACAAACAGTACACTGGGAGGTGCACCATTTCCCGGGCTTCGTCCGGATGGATAGTGTACTCTATGTACACTCCTTCAAACCGACAACCATTCTCTATCTCTACCTTTGAAGCATCTCATGCATCTCTTCCACGACGCACTCGACTTGTACACCAACCAGTCTATCGCGCAGCATAGTAGCAGCAGGAGTAACTAATCAACTTATTCATTCCAGAATCTAGTGAACAGGAAACCATACCATAGTATCAGAGCCATAGATCAATGGATAGAGATAAGATTAATAGGCATAAGCATCTTGAAACGTGTGGGACAAACAACGGAGAGAAATAAAAGGTAATGACATGCATAGATGCAGGAGCGAATGAGGAAAAAAGACATGCACGGGGAAATTCAAGGCACGCATGCATCGAGAATTCATGAACTCGAGTTTGAAAAATGTTGATCAGACAGCCTCCCAAGTGTTATAGAAAAAGGAAAGGGTAAAAGGACCCAAGGCGACAAAAATAAGCTACAGCAGGAAAACAGAATAGACACATAGAACCTCCTTTTAAGCGCGACTTGAAGCCATGGCGAACAAAGTTACCAAGACCGCGAACCAACCAAGCACACATCAAGCTTAAACAGAAAAGCGCATAATCAAAGAGCCACCCGAAACAGAGAAAAACCAGATCGATGGAATAAATAGTGAAACAATTTGGATCGATTAAGACAACGAGGAAAGGCACCACGGCTAAAAATTTCATATCACATGCGCCAGAAAAGAAAAATGAAGTCGGTGTCAAAGGGTGCAGAAACCCGCGTTCCAGAAACTGTCCGTAATGAAGATGGATGACGTGTTGCAGAGCTACCTGGATGGCTCTCATTGAATGTGGCCGGCCGCGAAGAAGATGAGCGCAGTAAATCCTGATATACGCTTGCCATAGCATGCCACATATCCTTGAACCAAGATTGCAATCCTCAGACATGTCTAGGACGATCGACTCGAGCAAGGCAAATACTCCGTCAAGGGCATAGGCATCAAACATAGCTCGCGTATACGGATGGATCAAGGAAAGCCGATGACGAATAGATAATGATTGTAAAATGCCCAGAATCCTGGGAAAACCGTGGTTTGTCTTGGTAAAGAAAATGGCATGGCGCATAAGTATGTGCAAGGCATTGGTGGTAAGGCATGGATGGCTGAGGGTCGACTGGAACCGCACAATTGGCAAACCGCACCCGCCGTCTACCGCAACTGAAATCCAGCCAACACATTTTTATAGTCGAGTCATGCAGCTCATAAAACTCCTGCGTCTCGTTTCCATAGCCTCATAATCAGAACAGAGGGTTGTAAAATTCGTCATAACATTGCCCCACTCTCGATTTGCGCATGTGGTACCCAGTCGCCGCCTCTCTCTCCTTGAGAGGCGAGGCGGAATGCCTGTCATTAAGCACCACTAGCAAATATGAGGGGACGACTTCGCCCATCACCATTAACCATAGGATGTCACGGGAAAATAAGTCTTCGTCCACAAATCACAGTTGCCGTAACTGTCCTTTGCTTGTGCCGCATTTCTCGTCCTGCACCCGCCGAATAGAAGTACCGTACCGGTGACAGCAGCTAAACCGGCGCACAGACAACAACCCATTGAGCATGCCATGTGGAAAAATGTGTGACCAGCACACGGATCGGGCGCATCCATCAACGCTACTAACATAAAATCGATGTTCTCTGCCCGAATTCAACCTGCAACTTTCTCCTTCCCCTGGCAACAAGTCTGGCATGTAACTCTTCCGATCAGAAATCACATGCGCATTTGAATTGTCGCTGAAGAGTTTATTGGTTCAAGCCCCGACGGTTCAATGCGTTAAGCATGTCACTATCGGTGCTAGAGCGACCCTGGCTGTCCCCGGGGTTCAGCATGTCACGCACATTGAGTCCTCCACGAGTCGAACCACCTGGCGTGGAGGTGGGCGGAGGTGTCATTGCGCCCTGACTGGAATGCATGGGTGGATAGGGCGAACCGTGAGGCGAGGATGTGTGGCGGCCATCGTAGGGATAACTTTGCGGAGAAGAACGGCGGTCATGCTGCGGCGGGGGGTAGTACGGACTGGGTGCGTTGTGCGTTTGATACCCTGATGCTGAAGTCGTAGGTATTACCGGAGCCAAATTGGTGGGATCGGGGTAGTCGTAGCCGGAGCCGGAGCCTCGACGGCCACCAGGTCTCTGCGTGTCGATAAAGATCAGTCTTGACTGTACCGGAAGCAAACATATGTGAAACTCAGTAACTCACATGTTCCGAAGCTCCTGATGCAAGGGGGGAAGCGGCACCCGGATAGTTGTACATTCCTTGTGGTGGTGGAAGAGTCGGGTCGGCCTGGGGTTGCTGTTGAGGAGGAAGCGGCTGTCCATGCGCTCCATATAGCATCACGGGGGGACCGGCAGCTCGGCTTTGCGGATTGCGCAAGTGTGGGTAGGCAGCATGGGCGGGGACGAAAGCTTGCGCCTGAGATGAGACGGGAGTGAACATGCACTCTTGATTGAACCGGATGCAGTTGCTGCAGCGTCCGTCCTGGGAGCTTTCAAATCCCGAGCAGCGAATCTACAACTCCGAGTAATGCGTGTTAGCCAGCACTAACACCAGATGAAACACGAAGACCGACTACGCGACTCAATTGCGCGATGAACATACCTTCCGTCTCCGACAATAGCGACAAGCAATAGCAGTCCGTTGACGTGGGGCAGCAGCTTGGTAGACTACCTGAGGTGGTGGGGGTGCCTGTGCATAGACGTCTGGACGATAAGGACCAGGAGGTGGAGGAAGACGGTATGGATCTTGCGGGCCCTGGACGTGGGGATGAATAGCAGCCATGTTGGGCGGAGGAGGCGGATACTGCGACGCGGGAGGGGGGTATGGGTGCTCGGCCGACGGAGGAGGGTAGGAAGCCGGAGGATACTGCAGCGAAGAAGTCATTATTAGTTAAGACGGATAGAGGATGCGACAAGACCGCAGAAGCATCTCAAGAATGGAAGAGAAAGTCGAATCCAGGGAAGGAAGGATAAGCCAAGCGAAGGCCACAACAAACACCATGGACTCGCACTAGCCCGACGCTTTTCCCAACCCGCCCATATAAGCGACACTATCAAATAAGACTAAAATGACATACCGGGTATTGTGGCGGATAGTGCGCCGAAGGGTTGTCCTCGGGTTGAGTCGAGTTCCACTGAGGTGGTGGATACTGTCCCTGGCGATTAGGGTCGCTGAGATCGTGGGGGTTGTTGGACATTGGTGAAGGCGAGTGAGCGAGGACTGTTGCTTTAAAGAGACGGAACGAGGATGGGAAAAGACGAGGAGAGGACAAATGCAGGATGATGTGAGTTGACAGTCACGTCCCGCGGGTCGTTTTGGGCCAAGGATAAGCAGACAGCAGGGGTGTTCTTCCTTTGAAAGTGGATGGGGGGGGGGGCAGCTGTATGTATGTATGGGTAGCTCGTATGTATGTATGATGAATGGAAAGCGAACTGGCAGTGACGGTATGTATGTAAGTAATGGCAGTAAGCAGTGTGTAAGTACGTAATAGCAGCCAGTCACAGCAACAGTATGTACGAAGGAGAACAAGGTGGGCGTGTGCGCGTGTGAAAGAGGTGCAGTGTAGTGTGAGTATGTGTGTGGGAGAGTGACCAGGATGTTAATGCGCAGTCAAAGTCGGTCAGAGACGTAGGGTCAAATCAAAAGCAGCTCCAGTTTCCCGTCGGGTGATTTACAAAGCTAGCATAGCATAGCCTCGTGGTCACGTTGAGCCGGTAGAGTGTGGGAAGGGCAAAGAAAGAATTTAGAAAAAGGATCTAATCCGCACCTGGAAGAGAACCAACGGGAAAGGGAGAGGGAGGGAAGGAGGGGGGGAAGGAATGCAGACAGGCGAGATGAACGGATGGCAAAAGGGAAGACAAGACAGACCGGGGGGAGGGGGGAAGAAGGTAAGAGAGAAGATTGGGAGAATCGAGAGAGGCGGTGGAGGGGAAACAGCTGTAGAAAGAAGTCATCAAGTTTAGCAAGGGTCAGGGAACGATAGTAAGGGGGGTGGGGAGGAAACAACTCGATGGATAAAAAAAATAGAAAATGAAAAAAGATAAAATGAAAATAAAATGAAAAATATGTAAAAACAAAATCGACGAGCCAAAAAAAAAAAAGGAAACCAAAAAGGGACAAAGAGTGCACAGATGGTCCGAATTGGACAGAAAAAGAAAACAATAAGGATAGGGCAATCAGTAAACTTCCCAAGAAAAGAAAGATGATATGAGTGAGGAAAGCAATGTGGGAAATATAAAAAAAAAAAAAAAAAAAAAAAAAAAAAAAAAAAAAAAAAAAGAGAAAAGAAAAAAAGAAAAAAAAGAAAAGAAGAACAACTAAAAGGGAGTCTCGGGGAATTGGAATTGAATTATGACGTGAGCGTAGAATATTGAACACTGAGAGGCTCCCAATGCGGTAGGCCGTAATTACCACTGATCATGAAAACCAGCTCAACCCAGGTTCGAAAAGATTATAGCCCACGAAAGAAAATTTCTTGAGGCGAGCAGCTCATGATAGAGGCAGATTTGGATCAAGTTGGCGCAAGCGAAATCACACAGATAAGAGAATAGCCACGTACACACTGGGAGAAGAAGACCAGCAAGGATTCTCGTCGGGCACGGGCAAGAAGTGTTAAGCCGCCGATGATTGAAAATAGTGATAGTAGGCGGCAGCGGGCAAGGAAGGGGGTCTGCTACGCCTCACAGTAAATGCGATGCAATTAGTTAGTACGGATCAAACATCTAAGAATCGAGGGATGCGAGAAGAACAGGGTCAGAGCTGCCGATTAGACACGACCACCGAAGGTGGCTGTAGCGAGAATCCCGAGAGCCCTCTCGAGGGCAGACCGGCGGGTGCACGCCCCTTCTTTTAATCTGATTTGCCGTTCGTTTACTGACCTTAGCTGCTTGCTGCAGAGTTGAGGGTGCGGCGAGGAGCAGACTGCAGAAGAAATCAAACACTGCAGCCAAGAATAGGGAGCAATCTTCCAAGCGAGAAGGGAAAGCCGAAGGATGACGGTAGGTGTCAAGTCGATAGTCAAAGATTCGGATTGCAAACGCTGCTTAGATGCAGAGAAGAGATAAGATGAGGCTCGATCAGCGGGAGATGAAGAATAGGAAATCGCAGCGCCTCTCAGAAGCTAGGAAGATAGTGGAGGGGCGCGGTTCAGGCAGAGATTGGACGCGAAGGCACCAATTCGGACTTTAATCTAACGCTTAGATCGAAAGCAGCCAAGGGAAGACGGATTCCCTTTTCCCCGTATGTCTCGTTTTCTGATGAGAAGTCGAATTCGCGAGGTGACTAACATCCTATATCCCGAGCGAAAATCGGGTTTCTCATCATCATTCGTCAACTATAACTACCGCTAGTCTCATAGACAGCCGCAGGCCGAATTGAGGTGTCAAATATTACGAGCATTCGAATGGAAGTGGTTCTTTGGGTGGCCGACTCGCCGGTCCGCCCGGGAGGCAAACTGGAGAGGGAAAAAAACGGTTGGGGTCAAACACACGAGACGCAGGGTTCCAGTTCCACGGCCGGGCTGACGGAAAGCGGAAAGGCGGGAAGATTTGCGATGGGGAATCCCAAGGGAGACAAAAAAAAATACCATGCAACAGCCAACAGGCGGTTTCCTGGGTCAATGGGTCGCTGGATTCGGATACGATGTACGGAGTACGGAGCATTGATCTGAGATGTGTATAATGAACGGAAGAATGAGAGGAAGCGAGAAAAAGAGGTAATCAAGTGCGAGCAATAAATCAATTGATTGATCTTGAGCAAAATAAATTGATCTTATTTCTACAGCCAGCCAGGATGCGGGTGGGTGTGGTCTTGGGAGTTATAGTACGGAGTGCCGGCCAAAAAAAACCTCGAGGATTGATCGCCATTGGTCCGGCTGGAGAAAATCACCACGCGGGCAATTTAAATTGTCGTGGATACTAGAATTCTCATGGAACAAATCTCGAGAATCCCCATCGTCAGATGGGTTTTGGGCAATCATGGCCGACTAGCGAGATTCGTGGAAGAAGAGGGTGGATTGAAGGTGATCGGGAGAGCTTCTTATACTGCTCGCATGCTCATACTCATAGTGAACTTCAAGAGCGATTTTTAGTATAGACAAAGTTCAAACCTCGGACTGGAATAGCGGTCGTGGCAAGGAAACCGCGTAGAAGAACGGTCTGCAGTTGTGGTGGACCCTGTTCCGACACGCCAGCGACCCATAGCCATGGACGGGAACTCTCTTAAGACGCAGCTAAAGCATACATGGTTTCATGGGGATCAGCTGAATCGCTCGGGTTGGGCGTTTGGCAGGCCCCTCGGGAGGGGGGCGAGCGCTACTGTGAAGTCTAGAGCCTGAAGAGGGGCGTAAGTTTGCGGAAAGGTGCAACAGAAGCGCCCAGTGACGAGTGATGACGGAGAGGAGGGTACGCCGGGACGGGTAAAGGCGCCGTGACGGAACTCCACCCACTGGGGCGGCTTCGAGTCGGTCCTTCCGTCTCCAGCTTGACACTTGGCCTCTTTTGGAATAGGTTGACTTCTTCCATGGGTGGTGTCCGTAACCTTCCAGCGGACGCCCGAAGTTATAGGTAACTACTAAGGTAATGAACGTAATATACCCGAAATACACTGTTCACACAACATAGTAATATTACAATCCATATCTACCTAGCCAGTTGGCGTTTGATGTGCGTTTCATTCGTCGCTTTTATTTCTTTTCTCGCTTGATAATACATTTCCTTTTTGCTGCTGCTGCTGCTGCTGCTAGTACTGCGACGTCTCGTCCGTTCTTACGCAACTACAGTTAGTTTAGAAGTAATCGTGGGCCATGTCCGTGTCCTGATTCACATGACCCCTATCTGGGTGGTGGGCATCGAACTATCCCAATTAAGCACTTGAGCCGGGCACTGTGCGCTTGGGTCTGATACAAAGATAGAAATTTTGGTCTGCAGAGGTAATGTACAAGTACTGTGTAGGTACGCGGCCGATATAGGAAAGCACTACTAAGGCCGACCGAGAGGGGGCGGGCAGCACACATTCTTTCTATCTGAAGCTGAGACTCGTACTCCGTACTTCGCTCACTGTTGCTTGGTTTGTCCTTAAAAGGCGTACCTTTTTTTAAAAAGTACGTGACGGCTTCGACCACACGTCCAAAGGGCTTGCACATCCTGGTTCTGGACCCGGAATAGCAGCAAAGGAAAAAAATCCCGACCTGTCGAAGTGCTCAGAAATATCGTTCCATCGAGGATGCATACTGGTATCGCATGTATAATGGGCGTGAGGGGAGAAGAAATACAAGACGAGTCAAGACAGAACCCAGTGTCAGTATCCCCCTCAGGTCAACCGCAAGCATCCTAAGACCTGGCCTCTGCCGCCCGAAAGCATGGAGAATGGAGACGAAACGAGAACCAAGAAGGCTGGCTGCAGAAAAATTTAGGTCCGGTCCTCTTTGATTACAGCGGGAGCTCCCTGACACCCGAATACTGCTCGAAAACGGAAACAAAAAGGTTGAGTTGAAGAAGTTCGGGGAAGGGAGACGCTATAACACCACCTAAGCAGCTGGGGTCCACCCGGATAATGCCCGAAACCTCGACACCACCTCGAGGGGAAGCAAGAGAAACGAAAAAAAAGAGAGGGGCCTTGGCGGTCCGTGAATTGGTAGAGGTCTGAGATACTGTGCTGAAAGCTCGGCCGTAGTACTAACTATTCCGTAGTATATTGGTGATCTTCATTCAGCGCTGCAAAATATCACTTCCTCATCAGTAACTGCACCTGAAGTATGAGTAAGTATTGTACTCACTAACTACGGAGTAGATGTAACCTTGCTGCTGCCCCTTAGACAACACGAAAAACCAAAGAAAAATCTTAAGGCAGGGCACGGCTCAACTCCTTTTTCAACTCTGTGCTATTGTAAAGGGTGGTATGATATGAACTTTTTTCTGACCCCACTCTTGCACCTGAGTCGAGCAATGACACCTTACTCTACTGTACGGAGTATAGGTGTTGTCGTGCCTGGGACTAATTATGGTTGATTTTTCTACCTTTGCCTTATCCTTTGTGGAATGTGGATTCAGCTAAACAAAGCGACCACATGGGCGAAAATCCGCTAGAATCCACCCGAGAATAGAGAAATTTTTCTGCACACTTTGATATACTGAAGAAAATGCTTCTAACCCCATGTTGAAGCCCGAAAAGACAGGCGAGTGGAACCCGAGATGGAGAGGGGAGGAGAGCAGCTCACTAATTGAGTGGGGGAAGATGTAAACCATGGTTGAGTGATCATCTAGCGTACCGTACATACTTAGTAGATTGAGGGGAGCACATCTTCATGTTTTCCCTTTCTTTGCTTCTTGTGGGTAGATGCGAGGAGATGCTCGAATGACTAGTGTGTTTCCTTGTCTGAAAAGACAAATGAAAAGGAAGGCATTGAGATGGGAGTGGAACTAGGGGAATTGCCTGCTAG